TGCTCGTCGCTAACGCAGTTCGGGCTACGAGACAATGGGTCACGTCTCGCATTCCATTCCAGCGCATCAATCAACATTGAGTCCGTCTCATCATAGTATCCGTACGGCCAAGTCGCCTTTGTCGCCCCTCCTTTTCGGCAATTACCCGTTCCCGTGCCAGACGGGTCAGACCCTGTGGTCTCGCCGCAATGGCCGGGTCATCAGATGGCGATGAAAGATTGGCCCGGCCAGCCAGCACGGCCGCAAAAATTCGGGAACCGAATGACAATTCCAATTCAATTCATACTCTTCGTGCCAAACTCTAATCCGGAATATTTCCAAAATGGGGGCCAAGCGGCTATCTCAAACAAGACCACAAGTCGGCCTCGACCATTCAGCAGATCCTTCCCTTCATCGTCGTTGCAAAAATAAAGTTACAGGACCCTGCAGCCACGCACGCAACCGATTGCACTGCCCGCCGGCTCTCCTGAGTAAGTGCCCTGTCATCCGCCCGACTGAAACCGGATCCCTGGGTGCATTCAACGGTCGGGCGGCTGCAAAAGTGCGAGAGAGCAAGTGAGCTACTCAGAAGTCCAGCAAAGCACTCGTCGTTGCCGCCGGGTTGCAAACATAGAAGCAACACAGCGGCTCGCCCAGCGCTTAGCATCCTCCCTTGTGACGGAGTCCGGCCGGTCAAGGTCCCGCGCCGCCAAACTGCATGCCCCAGAATTTAAGCTCTTGGCCCCAGCTGTGTTCCTATTGGCTGATCTAAACGCACAACCGCGCGCTGCTAAATTTGACCATCTTCCGTCTTGTGATTGGCCGGTGATGAGATCCAGCGCGCGCCAAATTTTCTCCGATCCCTGCTACCCTAGTCCTGGTGGGATTTATTTTACATTCTCATGGGCTTCCCCTCGGTTGTCCCACAACCCGAATGCAAGCACCCGATTGTGCCGGTGCGCTGTGCCGGCAGTTTGCAGGCTTTAAAACCAGAAGCTTCCCTGCTATAGCGGATAGTCGCAGCTTTGCGGCTGCTAGGGCGAATAGAAGATCGGGCTAGTGTGATTGTGCGACGGCTCAGCCCTGCGGAGTTGAAACAGCATAACGTCTGGCGGACTTTGCATGCGGTTAGCTGAAATAGAACATACCTGCACTTGACTCAGTTTGAGAACCCCAGTTTGCACTGGCTTTGGTGCTCGGTCCCGGATATATCGCCAGCCCGAACGTTGGTCCTTGTTGGATTCCATGATTCCATCCCAACGGGCCAGTAGCTCGTCTTTAAAATGGGGGCCACAACGCCCTACAACAGCCGATGGGAGGCGGTCAGCGGCACAGATCTTAAAATCTGGGGTCCAAGAAGCAAACGCTCTCCCCAATGTGAGCCCTGAGTTGAACCAACAACGTTCTGGAAATATCCTCACAACTGATGGGTTGGCCCTATTGGGTCCGTTTGACCCAGGCGTCCCATCCAACAGCTAAACATATCTCCCTCCTTGTGACTAACCAATGCTCTGCAGTGAGCCTTTTCGCCAGAATAGCAATTGTTTCCCCCAATAACTGCCCCAACGGCATCAACAGCCTCACAAACAATGGGAGTACACTCCCAACAGGGTCTAGAATATCGTCTCTCAGGAAGCCCACGTGTCAGTCACGCCACAACACCCGCCTCACCGTCAACCATACGGCCGGAAGATACCAAGAACACAACCAACACCAACGCGCGCACAAGAATCATGCGCAAATACCACGTTCAAGCCCGCCGCGCCGCGCGCCAACTTCCGCCCGCTCACTCTCAAGCAAGCTTTCTGCACGCTCCCGATAACCGCGACCCCCAATCCCCAACCGCCTCAACTCCGCTACCTACCGCCTCACCGTACTTTCAGCCCCCCTCCCAGAAACATCACAATGCCTCTTGCCAAACCCCGCCCTCACACCTCACACACCGGTCCCAACCCAAAACGCATGGCTTGCTTCGTTGCTTCGTTGTTTGCTTGCTCACTTGCTTTACCTCCGAAATACCCGTTCCCCTCCGAGCAACAGCACTTTCCCCGTTACACAAACCCACCCGCCCAGCTTCCGTGCCTCTCCCAACCGCCCCCATCGCTACCTACATACCGTACCCAATCCTCTCCAAACAGTCTAAGTCCACGTGGACTTTTTTTCTCTGTTGTACACCCACCCAGCTTTGACTTGCCCCCTCTCCATCTTGCCTACTTCCCTGGGTTGATATTGTCTACATGTGTGCCGCGGGCTTGCGGACCGGTACCGAGCTGGACCGCGATTGTGCGTCGGGACATGATGTTTTGGATGTTTTGTTGAACCCTTCGCGAAACCCGAGACGAGCGGTGTTATCTTGCACTGTGTCGATGTTCTCCCTCGCTGATCCAGAGGTTAAAGCGGTGTTCGCGAGGTCGTTGTTGGGGTTGAAACAGCCGGCAACATGCTGTTTGGTTGTCAAGAGAGGATTAGAGAAGAGTGGGGGTGTGTCGTAGAGAAGGGGTTGAGATAGTGATCTTGTTTAACTGTATTGTAGACGCTGAGTACTGGCAACGGTGTAGGGGGATGTACATTGAGAGCTGCTTCGATGTAATGTAGTCGATGCCTTGGTAAAGCTAGATCGGTCTGGCTAGGTACCCAAAACAAGAACCTTTCGAGCTGTGGGTATGATCACTTGCGATATTTTTCAACGTGTGAAGTGTAGATATTTTTTTAAAAAAAAAATATAAAGAAAAGAAACCAAAAAGCTCACTGCCCAATTTCGCTCCTGAGGTTGTGGACAGCTACGAAAATTCCGAAGAATTTTACTATGGTGCTCCCACCGTGAGTCGAACTCACGAAGGGGAGAAGCGGGCACGCCCGGTGCTGCCCGCACCCCCCCCCAAATGGGCCATCCGCGGTCCGGGCAGGCATTTGCCGGATGGGGGGGCTGTTGGAAGGAGGTGCGAAGGGAGTCGTTATAAAGGGCTGTGGGGGATTTGGGCGGGGGAGGGAAGGTAGGTACACGGGTATGAACAAGACAGAGCGGGCAGGTAATTTCGGTTATTGAAGCTGGCTGTTTCTAGTTTTATCTGAACGACGAAACAAGATATGGTAGTAGTTTACAGCACCCAATCGCCATATAAAGATTACAATATCTCGCTGAGGCAGGGATGATAACCTAGTAGGGTCTTGAACCAAGTCCTTTATAGAGGCACTCAATCCTGTCTATGTCTGGGAAAGAGGTTAGGAAGCAGTGTTCCGTTTGGCCAGATCTTGGATAGTGCCTGCTTGGTCGGCGCCGATCTATTTTGTATAATACATTCGGTTGTGAGATGTACTCTGGCGGCCAGCATGACACTAGAAGCCCAGACGTGCCTGTACAAAAAAAGACTGGCCTTTGCTGTGTCATCGGAAGGGACGGGTAAGCCCAGCTGCTGACGATCTTGTCGAGTAACTTGGGTATTTCATATACCAATAGCGCGGTATGCGTTTCCCTCATCGTGTATTCCATTTCCCTTACGTAACTTGAGACTCGTTGAGTATTCTGGGAGTAGCTCCTTACTCGACACAGACAGCCGATGACAGACTGTAACGTTAGTTTAGAGATGCAAACGTCAATGGCCCGGTCCAGAGTAGGTAGTGAGCATTCTGAGCTCATCGTGAGCTCGGGAAAAGCGAAGCTGTGGCCAGACAGGAGCTAACCAGGTGTTCGTCCGGGGCAATACCCAAGTAGGTACGCACCGCAACTGCTGCATCATCCAACACATGAAGTCCAGCGGTTGCTGCAGATTATATAACGCTTACCCTCCGGAGTTAGCACCGGCTTCTGTTTGGTGGGGGGATTTGTTTCACTCCTCTCTATGTTGATCCCAAGGCTCATTTCAACTCGGAGAGTCCCAGGGTTCTTGCCTCTTCCCTCGTCATTCTCTCGGCGCCGTCCTAATACCTCCCTACGTAAGGGGATTGTAAACAATGAAACTAGACCGACGCTGGTGTCAGATCTCAGGTTCGTCGAGGCCAAATAAAGTAACCCTGAACTAGGCCGATGTTAGTATCGAATATCAGGTTCGTCGAGAGCAAATAAAGCAGCCCCGAAATTGTAAAAGACAGCCAAGTAAAATGGGGTCAAGTACTATCATTAAGTGTGACAGAACATCCGAGGGGCAGTAACTCGGTTGTCGGAGGCAATCCTGCCAAATTCTCACCCTTATCGAGTCACCATTCCGGTGGGATCACTCAAGCACTCGACACATCCAGCGTCCAAGCTCCATCTACAACCATCACAGCAAGAGTCAAGCCCCCAATTCAGGAAGCAATTCATCAATTCCCGTACCCCTAGCTAGACCTATTTCTCGCTACTCCATACATACATCAGTCGTGCCATGAAAAGAAAAATAATCATGAGAAAGAAAAAACAAAAAGCTCGAAAGACAAAAGAAAAAAAAAGAAGAATACCAGCCACTTTCTCACCTCAAACAACAACAGGCCAGAACGGAATGGGGGAAAGGGACTGCCATATTTGCCAGGTTATCATCTACCACGCAGCAGAAATAGCACTAGCAATGGATGCCCTCCTGAGACCTTAAGTCCCGACTGTCCTTCCCACCGGGGGAAAGGTTCCCACTCCTCAGAAAAAGCGGCATAACTTCCTTCCTTCCTGCCAATATCTATCCCCAGGAAATATCCCATTCCGTTTCTGATAACAGCACCGCCCTAGTCCCGCGCAGAAAGAACCATAAAATGTTCCCAGGAATTCCATTCCCTCCAGCTAACGCCATGATAAAAGGCCCTGCATAGCGAGAAATAACCCCGATAGCCGAATCGTATCCTGAACGCAAGGCGTTATGATATGCAGCAGGTGGCGATAAGTCGGTTGCTAAAATACCGGCACGTAAAGGGCGAGGGAGGATCATGATCACCCGCTGGGCGCTGCGGTCCTGCTGGAGAGGCAGTCTGGTCGGTTAGTTACCCAGCACAGGGGCCGCACGCCGGCGAGGCGGCAGATAAACGGGCTGAGCACCATTGGTCGCCTGCTGCCGCGCCTAGTGGTAGCCGCTGCCATGGTACTGCGAGCGCGGGTTGGTGTTGTTGGGCTCGGGGTTCTCAAAGTACGGGTGATTGCAGGCCTGCTTGGCAGAGATGCGGCCGGCGGGGTCATAGACGAGCATCATCTCGAGGAGGTCGAGGCCGGCGTCGTCGAGGTTGCTGCAGAGCGCGGCGGTCTGGTCGCGAGCCCACTTGGGGAAGGACGCCTTGAAGTCCGGGTAGCTGCTAACGCCCGGCCAGACGTCTTCCGTGGGTGTGCCCAGGAGACTGGGGAGAGAGAGTGATGGTTAACGAACGGCCTGGGGTGACTAAAACGTAGGGATTGAGAGCAGGGTAATACGTACCGGAAGATCTTGAAGATTTCGTCAATCTCGGAATCGCCCGGGAAGAGCGGCTTGCGAGTGCACATCTCGGCAAAGATGCACCCAACTGACCACATGTCCACCCCGGTCGAATACTGGCGGCCACCGAGCAGAATCTCCGGGGCGCGGTACCAAAGGGTAACAACCTCGTGGGTGTAAGTACGCAGAGGGACACCAAACGCGCGGGCCAGACCGAAATCCGCCAACTTCAGGTTGCCTTCGCGGTCGATGAGCAAGTTCTGCGGCTTGAGATCGCGATGCAGGATGCGGTGGCTATGGCAATAGCGCACGCCGGCGCAGAGCTGGCCCATGAACTTCTTGATCATGCCCTCGCCGAGACCCAGGCCGTGCAGCTGCGCACCGGTGCCCTCGGGCAGGGCCTTGCCGCGGCCACCCTCGCTGACGGGAAGGGCCTCCATGTACTTCTTCAGGTCGAGGTCGAGAAACTCAAAGACAAGGTAGAGCTTGTGCCCGTCGGCGTGGACGATGTTAAAGAGACGCACGATGGTCGGGTCACGCATCTCCTTGAGCAGTGAGATCTCGCGGATGGCGGTCGAGGGGACGCCCTCATCTTCTTGCTCGAGGCGGATTTTCTTGAGGGCGACGATACGGCCGCCATTGTTCAGGTCGCGGGCCTTGTAAACCACACCGTAGGTGCCTATCATGAAGAGAAAAATGTTAGTAGGGTTTGGGGGGATTGAATGGAAAAGGGATAGATAGTCATACCTTCACCGACCTTCTCGAGTTTCTGGTATTGATCCATGGGCATCGTCTGTCGCAGCGATATGTTTCGAAAATTGACAAGTCGGCCGGTCGGCTAGATTACACCTTGATACGCAGCGGCCGGGGTGTAAGGGGGAAAAAAAGTCGCGGTCGATCAGGTCCGGTGGTAGTTCAAGGTGGGGGTGTTTCGAGGCCGGGGTGCGTTGGCAACAGGGCTGAAAACGAGGGGCAGCCAGGGACGGATAAAATAACCAGCGCCTGAGGGTCGAGGAAAGGAAAGAAAGTTGGGAAGGAATGGAGATCGGTAAACGAACGAGGGCAAAAAGGTCGTCGAAAAAGGCACCCCGGTCGTAGAATGTCACTTACTGGTCGTTAAATCGTGGGCCGTGTGTGGCCAAAATCGCCAGGTCGTGATGCGCTGGGCTCGGAAGGGAAGGTTTCGGGGGAGCTGCAGCTGTCAAGTTTCGGGAAGGTCAACAAATGGAATTGGTTGCCGTGTCACTGGTCCACGCGAAGCGCGTCCGTGTTGCTCCAAGCCCCGCGTGGCGCGGGCCCACTTTATTTTCAGCGGTGCGTGCCGCGTGGGCGGTCCGCGGCAGCTGTCGGTTTTGGCGGGGGCATGAGTCAACCCCGCTGTAAGTTGGACTTCATGCGAGAAAGTGAAATTTGAGATTTGAACAAGTCAACTCTGTATCTTACAGCTCACATTGTCGCTTATAATACCACGAATATCTCGAGTAATCTCAATATTTACACAATCTAGGAATTAGATTTTTTTCTTAATTATATCCCCGTCCCGCTTTTGTCCGCAAATCCACGATGACAGTCGACATCAAACATCTCGACGCTCATGAGCAACCGTCGGATGAGCTGCGGGCCAGGTGGAAGGCTTTTTCACGGACGGAACCCAAGGATCTGCGGGAAGAGGACATCGACGATCTCCAGAACCCAAGAAGCGCCGCAGAGTTTTGCACAGCCGGTACTATCCCCGTCGACACCTTAAACAGGTCATTCCGGCATATCTGCTCCGAAGCAACCCCTGAGTTCCAGGCCACGGAGGACGCACAAATATACTACCATCCTCTCCTTCCAGGTATGTATCCAACCCCCCCCCCCTACGAAGATACGAAGATAACAAACCCCCCATCACTAACAACCCCAGGCCTCTTCATCATCCCCTCTCTCGTCCCCCCCTCGGTCCAACGAAACCTCCTCAACCACCTCGTCCACCGCGACCTCAGCAACCCCGTCCACCAAACCAACCTCCACCTCCACTACGACCTCCCCTACCCAACACCCCTCTCCCAACCCAACCCCTCCTCGTTCTCGTCTTCCTTCTTCACCTACCCCCCAACAACCCCAGCCCCCACCTTCACCCCCAAAGACCCAACCATCCACAAGCCCCTCACCATCAAACAAGTCCTCGAGCGCCGCCTCCACTGGGTCACCTTAGGCGGGCAATACGACTGGACCAATCGCGTCTACCCAGACGCCTCCTCCTCTTCTTCCACAGCCGACGGCGACGACGCTCACCCCTTCCTGCCCCGTTTCCCAGGCGACGTAGCCGGGTTCTTGCAGACGCTGTTTCCTGCTACGGAGGCGCAGGCGGCGATTGTGAATTTTTATACGCCGGGGGACACGATGATGATGCATCGGGATGTGTCAGAGGAGACGGATAAGGGGTTGGTGAGTGTTAGTTTGGGGTGTGAGGGGTTGTTTATGATTGCTCCGAATAAGGAGGAGGGGGGGGGTGAAGGTGGGAGTGGGGGGGTTACTACTGGGAATGGGGATGGGAGTGGGATTGGGAAAGGGAAAGAGTTTCTGCTGTTGCGGTTGAGGTCTGGGGATGCGATCTACATGACGGGAGAGTCGAGGTTTGCGTGGCATGGAGTCCCTAAGGTGTTGAAGGGGACGTGTCCTGCGTATTTGGAAGATTGGCCGGCGGAAAAGGGGCAGTTTGAGGAGTGGAGGGGGTGGATGCGGAATAAGAGGATTAATCTGAATGTTAGGCAGATGAGGGATTAGGAAGGGGGGCTGCGTTGGTGAGGTCGGGATATATCCGAACGAGTAAGTACATGGAGAAGTTACTTGAAGCGATGGCAGAACTGATCAGGCCGTACATGTAGATATTTTCTCGACACCCACCTCACAACACCACCGCCATGACTCCCACAACCAGCAGGATCAACCCCGACATGCGCACTGTAACAGCCCCCGCACCGCTCGGCCTGTCGTTGTTACTACCGCTCCCCGAGCTTCCAGAGCTTCCTGAGCTGCCCGAGCTGCCCGAGCTGCCCGAGCTGCCCGAGCTACCGGAGCTACCGGAGCTACTCGAATCAGCGGCGCACCTGCCGCTTCCAACGCAGTAGGAGCCAGCCTCGCAGTAGCCGGTGCTACAGCAGTCACCGTCTTCGGGCATGCAGCTAGTGACAGGTTAGCGCGTGAATCAGGGTGAGAGATGGGGATCAAAAGACGGAAACGCACGCGCCATGGCAGAGCACTTCGCCTGCATCGCAGTCTCCAATCCCACCGCCGCACGTCTTCCCGTTCTATGGCCCAGGCAATGGATGATCAGTCCCACCGTCAACGTTTCCAAGCGTGTGATTCTTCACGAGGGGCTAACATACCGGGCAGCAGCCGCCGTCAGCCATGCAGTATAAGCCCGGTTTGCAAAATGTGTGCCGGCCCAGGCTGTCTTCCAGATTAGCATGCAGTCGCATAGTCTCACAGGCGATAACACCGAGGCAAATGGCACTTACTATTCGCAGCACTCACTTCCCCGGTCCATACACCCCGTGCCGCATGATTCTTCATAGGAATAGCAACCCGAGCTGCGGAGGATCGCCGGGTTGGGCGACACCTTGATGTCGATGTCGACGGCCCTGATGGCCAGGCTGCCCAGGAGGCGGGGGGTGGTGGTTTCGGAGACGCTCATTTCGGCGGTTGTTACTCTCGCCGAGAGTAGAAGAAGCGATGGATGTGTTTCCTTAACGAAACGAGGACAAAGTCAAGAGAACAAGGTCAAAAAGCCTAAGTCAAGAGGGTAAAAGCAAGAGCTAGATGTCCCTTCTGAGAAGATAGGCATAACATCCAAGGAGGAAACAATTCGAGGACATCTCCCGTCTTTATGCCTCACTCCCAAAGAAAGCCTTCCCACCAATTCAAGCCCAACCCACCCAAGCCCTTCCTGCGTCCAACGTCGATCAGAGAGAAAAAAAAACACCCCCCAACTCCCACAATCCACAATCCCCTCTCAACCCCTATTCCCTCCCATCAACACGGGCCATGCGGCTCAGCTAGACCATGCCCTAGCCTCAATTCCAATGCTCGCAGAGCTTGGCATATGCAGTTCAACACACCAGGCTCGCCCGGCCAGTGAAGGAAGCATGGAAGCCTGACTGTTTCCCTGATGGTCACACCGGCAGCTGCAGCTCTATCAAATCGAATCGCGTTGCGTCACCGGGCAAGGCTCGCAGCGCATGCCGCTTTGGGGCTCAGCTCCCTAAGTTGTCAACAACATCTCGTAGGATTTGGCAGGCCAGGCAACTAAATTGCTGCAGAGAAATGTGTTGTTGTCCGACGAAATTGACTACGTGGGGTAGTTTGTTAAGCTTTTCGGCATGACACAGCGGGATGAATCTTGTTGGGACGTTTGTGCTTGGCTCGGTAGATAGAGATAGAGTTTAAGATCGTGTGGGGAAGGTATAAGAGTTATGGATCAAGGGTTTGGTTACGCTTAATTACCTGGTATATGGGGAACTAGGTAGGAGACCTTCAACCCGACTTGAGTTGCCCATCGCTGCCTCTCCTGAGCGTTGGATAGAAACTATTTGCTTAACCATATGTTTAACGGTGCTAGCTGACTCTCTGGATTTTCGGTACATTTTCAACATCGGGGACAGTCCTCTGTGCAGAGTAAAGTGTCCGGCTTCAAGCGCGATTTTGGGAATGCAGCCATATTTTTGGCACAGAACGATTTACAGCCTTTAAGTAACACAACCCAACCGATCGGGAAGAGATCAACGGCATGAATGAGGGGGGAGAAGCTAGGAAATTCCCTCTCGACAGCCTCGGAGAGTGTTGCCTATTCGAGCGGTTCAGCTCCAGAGCCTTGTTGTTGACCGGACGTGATAGACCGTAAAAAGCTGCACTTCTGCACTTACCCCTGTATCATATGCATTCATATGCATGAATTTCCAACCGCAGGAAAGAGGCTGCATGGTATGCACGTGGTCGGCCGGGTGACTCAGTCATAAGGACCATAACTACTTGACCACTTTGGTGACCGGTGCCGGTATGACGGTTGCTTTTCACATTTCAACCTTCTCTCTGACTTCTTGTTGACGTTCCATTTTGTAACATTTCCAAAATCTGGATTTTGTGGCTACAGGAAAGGACTGGTATCTCGAACGCAACAAGCAAAAACAACACAAAAAAAGACAAAAAACCACCCAGCCATGAGGGAGTATCCCCAAATCTCTTCCCCGCGTCCAATCATCATTAACCTTTCACCCCCAACCCAAAACACCGTTAACCTGTCCAAAAAACAACATAGTCACTAGCCCCCCTCCTCCCTCAGCTTGAGAACCCCCCGGGCCGGATTCATCCTCCCCTCAGCCTGAAGGCCCCCCCTTGACCCAAGAACCCCCCGCCTGGGCCCGAGTGAGTGACGCATCATCGCGAGACCAAAAAGGCATCACTGCCTCGAAACCCAATACCCCACCGCCCCCGCAACAGCAACAACCAACCCCCTCGAAACGGCGCCGCCGGCACTCCCACTAGCACTGTTGCTGAAGCACTGATCACCGGTGCCGCAGTAGAAGTCGGGCGGGCAGAAACGGTTGGCACCGCAGCAGTCGGCGCCTTCGGGGACGCAGCTTCTGAATGTTAGTGATGGATTTACTTCAGTAAAGGGAGGGACGGGAGAACTCACGCGTCGTGGCAGACTTTTTGGCCTGCCTCGCAGCTTGTTGCTACGCCGGTGCAGGTTTGGCCTTTCTGGCTAGGAGTCAGCGGGTTGTGCATACATCTCTGGGAGGGAGGATGAGGTAACTCCGGTCTGGGGGTTTCTTGAGGAGAGAAAGAAAGGGAAGGGAGAAAAAAAAAACGTACCGGGCAACAGCCGCCATCCTTGGTGCAGACATCTCCCGACTCACAGTACGTGGAGCTTTTGGCCTTGGTATCAGCATCAACCGCCTCTCAAAGTATCGACTCATCCGGCTCATCTGGGGGAGAAAGAAAGGTCAGGCAGGCAAACTTACCCACCGCAACACGTCGCGTTGTTGGGCATGTACCCCCCGCCACAGGATACCGCATCACCACCAGAGGTATCGCGGGTGAAGAGAGTGGCCGGGTTGGGCGAGATGTCGTCGGAGGATGCGACGGCTGCTACGGCCACGCTGCTTAGGAGCGCTTGTGCGGTGAGCGCGGTGACTTGCATATTGGTGGTGGTTGTTGTTGGGGATGTTGTTTGGGAATTTGAGGTTTCGCGTTGAATGGAGCGAGTGTTGGTGGATGGTTTAAAATGGTGTAAAAGGTGGGTGGAGTTTCTGGGTTTCTCGATATCGCCGTCGCGTTTGTCGTCTGACCGCTGAGTAAGTGCACGTTGAGGGAGTACACATCAAGTGAGTGCAGTGGAACAGCGCGATCTTGTACTGGAGATTTGCTGGTTCCGGGATGAGATGAAGAAGTGAATCAAACCCCGGAATCTGCTGGATCCATGACCGAGAATTAAAGACAAAGAGCACTAGGAGCCCTCCCAGCGCAGCGCCAAAAAGATCAGTCACCCAACATCAAAGAACGAACGAACATTTGGCCAACACCAAAAACATCGAACAAGCCAAACCCATAAAGAAGACCGCCCCAACACGCCCTCCCGCCGGGCAGATGACCCCCCTCTTAACCCACACTCACACACTGTATCCCCAAGCGAGGGCCAGGCGGTATCCTTCTCAATTGGGTGCCACGGAAAAATAACGTTCCAACCAATTTTAAAACCCCCGTAAGCAATCCATCCATCCCGATCCATCCTCGCACTCCTCCCGCAGCTGGCCCCCAATCCCTTCCAGCGCTAACCTTCGCGAATGTTCTTGGCACATCCAGCGCTGCACTGCACGGTAGGGCAGACTTGACACTCGGGACTGGATGAAATACGGGACCCCCCCCCCCCCAAAGCCCCATCCCTCTTTTTTCGTCCCTCGCAGGACGCAGAACGAAACCCACTGAACCATTGGTCAGTGGTCCTGTACCGTTACAGCACATGACCTTTTCCGGCTGCACTGCATTGCAGGAGTTTACTATGGATACTGCAGATGGCTCAACCGTGCAGTTCAACCGCCCCACTGATGGTCGAAACCCACAGCACCTTCGCCAAGCCTTTGTTCCATGTCCCACTGCGTCCATAGACCTGTTTGCGCACATGGCACAGCATCACACAACATCATAAAACCGCCCGCCCGAAGCGAGAAAGCGAGGCCGTTCCTGGCCGGCTGTCAAGGCTGTTCAGCCCCATCCAACAGCCCCAGAATTTCAAACACCTTTTCGTCAGTTGGTTGGGTCGCTGCACCCGGTCGGTCGGTAGGGACGGCAGCCAAGTGGAAACTCTGGGACAAAGAATGAACCGCCCACCTAGCCCGGCCCGGTCGGCTGGAGGACAGACCTAACCGACCGACCAGAGTCAGCCTTGACGGTCCGTTAGGTCCTGATAGGTTCCCTGCCCGCCGATCGGATCCATGGAGTCTGCTGCGTTCCTCTCGCTTATCTTGGCAAAATGGCAGGGGTTAAACCAAGTCAGCAAATGGTTGTGCGACCCGACTGGTTGGGAGGGAGTGTTTCGGGCCAACACAGCCGAATTTGTTCAACTTGTTATTTTTTGATGTTTTGTGGTACAGAGTATGGTTGTCAGTTCAAGCATTGACAACCGCCTTGGCCCAGCGAGGATAAAAGCGGCAGCCCTCCCGGTCGCCCTGCTGGTCGCCCTCCCAGACTCCAGTGACTTACTTCCCAGTCGGAGGCCTATTTCGCAGCGGAAGTCGGCATGAAGTTTTGGAGCAAGGTAAGGAAGAAGCGAGGATCGGGTGGGATGCGAGGATGTGTCAATCCAAGGCTCATTCAGCCTTGTGTTATGCACTCCACAAAACATCCAAAATAGGGACGACAGCATCAAATCAACCTCACGGTTCACGGCTTTTTACTGCAACGTATAACAGGGGTATCAGGGATCCCCGCGGTCAATATTTCCCACAGTTAATATTCCTCACGGCCAACACATCAATGCACCCACTGCACCCACTGCACCCACTGCACCCACTGCACCCAGTCAGTCAGTCAGTCCTCTGTGCAATGCAAACATGTTCATCGAACTTGGTTACTTTGTGAGCGACTGAATCGGTTCAATTCCCGGTATCCCAGCCACTGTACAGTACTGTACCAGTCTGCCAGCGAGCTAAACTCAACTAACACAGTTAAAACGAATTGCGTTCTGCTAAGGTAGCTGGCCTTCCACTTGGGCGAGGGCTTCACCAGCTACTGAATAAAACGCCCTACCAATCTGCCGAGTTGATGCATCCAGTCTGCCGAGTTGATGCAGTACCCGTGGACCTGTCTCGTTCGGATTCGACGACCACGGAAAAACAAGGACACAGTTCCAACCCACGTGCCTTCATCATCATATACCCCCTCCCAATCTAAACCGAACCGCTCGCTCATGAACCTTAAAAAAAAATAAAAATCAAATAAAAATTCACAAACAAGAAACAAAAACCCCCAAAAATTACGCCCGCTCCCAAGCCTCCAAAAAACCCCTCCGTCTCAACACCCCCATCCCCCCATGCCTTCCCACCAACCCCCAAAACACCCTCTCCCTCTCCCTCTCCCCCATCTCCCCCCCATCCCCCCCTCTAAACCCCCTTCCCCCCTTCACCACCTCCTCCAACACCACCCTATCCACCTTCCCATCCGTGCCTCCATATACCGCCTGTAAATCCCTCATAACCCCCTTCACCCAAGGTGCAATCCCCTTCAGCGCCGTGTCGTCTGCGGCCGTCCATACCCCACGCAAGTTGGGGGGAATGCCGTCGCCGCGGGAGAGGCTGGCGAGGACGGTAGCGGTGCGGGTGGGGTTGTGCGAGCAGGTTGTGGCGTGGATGGCGCGGATTATGAGGGGGTCGGGATACTGGCCGCGGAAGTGGGTGAGGATGGGGGTGGGGTCGATTAGGGTTTTGGGGGTGGTCTTGGAGTTGGTTGGGGTTGGGGTTGAGGTTGAGGTTGATGTTGATCTGTGGGGTTGTTGTTGTTGTTGTTGTTGTTGTTGCATGATGGGGTTGCGGGCGGTGGAAGTGGAAGTGGAAGTGGAAGTGGAAGTGGTGAGGGCCGGTTGTTTCCCCTTGTCGGGCTTCGACGTCGTCGGCCATGGAAGAGCTCGGCGCGGCGGGGCAGGCCGCACAGGGACGTTAGCGACTGGTTCGAAGCCGTCGCTTGACTCGGGCTCGTCGTCCGCTGTGCCGATTGGTAGACGAGGCTGACGAGGCAGAGGTCGGGCGGTCGACGACGTGCCGTTAAGGTTTAGAGTATTCCGTGGCGGGATCCCGTTTCGAGTTGGGACCTGCGCAGGAAACGTCGCTTCACTACTTTCCAGCCGTAATTGTTGCGAAGGCGTGACGACGGCATCTTCGGATTCGCTAAGGATCTGCGTGTCAAATACGATCCGCGGCGTCACCGGCTGGCCGTTATGTGTGCGCCGTGTCGGGGTTTGTAGACTTCCAGCCGCTGGGGCCGGGGCCGTTGCTGTTCGTTGTGTTTCTTGCCCTCGTACTGCTGGGGTCTCGGGGATCTCGACAGTCGGGTCGTACCGCGCCCGTTTTCGCATCGAGCTGTTCATGGGCGTGTCTGACCCTCTGACTCTTTTGAGCGCGGCAAGCGGGGGAGACGAGATGAAGTCGTCTTCGGAAGTAGCCGCTTCGATGGCGATTTGTGCGTGGGCTTCCTCTTGTGTTGCGTGTGCCTCTCCAAGCAGTTCTTCCTCTGCTTCTCCCTCTGCATAGCCCTCTTCGTCCTCTTCATAACCTTCCTCCTCCTCCTCACCCTCCTCCTCTTCATCATCATCATCAGCCCCCTCATCCTCCATCTCAAACCGCCTCAAATACACCTCCAACTCCAACAAATACCTCTCAAACCCCTCCCTCAACCTCACCGGCATATGCGGCTCCCGCACCCAATCAAACCCCATCTCCTCCGCAATCACCTCCCAGTTCCGTGCCGCATGCTCCTGACTACCACCACCACCGTTGTCCCCATCTCCCGCTCCCGCCCTCGCACAGCGCCACAGATCCCAGACATTCACAGCATGCTGGCCGATCTGCACCCACGGCGAGGGCTTGACGTTGTACGCGGCGTTGAGCTGGTTGTAGCAGAGCCAGAACTCGGCTTCGGTCGTGGCCATTTGGGTTTGTTTGGGGGCTGATGGTGAGGGTGGGGCTGGGTTGTCCTGCTCGTTTTTCTCATCCTGCTCGTCCTGTTCGTCCGGCTCCGACTCATCAAGCCCCCAGAACTCAGCATCCCCCCCGGGGAGGAGGAAATCCTCCTTCTCATGATCCCAAAGCTGGTCTAGTTCGCGGTTCCCGCCTAGACTCTTCTCGGGCGCCGTGAACCACGCGGTATCCTGTGGCTCGCCATCTTCATCGCCCTTTTCGTCTTTTTCGCCCCTTTCGTCTTTTTCGTCGTTGGAGTCGTTCTCCTCTCCGAGACCGTCAAGGGCCCGGCGTACCATGAACCCCACGGCGCGGGCCTGGAACTGGGTGATGGATTCTAGGCCTTGGTTCCATGTTTTTCGTGTTTGGTAGGCACGCCATGCGGCTTGGATTTGTCGGGCGGCTACGATTTGGCGTTTTCGTTGCTCGAGTTCGCGGAATCGGTCGCCTATTGAGGTTGGTGGTTTGCGCGTGGCTGGTACTGGTGTGGGGGCGTGTGGTGTTGAAGCTTTTGGGGTGCGAGATCGTGGTGATCGGGTTGGTGATGTGCGTGTTTGTGGTGTGTCCGCGCGTGGTGTGTGGGTAGATGGTGCCTTGGCTGGTGTGTGGGTAGATGGTGCCTTGGCTTGTGGAGGATCTGCTGGTCTTGCAGGCCGTTCTGATACTTGAGGCGTCGCGGTCCGGGGCGTCTCCGATCCAGGCCTTGGCTTCTTGACCTCCACACTCGCAGACGCAGCAGGCGACACACGCGCTGGTGTTGGCGCTGCCCGATATGAACGAACATCCGCAGGGTCAACAAGCGACCGCGCTGTAGGTGGTGGTAACTCAGCCAAGACACCGGGCAGCTGGTCCGCGGGCAGCCTAGCCAAGGCGATCGACTTGGACCGCCACGAGTGCCAGGTGTGGTCGGGGTACTACACGGCTGTCAGCGAGGAATATTGAACAGTAAAATCCATTTCTGTCCAGGGACTCACCAGTGCCTCCAGCTTCTGGTAGACCAAGTTTCCCGAGGCCCCCAGATCCAGGCCGGCATTGCGTAACCAGGTGACGAGGATCTGCTCCTCGAGCTTGGTGAAGGGCACCCTGATGGCGCGACGTGTCCCGGTCGAAGCCGTGTCATTGGCTTTGTGGATGAGGTAGTCGGAAATGTCGATGAGCTCACCTGCGTCCACCGACTGGGTGATGTACTGCCACGAGACGGAGCCCGCCGGGGAGTCTTTCCGCACGTGGTCGGCAATCAGGACATCGGCTATTTTTTCTAGTTTTACCACCGTGCCGCCGTTATTCTGCAGCCAGGTCAGAGGTTTGAACGAGAGAACAGGAATAAGAGAACAAGACTAAGAGAACAAAGAGAACAGTAAACAGGAACTCACCTTGATTTTCTCGACGATCAAATTCCGTTGGGGCACCCGCAGATGCACCCAGAATTTGGTCCCATTAAACAAGGCACCGTCACCGTTTCCGTTCACCCCATCGTACACAATGGGGGCCACCATAGCGACACGCCGTACCGTTGCGCCGAGGTTTTAACCCTAACCCTGGGTACATAACCGGATAGCGCGATGGAACGCGATGGGATGTGGAATGTGCGGTCGCAAGAACTGGGATTCCGCAATGTAATCGCGTGAACCTGCACGGTGTCTGAACGTTGCGGCTCCTGTGCCGCGTGAATAGATGGAGAAATGTGGGTGTGTTGTGGTTGAGAGTGAAGCGTGGGATTGAATTTTTGATGGGTTGCGTTGAGATCAAAGACGGGGGTTGAATGCCGTGTTTCACGCGACGGCGGGGCACGCGTTATCACGGGTACGCTCGTCGTCTAAGTTTGCAATTATCGGGGGATTACTCCAGCATTGACGTCTCGTTAGTCGCTTAATGGGTTAGATCCATAGCATCTTCTAGCCCAAACAAACAGTCAATCTCGGCTTACATCTTACATCTTCCTTCATTGTTTACACCACGATGCGCCTCTGCGTGCGCCGCTCCTAGATCAGATGGGGGCCCTCGCAAAAGTCGCAACCGCGGTGCTGGGCCTTTCATTCATGGTGTTTGTCACCTTTTTCGGCCGATTGCCCGCTTTCAGGTGTGTTAAATCTCATTTCATCGAATCTCAATGCATTGGCATACATTTCAACTTTGATGTACATACATACATTGTAAATTGAGACTAACACGTTCAGACGCACCCCCGTGGCCTGGCTGTACCGTCTTGTCTGGGTGCACCTCCCCAATGGCCTCATCGCCATCGACGAGCGTCTCACGGGCGGCCGAACCGTGGCTGCTCTCACACGCTTTAGTTCGTACATCATGTACGACCGCCATCCGACTGTCTTAGTACGTATTATAACTTGTTTCCTCTTATCAACTATTCACTAACAAGAGACATCAGATCTTCTTCATCCTCCTCCTGACCATCTCAACCTACCTCTATCTCCCGTCCTCCTGGCCCCTCATGGCCCCCATCCACAAAATCCTTTCTGTCCCCACCATTTTATGTCCCTACCTCTTCCTCTACCTCTCAGCGGCCTCCGACCCCGGCACCATCACCCCCTCCAACCTCCCCCGCGAAATGGCCCGCTACCCCTTTGACTTTTCCCTCTTCCACCCCGGCGCCCGCTGCCGTACCTGTCCTCCCACTTCCTCCCAGTCAGGAGGCCAACACGGAGAAGAAGAAGGGAGAGCAGGAGAAGGAGGAGACCAACAAGGAGGCCAACTCAAACCCGCCCGCTCGAAACACTGTTCCCTCTGCCGCGCCTGCATAGCCCGCTGCGACCACCACTGCATTTTCATCAACAACTGTGTCGGCGCCGGCAACCACCACTATTTCCTCCTCCTCCTGCTCTCTACCGCCATCTTAACCCTCTACGGCGGCCTCCTCGGCACTTCCCTCATGACATCCCAAATGCGCGCTCGTTTCCCCGGGTGGAAATGGGCTTGGTGGCGCGCCTCGCGCGGCACCCTCTACGGGAATAGAAATGGAAGAGACGAGCTGGGGATGCCGTTCACGGATTGGTTGATAACCTGGAGCTGGGGGATGCAAGATGGCGGGCGGGGCAGTGGCGGGGGGGTTGCGATGGGGGCGGTGACGTTGCTGGCGTTGATGACGAGTCCGTTGGTGTGGGGGTTGTTGGGGTATCATTTGTGGTTGGTGTATTGTGGCACGACGACGAATGAGTCGATGAAGTGGGCGGATTGGCAGGTGGAGATGGATGAGGGGGGGGTGTTTAAGCGGAAGGTGAACGCCGAAAAGAGGGGGAGGGATTTGGGGGTTGAGCCGGCGTGGACGAGGTGGCCGGTGGAGGCGGAACAGGTGTTGGTTAGGACGGGGGATGGGAAGCCGCCTAGGGGGGAAGGGTTGCTACCGGGAGAGGGACCGTGGGAGGCGGTGTGGAGGTTGAGGGATGTGGAGAATTTGTATGATTTGGGGTGGTGGGATAATTTGGTCGATGTGTTGTGGCCGTATTATATGTTTCGGGATCCGTATGTGCCCGTGGCGGAGGATAGGGTACGGCGGAAGAAGAAGAGGCGGGCAAGGAAGATTATCTTGGCTTAACATACCTAGAATAAGGGGCGTAGATTAGAGTTGGATAGCAGCAGAGGAGCAGAGAAGCAAAGAAGCGAGAAAGGATAGCGAGAACATGAACGATGGAATAGACCAGGATTCCGAGTACCAAACCGGGTATATAACGTATTTACAGTGTTTTACATATCTGAGCTCCCGTATTTACACCTTCATATCCATTCATCTACGCCGCCTTTGGGGCCTCCCCCGTCTTCGAGGCTTCTGCCCACTGGATCTGATCAAACGACACAATCTTCTGCACCGGCGGCGGTGTCGGCACCACCACTCCCGCCGTCTTCTCCTTCGGCCCCTCGACCAACCCCGCCATCCGACAAATCGCATACCGTACCCCCCTCATCCCCATCGGTTCCCCCGTATCATCCTCATTCCCCGCGGCCGTGACCCAAATCTCCGGCTCCCACCCCTTCACCTTCCCCTCCAACCACGTCAAACTCTCCAACTCCACCTCCCGCAACGTCCCCCACACACTCCCACACACCACCTCAATCCTCTCCCTCGCCCGCGCCGCATTCGGATCCCGCGATAACTTATCCGCCCGCGTCAGCACCACCGCCGTGCGCACCTCCAAATCCCGCAACAGACCCAGCACCGCCCGGTCCGTCTCCTTCACACCCGCCACCGCATCAATCAGCACCACCGCCCCGCGCAGCATCGCCCGTTGCGCGAGGTACTTCTGAAACTCCCGGCCCCATTCCGCATCTGACCCTAACCCGTACCCAGGCGTGTCGATCATGATTAGTCGGTGGTCTGGATACAGCAGGTTGAGTTTACTCGACCTGTTCGCGCGTCGATCGCTGCGGCTGTGTCCAGTTCCCCAATCATCAGCAGCGGCCGCTTCCTTCTGTTCCTTCCACTCTTTGATCCTCGCCTGGCCCTCCAACCGCTCCGCATGTGTCGGGACCCCGATGCCGTACCCGTTCAGCGTCTTGGTCTTACCCGCCATGCGGCTCGTCATGGCGAGTTCGCGGGGCTGGAACTGTTTGTTACCCGTGCGGTGGCTGCCGCCGTGGGACTGGAATTTGCGCGCGGCGCGGTGGTTGGCGCCGGCGAGGGCGTTGATGAGGGTGGACTTGCCGACGTTGGAGCGGCCGATGAGGCAGACTTCGGGCATGCCGGGGTTGAAGGGGACTTGGAAGAAGCGGGCGGCGGAGAAGAGGTATTTCATTGGGTGGGTTGTGAAGAGGGAGGAGGTGTCGTCGAGGGTGCGTTTGGGCGGGCGGGGCCCCGGGAGGACGCGTTGGGTTGGGTCGTTGGAGGGGGGCGGGAGGAAGGAGATGACTTCGCTGGGGAGGTTGTCTTTTTTCGGGGGCTTCCAGTTGGTGTGCTCGATTGGGGGGAAGGGTTCGGAGGGGAAGCAGGTGAGGGAGGTGGTTGAGAAGGGGCGGGCCTGTGGTAGGCGGGGGGCCCGCGGTATCCTGGGGGGGGGCATTTTGTTGTTTGTTGTTAGTGAAGTTGAATTGTTTCTGTTACAAAGAAAACAGTTGAATGTCTCGAGCAGGAATGTAATCGGTAGATAAGTCTGTCGTGGTGGGGCATACGATAAGGGTTAGGGTTAACGCTAAATCTCGAAACAACCCCACCAACAAATTCAAGCTCCGGCCTTCCCCAGAATCAATCCACGCTCGATCAACAACCACCACAAACCACCTACCACGGCGCTCAATTCTACTATATCGCCGCCGGACCTTCACACGGTACCCAATTAGCATCACCAACGCCGCCAATCCCATATCTCACACCACACCACCCCCATATCTCACTACGGCAACGATTCCCACCTGAAACCCACCAGCAAACCACCAGAACACCGCAGATCAACCACCATGACAACCCGCCACCTCTACCGCGCCCTCCTCCGCGAACTCCCCCCCCGCCCCCTCCTCACAACCCCCCGCGCCCCCCTCCACCAACGCCTCCGCGAGACCTTCCAGTCCCCCCAGTCAAGCCCCCAATCCAGAGGAGAGTCAGAAACACAAGAAACACAAGCAGCAACAAGGGAGAGTTTGATAGCCCAAAGCAAAGAATACCTCGCCTATCTGCGCGCGCAGCGGACCTATGTGACGCTGCTGGAAAGGTATAACCCCGGCATGGGCATGGATGAGGAGGAGAGGGTGAGGTTGACGGCGAGACGGGTGGGGATGGATCTGCCGGTTGAGTATGAGGTGGAGGATACTGATGCTGGGGAGGGAGAGGGGAATGGGGAGGGGAAATTGTGATGGGAAACTGTGATGGGTGAGGTGTTGGGGGGTTGGAGAGGGAGGACAAGATGGGGGACGATCCGAAGCGGTAGACGGACATCATCAAGAAAAGGAAACAGCACGGTGAGAGCGTAACTAAAAACTCCGACGAGTGAAGGGAAGGACAAGCTAGGACGGGCGGGGTAGAGCATAAGAAGTGGCTCGAAACGAAGAGGAGTATGGTCGATTGACATACTTTAGGCTGGAGGTAAAAGAGCATTCATGCTGGCAAGGGGTTGTATATACAATACGGTGTATGATAGCTGTGCATAACGATGGACGGGACGGGCGCGGCGTTTGGAGTTGGTATACGGGTGTTATTTACTTGGCATTTGAAAGCGAAGGTTTATCTACTATACCCTCCTTAATCTATCCCCTCAAGGTGCTCCAGTCGGTCAAGCAGGTCGGTCATGTGTGTCTAGCGTGATCCGGTATATGAGTCTAATCCGTCTGCTGCTCTCCGGTCTACTCTCGTCCGCCCGGGCATGAAACCTCCCGGCTTGGGAGCGCAAGGCAAAGCACCTCATGCATTTCTGGAAGAGTGCCCGGCCTCGGGAGTCCTCACTAACTATAACTGTTCACCTGGAACTCAAAACCCCGAGTCCTACAAGGGCACAGCGACAATAGCCTCAGGGTGTTTGTTGCTTCATCTTGCTAGATGGTAGCAGAGCTGATCTGTACCCTTCAGGAGCTGTAGAGTTGTATTGTACCAGAGAACGGAGAGAAGAGGAGCGTGGCTGAGGCGATGGGTGCCATGTTCACAAGCCATACGAATGGCTGTAACATACCTCCTAAGTATCTCCTGCATTCAACATCGAAGCAGCCGGTTAACCCACCCGGATAATAAAGAAGCAAAGCAGTCAGCCCGCCAGCAGAGAATAAACAACCAAAGCAGTGACTCAGCGATATAGTAAAATTATCTTGATATCAATCCCCTCTTCTTCCAGACTAAATAATCTTTCAAACTAAATCTCTTCCAAAGTAAATAATAAAAATACCCCAAGTAAACCCCAACCCCGTTGCTAAGCTATATAACCTACTCCATTACCCGTCCACCCGCCCTGCCATACCTCGTAATATCATTTCTCGTTGTCCCTTGTGTGTCAGTATGTAGAAAAAGAACGCCCCAATGGGTATCAACGCCATCTCAAACCCCTTTAACACCCTTCACCTGTTCCCCTGAGTATCAGCACCCTTAACCCGGCCCCCCCTCAGTACCAACACCTTTACCCCCCTTCAAGTATCAACCCCCCATGGTTAGATAGACCGTTAAACACCCCCCACACCCCCCTCCTCAAAACTCTCATCCCAACCCCCAGTCTCCAACAACCACCCCCCCACACGCTCCTTCACATGTCCTACCGTCTCCCCCAACGCACTCCTCCACTGATCCTGCACCACCCGCACCCTCTCTTTCAAATCCTCTGTCAACCGCCTCCCTTCGGCCGCCTTCATTTTTTCTACTTCTTCCTCTTTTCCTCTCCCGTTGGCGTTGGCGTTGGAGTTGGGGTCGTCGCTAGGTTGTAAACTCGGGTCTCGCTCCATTTCCATTACCTTAGCTCTGGCCAGGACGCAGGCTTCCTTGACTTCGTGGAGGAGGCAGAGAAGGTTGGTCTGGCTTTCGATGAACTGGTATGTGCTCTTTTCCGCGTGCAGGAGCAGACTAAACAGATATTGCAAAGGGTGTTCGAGATAAGACGGGTTTTCCGCGTACTCCGCAGCAGGGATCTGAACCTGGAATTCCTCCAGACTGACATCGCCCGTGGGGATTTTGTCCAGCACGCGTTTGAGATCAGGCGCGATATCCCAAAACGCGTTCAACTGCACCTCCACGCCACGCCCGACCGTTTCCTCGACTACATCCCGGAACTCTTGCGTGCGTTGGAGGGATTCCTCCGCGAATGCCAGCGCCCGCTTGGCGGCGTCCTGCACGAAGAAGGCCTCGGCGGAGGTGAGTTTGTCCTGCTGCGCGGCATCACCAGCGAGACGGTACGGGAGGAGAACCATGTCACGGTAGCGGTCGTTGCGGTCAGAGAGGAGGTCGTAGAGGCAGCGGTGGAGGGATTCGCGGGCTTCAAAGATCCATTTGAGGAGGGTGAGTTTTTCTAAGAGTTCCGGTTGTTCGTCGCCTTCTTCTTGGGGGAGGTTGGGGTTGGATTCGTGGGTTTCGTCGAAGAGGCGGCTGCGGAGGGATTGGAAGAGCGCTGTGGCGTTGGTGATGCGGGATTGGAGGATTTCGTTGACGGGCATGACGACGGCGGTTTGGAAGGTGTCGAAGGTTTTCTTTTCGAGGTCCTTTTGCGCGGTGTGCTCGTCGGTTTTGGCCGAGGCTTCCATGGCGGCTGCTTCGGCGTAGCCCATTGCGCCCGAGGAGATTTGTTGTTGGAGGTGTTGGCGGAGGGCCTGGCCGCGCTGTTTGGCGGCGTCGGCGGCGTCGGAGCGCATCTTGGCGGTGGTCTGTTTGAACTGCTCTTTGAGGCTGTCGATCTCGCCCATGTCGCTGATCACGCGCACTTCGCCGCGTGTCTGCGCCAGTTCGGGGTGGTTGTTGTTGACAGCTGGATGGTGTCGTGGGTACGGCGGGGGCAGTGTCACCAGCCGGGACACATCCAAGTGATTCGGGTTGGGTGTCGTCGGGGCAGACGACGACGCGAACGAGCTGCTCCCGCCAAACCCTTGGGATTGCGACAGCGGCTGCGGCGTGCTCTCGGGTTCCTGGTCGTGCCAGCCCGTCTTTTCGGCCGGGTACGACGTGCGCTTGCTAGACCCGGGAAGATTCGGAGACGACTGCGGCGGCTCATCAATCCACTGCAGCGCTTCCCTCGCCTCTTTCGGCACGCCCATGTACTTGGATTCCCGCTTCGACCGCTCGATGCGCCCCCCCGGAGCCCCCGTCGAGTCGGCCTCCCACCAGCGGCTTGCCGGCCGTCCGCGGGAATCCTCCTCGTCGATGGCGTCGCTGACGCTCATGCTCAGAATCGGCGACAGCGACGGCATGTAGTTGGACGACTGCCAATTCTGGTTGGCCGAGGGGGACGGTGGCGCCCCCGCGTGTTGATGTTGTTGCTGCTGCTGATGACCAGACGACGTAGGCGTGGTACCCCCCAACGCTGACCCGATCGACCCACGATGTGACCGCGGCTCGGACGACCCCGGTGTCAGCTCGGCCATGCCGCTGCCGCTCCCGGCCGAGGTGATCGATTCACGGCGCGCCGCTGTCATGGGCCGGAACAGGTCGCGTGTCAAGTCCAACACCTCGGATCCCATGGCCCCAATGGCAGCCCCGTACCGCTCCCGTCGCATGCGCGATTCGTGCACAAAGAACTCGGCGAACAGCCGTACACGCTCGGCATCGTTCGGCGCCGCCGCCTCGGCCCGGGCAAACGCTGCGAACCGGTCGATGGTCCCGCGCGCGAACTGCTCTGTGCTCTGCGCGACAACTAGCTGCTTGCTCAGCGGCATCGGGGAGTGCAGCCCGTTACTGCCGGTCGACATCCGGTCGGTGCTCAGCCCGCGATGCGACGACGACGATCGGCTGCCTGTCGGTGGTGTCGGTAGGGCCTTGGGCGCCATCACGCTGCGCTCGGGTTGCTTGCCCGCGCTGTGCGGCATCGTCAGTGTTGGCGTGGCCTGTGAGGAGCCCTCGGCGCGGGGTGTCCGGGACTCGCCGTTGTCGTACGACTCGGCTGTCCTGGGCGTATCGTTCGACGACTTGCCCGTTCTCGGCGTCCCACGGTTGATGGTCAGTCGTCGTTGTAAGCCCCCCGACGGGCCCGGGATCACGATATCGGACAGCGGCTGGGGCTTTGCGGCCGGGGAATCGATCGCGCCGCGGGTACCCCCTCGTGTCCTGCTCTCGCTGCGTCTCTCCAGCAGCGTCTGTGCCTTGTCCCCTCGCACTGCAGGGCTCCGCGTGAGTCCCCCAGCTGGGCTTGTCGACGAAGACCCAACATCAGGGTGGGCAGGGCTGGCCACGGGGCTTTGAGGTTGGGGAGTTTCGACCGCGCGCACCGGGGCCGGCGTCGACGGTGGTGGTGGTGCTGGCGCTTGAACTGGTGTTGACACCGGAACAGGCGCAACCGGGCCCGGCATACTATCCCCATCTCTCCAATTCGCCGGCGTTAGGGGCACAGGCCCCAGCGCCGCGATCCCGCTCGGCGGGGGTCGTCGAGTGGGCGGTGACATGATGGGGTTTGGCTCCGACGACGTCCGCTGCGCGCTCTGCGACCTCGAGCTCGACGGGGGCGGTCCTGGCGGAGGAGGGGGAACAGGCATCTGCGGATCCCACCTCACCTGCGACGATGACCGCGATCGGCCGGACGTGGGCGTCGCAACGGCCGGTGTCGATGCTGCGCGGCGTGATCCTGGCGCAATGTTCATGCCGGCCATCTCTGCCTCGTTTCGTGGCTGTGGTATCTCGACTGTCATCGGCGCTTGGCTGTGGGTTTGGCTGTGACTGTGACTGTGGCCCTGGCTCTGGCCCTGCCCTGGCATTACCCGCGACATCATGCTGAACGACCGGTTGTTGTGGTTCACTGGCGGCTCCACGGGCGGGCTCGCCTGTTCTGGCTCTCGCCGCCTGCCTAGCGACGGGAACCCGAACCGTCGCTCTCTCGAGGCGCCTCTTGTCCCAGGCGGAGGTGCAAAGGATGTGTTGGCCACTGGCGGTTCTGTAGCAACTCGCGCAATCGGCGGGGGTGGGGCTCGCGCAACCGATACGTTGGCCACCGGCGCCTGGTCAAACGTCATGCTCGCGGGACGTCCACTGCGGGGCGGGGAGTACGGAGGTGGAGGGAGCGGCGATGCTTTTCTATATTAGCTCAGAACAAGGCATACGAGAGAGAAGACTTACACTGCGGTTCCTGGTAAGCTTGAGTTGGCGGGGCCGGCGGCAGATGCGGCATACGATCCGGCACCGGCCCGGACTGGGGCGAGCCAATCCATTCCTGAGGGTTGTACGGCTGGATGGCGCTCATCGGCGTCTGGCCTGGTGTGAAGGCGCTATGGGGGGCTACCGACAACGCAGACACCGGCGTGCCGGCGTTGTGGAATCCGCCCAGCGAGTTCGTCAGGAGGGGGTTTAAGCCCGCGCGAAGCCGCGCTGTCGGATCGCGGGACGAGCTCATCATGGCGGGCTATCGCGAGTGGGTGAGAGTCAGAGTGAGCGGGAACGATCGAGGTAGCTAGGGGTTGACCGGGTCGAAGCAGAACGAGAACGCCTAGTAAAGATTCGCAATGTCGAAACGTCCGGGCCGCACCTGAGACGGACGTGCGATGTCGTTACCAAGCCATGCACAATCGGAACGTGGGGTTGTCGTCGCGGGCTCGTCGTCGGACCTTCCCTCGAGTAATTGCTAGTCGCCTCGTCGGCCGTCACGGGTAGCGTTATGTCGAAACTGCACTCGCACAATGTCGACCTCAAGACGCGGCTGCTGGCGGCAAACCGAACGGATCCAGGTACGGTTGAGGGAGGCAAAGTCTAAAGAGGAGATGCCCCAAGCCCGACTAGGATGCCGAGAAAAGGCGACAGTGGGATGCTGCAGTCCTGCAGCCTCTTTTCGAGCCCCCAGAAGCAGAGCAGCACTCTCGCGGCGTGGAACGTCACGGGTGGGCTAACCACTTTTTACAGGAGTAGATTAACCTACCTGCGACGTGCATGAGAAAAGCGGGAGCCGGAGTGCCGCTTTTGCAGAATCCCGTCCAGACACTCGACACACCACCGTGGTCAACCAAGGGTGTCGTGGGCGGCCTTGGCTACCCAGGCACGTTGCCAGTGCTCACGGTCACTCTCGGAGATGGCCCTGTCCAAGAGTCCGTCCAGGAGGGGTTGCGCTCCGAAACTGGCCCCGGCTGGCCGCTTATCCCTGCAGTAGCGCGCCCTGCCTGCCGAGGACGATTCTGGTTCTCGTTCTCGACACACCATCGACTCATCAACCAGTGAACCAGTCAATTGTTGCCCCTCATGAAGATTCTCCAGACCCGATATGGACGACGGACTCCGCTTGCAAGACCAAGTGCATGTCTCTCAGCCATGATCCGCCGTGGATGATCGTCCCGCGCTGTCTGACTTGAAGACACACCGTCCGTCACACGCTTAATCCGACTCAGTAAACCGGGTCCCGTGCTGCGAGACGCAAACCCGACGCAAGACCAGAGTCTGAACTGATCGAGATCTGCAAAAGGGAGGTGGTGTTCCTCCGCTAGCAGTGGACACACACCATCGGAATGCCCGCTTGGTTCGACAGCCGAGTCGGAAACCCAGCACCACGTTCACGAGCCCAGAATAGCTCCCGTCTCCCACAAATAACGCCTTCACTTTCCATTTCGACATGCCCCAAGGCTGCGGGGCTGTCCGCCGCCCATGCCCGGTCACGACCACATTGGAGCAACGAGGTAAAAAGAGGTCTCGAAATGGACGGTGGCAAGCTTTCGAAAATGGGGTAAAAAGGGCGGCCGACGGGGGGCCTTCGAGGAATCGAGGGGCCGTTCGAGGGGTCGGGTCGGTGATTGGTCCTCTTGTTCGACCTGCGTGCCGGCAATCTATTCTTGGTTCTGGGCAAAATTCCCCAGCCCAGGCCTGATTCGCCAGAAGTCACGAATGGGTGTGGGACACCGCAGGGCTTCCTGCGGGCGCTTAACCCCCCCTGGCTCGATTCTTGGCGCATGATTCGATATTTGGCTCTTGTTCCGTTCGTTCAGAGAGCACGCACATGCTCGCTGGGGATGGTCTCAACTGGACGTCCAGAGGATGCGGTGAGCCTGCTGATCTTCACCTCGACCTCGCATCGCGTTGGTTAGAAATTGCTTAAAAAAAAACTGTGAGATAGCCCTTGACTATGTACCAATATTCATCATTCTGCCCTGCAAGGCGGGGGCCAATGAGGCGGTCGAGATCTTGTCTTTCGGCTCCTTCTCTGCCGGAGCTTCCCCACATCATTCCAGACCTCAGGCCGATGTGATGAGATATTAATACCACAATGTGAGATATTTTGCCCGGTGAAGTTGACTCTCGTCGTCCAGGTGTTTTGTTTTGTCAGTACGTAGTAACCGTGGACCCACGATTAAGCCCAGCTATTATTTTTGAAACTCGCCGGGAGCAACAACCGGAAGAATCCGAGGATCCGAGATAACGGAATAGAGATTGTTAAAGGCCTTAACTAAGGACTTAAAGCGTTCCCGACGTTTGACTTTTGGCCGACTGGGACAGTAACTGAACTGACTGTTACTTCAACTCCCAAAAAGGTTCCCTGTCGAAAAAAGGTGAAGCTCACAGCTCCGGCTCCGACCGTTGGATCTTGGCAAACACCTTTCCGTTCGGCTGGGACCGAGTCGTTCTTTATTTAGATCTCATGTTCGGGGCCTCCGTGCCGGCCCGAAAGGTAGTCGTCGACTCATCGGTCAAAGTTTCCTGCGTGCCGGGATCAGTTGGACTTTGGCGCTTAAAGGGCTGCTTCCTGGTGCTGGATACCTGCGTTCGATGTCACATGCAGGTGGTTCGAGGCCGAGCCAAGACTGGATCTGTTGGACAAAAACGAGTTGAATTGACTTCAAGCTTCCCCGAGTTCTAATTTCAGACGGTCCAGGGCTGTCTGCGGCTTGCTGTAGTGGTCAGAAACGTGGAAATAGGTTAACATTAAATTGCCAGACGACTCAATTCAGCGATGGTCCTCAAAGATGGCAGAAAAGTAACAAGGAGAGTCGCTTCAGAGATAAGGTTTCTATTCTTGACTTGGGGAGGGGTAATGAAAGGTAGGAGCTAAACACCATTTCGAAGACTTGATTCGGCAACAAATTGGCCGCAACATAGTATCAATTGCGATACTGTCGATGATCGTCAGGGGTGCAAGTTCGATGTCGAGTTGAATCGAATCCGGAGACAACACTGCTTGAGTGCACGGGCTGGAAAGCTGAGCTGAGCTCGGATCAATTGCTGACCCCACCAAAGGCGGTGAGATTTTGCGCCGCTGCTCCCCGCCTAGCTGGGGCTGCGAACTTTTCTAGAGCTTTCTAAGCTCCCTCATCCGGTGCTGACCCTGCTTTCTTTCCTCGGGCGACTCATGTCGTGCCCCCAACAACCAACAGCTTCATTTCTCCTCTTTCCACCACAAATCCCCCTTCGGCAACTATCCCACCGTCTTTTCCGCTTGGTAGGTTTTTGCTATTTGTTTCTTGCGCATTCCCGAGACTCACCAATTGCTTCCCTTGCTCCCTGATGATTGTTCAGCTGGCACCAGTCATAGGGCGACTTGTACTCCCTTCCCTTGATGACAGACGCTGCGGTCCACCAGGCCATCTCTGATCGAGCCCCAAACCTTTGAATCTCTTCAGCTGCCGCTTCGACGAGATCACCGCTAACCGGCGCAGATTAACTCACAGGTTTCCTTTCAGCTCTTTCTCAACAACCACAGTATATAACTGCCACAATGGTTCTGCACAACCCCAACAACTGGCACTGGGTGAACAAGGATGCCTCGGCGTGGGCGCGTCAGTGGTTCGACGATAACCTCACCAAGCTGGAGGCGAAGGAGGGGGATGTGACGGCCAAAATCAGCAAGGTCGTCAGCATGGATGGAGATGTCGACGTAGCGCAGCGCAAGGGCAAGGTCATTACGATTTTTGATGTCAAGTTAACCCTGGAGTACACAGGTACGTGTTGCCATAGAATACAAGCCACTTCCATTGCCGTTCCTCGCACATCATGCACTGTCTGCCCCAGCCAACCTCCTCCCCTGTAAACTTCTCTCGTGATCATCATTGTTGCGTAGCGGCGGGCTAAAATCTCTGCACTCCAGGCTCCACCGCCGAGGATGACGACGTTTCGGGCACCATCACCGTCCCCGAGGTCTCGCACGAGCTCGAAGAGGACGAATTCGTGGTAGGTCCACCTACTCTAAAAACTTAGTTTACCTATGACCGCACGAACTAAAACAAATGGGTCACGATAGTTCGACATTGATGTCTACTCCGAGTCCAAGGAGAAGCAACCCGTCAAGGACCTCGTTCGCGCCAAGCTCGTCCCCCAGCTCCGCAGCGAGTTCCTCAAGCTCTCACCCGCTCTCATCAACGAGCACGGCAAAGACATCCAGCACGCCCCCGGCTCGAACCCGTCCAGCGGATTTTCCACCCCGAAGCTGCACCCCCAGGGCGCGGCCGCGGCCAAGCCCGCCGCAACGACCAGCACACAGACCGGCACCGGCGGTGTGGTGAACACGGTCACCGTGACAGACAGCGAGGAGTTTCGCACCACGGCCGAGGAGTTGTACCAGACCTTCACGGACCCGCAGCGGATAGCCGCGTTCACGCGGGCCCCGCCCAAGGTGTTCGAGGGTGCCAAGGAGGGCGGCAAGTTCGAGCTGTTTGGCGGGAACGTGTCGGGCGAGTACCAGACGCTGGAGGCGCCGACCAAGATTGTGCAGCGCTGGCGGCTGGACCAATGGCCGGCGGGCCACTACTCGACGCTGCAGATCGAGTTTGACCAGAACGATGTCGACAAGGTCACTGTCATGCGCGTCGAGTGGAAGGGCGTGCCTGTTGGACAGGAAGAGGTCACCAAGCGGAACTGGCTCGAGTACTATGTCCGCAGCATCAAGCGTACTTTTGGGTGAGTCTGCGTGCCCAATCCTCTCTTGTATTTTGTGTTAAACATTTGTTGCTGATGCTGACTGATGTCTAGCTTTGGCACCATTCTTTAAACGACGGAAGGAAGCGGCATTGCGAGGAAGCGGCGTTTGGTGGCATGGGTAACGGCGGTATGATTGGCATGCATGGGAAGGGAAGGAATAGCGATGGTATCCAAGCATGGTCAGATCGATAGTTTAGTCTTTTGACTCGCGATCTACAGTTTTCTCGCTGGATACCGCCAGCATAGTAACGGCGTCACGAGGCAAGACCAATGAGAAAACGACAATTCATGACATACTTTACATGCGACGTATAATCTTCTTTAAGAATGTGTTTACACAATTGTTCGGGGTTAACTTGTGGGGTGATTCGGCCCCGGCGTCGGCTCGGTCGGTGCTGTGTGGGGTAGAGGCCTAAAGTCCCGGGACCGGAGCCAGGTATCAAACGTGTAGCTGCGGCCGTCGGTATGTACCTACCTATCTCGTCGTACACGATAGTTCCTTGCAGTCAACTGTTTCTCACCCAACGCGAATAAATCCCCCGCACCACCCCGCGTTCGTGTGCATTTAGTTCTTAGTTCTCTTGATCACAAAGAGCTGAAACACCAAGCATCCACCATGGCGCCAGTTTACAAGATTGCCAATATCCAGCTTGTCCCACAGGTAAGTAACTCACTCATGACGTCGTCCTCAACTCATTTAACAACCACCATCTCTATCTCTCTCTCTCTCTCACACACACACTCACACTTACTTACTTACACCCCTAGAAACTCAATGTGAAAGACAACTTCGCCCGCGCCGAGAGCTTCCTCCGCGGTGCCGCCTCCCTCGGCGCCCACCTCGCCGTCCTCCCCGAATACCACCTAACCTCGTGGTGCCCCGGCCACCCCTGCTTCATCAATGCCTGCGCCGAATCAGCCACCTACCTCCCGCGCTACCAGGCTCTGGCCCGCGAGCTCAACATGAACATCGTCCCGGGGACCATCTGCGAGGTGCATCCCGCTAGTACTACTACTGGGTCAGAGCAAGGGCAGGAGGAGGGTAAGGAGAATAAGGAGGAACAAAAAGAAATCCGCAACATGGCGTACTGGATCGCAGCCGGCACCGGCGCCCTCATCGGCACCTACCAAAAGGTCAACCTCTGGCACTCGGAGCGTCCACACCTCACCCCGCCACCAACAGACGCCTCTGCGCCGTCCCCACACATCGCCTTCGACACCCCTCTCATCTGGACCGATCCAAACGGCCCCAACCCAGAAACGGATGGTGCCCCCATCCGCGCCGGCATGCTCATCTGCTGGGACGCCGTCTTCCCCGAAGCCTTCCGGTCCCTCCTCCGCCAGGGCGCCTCGCTCATCATCATCCCCTCGTTCTGGGTCTGCGACGGCAGCGACCTCGACCCCGTCCGCACGCGTCTCAACTCCGATTGCGAGGGTTTATTCCTCAACTCGTTGATGATCACGCGGTCGTTTGAGAATGAGGCGGTGATTGTGTTTTGTAATGCGCCTGGGTTGAGTCAGGTTGTGGCGCCTGTTGTGGGAAGGTTGCCTCTAGGGGTGCAGGCGGAGGCGATGGGGAGGAATGAGGAGGTGATGAACGTGGTGGAGGTGGATTTTGAGACGGTGAGGGTTTTGGAGGGGGAGTATAAGGTGAAGCGGGATGTGTTTAGGGAGGGGTGGCATTATGGGTATGAGAGGGGGTGTTGAATGGAGAATGGGAGGGCTGGAGCAAGCAGGAGAGAACGGAGGCTAAGAATCTATATTCTTTCGAGGTCGAAGAGGAGGAATTAATGGTGGTTAAGCTCATGTTCCCTTACATTACCATGCAAAACTTTATTTCGCGCGAAACTATCCACAGAATACCAAAGTCTTTACCACTGGGTACCCAACCCGTTTACAATTATCAAATTTGACAACCTCTACCTTAAACTCATCGCGCTTATAATTAATGGAAACAGCCCAAAAAGGGTTCTCAGAAAATCTCAAAAATCGACACGAGCCGGATTTGAACCGACGCCTCCGAAGAGATGAGATTTCGAGTCTCACGCTTTAGACCACTCAGCCATCGTGCCTTAATGATTGGGTCATCCCAAAGTGGGGATTATGAGGAGGGGTTTGGTGGATACTACGCTGTGGATTGGGGGTTGCAAGACTAACAAAAGATAATGCCGTTATGTCTTCTGTCTAGATCTGGGAGAATAAGTGAGAAAACTGTGAATGATGGTTGGTATTTGTTGGTAATCGGGGTGGGTGTGAAACTAGGGGGTAGAATGTATTGAATTCCTTAAAATTGAGGAGGAACAAAGATGATTAAAAACGTATAGGAAATGTATTATATGACCATCTAATGCTTCTTCGGCGATGAAGCTGCATTTGATGATGGACTGAGAAAGGTTACAAAAAGTAAAACAACAGTTCGGAACAATTGATAATTGTCTAAAGGAAGTTGATATTCACAGCATTCCCGCTAGAAAGATCTGCTGAATGATATACCTAACAAATAGCACAAACCGATTAAGCTACATCGCAGGGGATAGACAAAAACAGCAGTTAGATATAACCAACCTAGTCCTTACCGAATACCCCATAACTTACCTATCACATCCATCTCACATTCCTCCCTTCACTCTCGGACTTCTCCCTTTCTTCCTCCCTTTCCAATTCTCCCTCACCTCCCTTATCCGGCCCCTTCACTCCTTACCCCCAACCCTTCGACTCCCAGCCCGCTTTACCAAACCCAGCCCCTAATTCATATCCCACTCCTGCTCCCGCCCCTCCCGATCCCTGCTCCTCTCACCCCCCGTCCCATCCACCGGGTACCCCTCCCTTCTCCGCCGGCTCGCAAGGCCGCTGGACCGAGAGTAGCCGGACTGCGAATGACTAGGAGGAGGGGTATAACTCCTCCGCCGGGAGCTGGAGCTGGAGTTGGGCGGATGCGGATGTCGAGAGCGGGAGGAATGGTGATCCTGATCCATCTGGCTGTCCCGGCGGCGTTGGGTGTTTTTACTGCTGCTGCTGCTGCTGTGGTTGTTGGAGGGGTGGTGGCTGGTTCTGTGGTTTCTGTTGTTGTTCTTGGTGTTGTTTCTGCTGGGGGCAGTGTCACTGCTATGGCTGCGGTTACCGGGTTGGCGTTTGGATGGGGGGATGGGGTAGAGGCAGCAGAAGGTGGCGAGGAAGGCGTTTAGGATGGACATGCTGGTGTTGGTCTTGTGGGGGTTGGGTTTCTGTGCTTTTTGGGGGTTGGGGTTTCTTGGGGTTAGGTTTTGGGTTGGTTGGTTACTTACTTGCCTTGGTATGGTTGGGTCGTTTTGTGGGAGATGGGAGAGGAACTGTTGCTGGTGGGGAGTAAGGACTTTATATAAGCTTGATGTGGTGTTGGTGGTTGATTTGAGTCGGAGCTGGGTGGGCTTATTTCTGGAATGAACAGTTAGTTATTGTGCTAGGGGAATGTTGCGGTTGGTGATGGTGCAGTGTTGAGTCTCAAGCATGGACTTGATTAAGTATTGACTTGAGGCATTGATGACAGCGGCTTTGGGGTGTTGAGAAAGCAACCTGCTCTTTAATAGTAGTACAACAGCTTAGAAGGATAAGAAAGGTGAGGCACTGGAACATTCGCTCTTGAGATGAATAATCCAACAGTAGAGCACAAGGTACGGCCCGCAACAAAGAAACACCACTAGGAAACGTTGAGCTGTGGCTTAAGCACGGGGAACACGTCCCTTGTCATGTACATACAGTACAACAACAAAGCAGCAAAGTTGCACACTGCAGAATAAACCATTCTTGACCAGTATTATTCGAATAAACAAAAGCAACACGGCGGGGCCAAGAATCCAAAAGGCCGCTTAAATCCCATTTCACTTCATGCAACGAATATTCCTTTACGACCGACAACATTCCTTAATGCCTTTCCACCTTGACCCCCTCCTCAGGCATCACGATATCCCGCAGCTCAAACCTAGTGATAAAGTTGCTCTGCTTGACAAACCAGGCGTTGACAATTTCCCACTCCGAGTTGGGGTCATCGAAGCGGATCTGTCGGTCAAGGTTTCGTTAGTCTTCACATTCGAACCCTTATGTTATGTTATGCCGCTCGAGGTTTGTTTTGGGTTGAAAATGAAAAGTAAACAGTAGGAGAATAGACAGGTGAAAAGAGTAAAAAGGACCAAAAAGCTCACCGCCCAGCTCCCTCTGGCCCCAAATCAAGGGAACAAAAGAATAGTAGACAGCTACGAAAACCCAGTGGTTTTCTGCTCGGCCCGGGATTGAACCCGGGTACAAGCGTTGCAAGTTGCAGGCCCCCCAACTGCGCTATCCACGGACCGGACGGTTTCGGGGGGCGATGAAAGGAGCAGCGCGAGGGTGGGTTATAAGGGAATGGAGGAGGATACGTGCTTTGAAAAATGAGGGGTATGGAAAAGAGAAACAAAATAAATGGATAGAGGGTGAGTATAACGATGAAGAGAAAGAAAACATACCTCAAACCGCCTCAACAAACTCGGCACGACCTTATAAATCTCCAACAAACTAATATTCTTCCCAATACACGTCCGACTACCCATCCCAAACTGCAACATCGTCCCATTCATCACCCTCACCCTCCCCTCATCCCTTTCGTCCTTCACCTCCCACCTCTCCGGCCAAAACTCCTCCACCCTCTCCCCAAACACCCTCTCATCCCGGTGCACCACCCACGCCGAACACCCCACCACCGTGCCCCCCTTCACCCTCTCCCCACTCCCGGGGACAATCTCCACTCCGCCGGCGGGAACCACCCTCTCCAGCGGCAACCCAGGAGCGGGATGTAACCGAAACGCTTCCTTGACACACATATCCAGATACGGCAGATGGTTCTGGCTTTCGTGCCAGGTTACCAGCCCCGTTTCATAATCCGAAAACTTACCCGCGCGGGCGGCAGAGTCGATTTCATCACGGAGGCGGGAAAGGGCGGAAGGGGTTTTGAGGAGGAAGTAGAAGATGGCGGAGAGGGAAATGGCGGTGGTTTCGGACCCCGCGAAGGCCATGCTTACGGCCATGGTTTGTACGAGGGTGTCGGACATGAATTCAGGGCGGGCGGTGCGAGCGGCGAGGAATTTGGAGAGGAGGTCGGGGGAGGTGACGAGGGGTTTCTTTGTTTCGGTGGTGGGGAGAGTTGGGGAGGAAGTGGTGGTGGTGTTGGTGTGTTTTTCAGCCTGGGTCTGTTGGAGCTCGGGGAGACGCTCGGCCATGCGGGCGCGGGCGAATTTGGCGACGGGGAAGGTGGCGTCGAGGAGGCCCCATTCGGAGAGTTTAAGGTAGAGGGGGTTTTTGAGGAAAAGGCGGTCGAGGAGGGGGATTTGGCCGATCTAGTTTGTCAGCTGGGTGAAGATAGAATAAAAAGAAAAGAAATAAATAAATAAAAATGCAAGAAAACCCAGAGAGAACGTACCGGAGCAACATAAAGAAACAACTTCGTCAAGTACGCCACAATCCCATCGACATCCTCATTCCGCTCGATAAACCCATGCCTCTTGCTGTACGTGATCTCCCCAATCACATCAAACGCATAAAACTGCAGCCAGCGCGTAAAGTCACACGCTACGCCACCACCACTACCAGCAGCACCCACATACAACCGCTCCGTCTGCTTCAAAAACAGCCTTGTCGTGTTATCCACAAACGGCTCGTACTGCACCAGTGCAGACATGGCAAACGCCGAGTTGACACACCGGCGGAACTGCATGTGGAAGTCGTTGTCCGTCGTGCTGAACAGCGACTGCAGGCTGTGGCCTTTGACTACCGCCTGTTGGACGACGTAGAAGTCGGACTGCCCCGATATCAGTCTCAGTGATAACACTACAAGAGAAATGAGGGGGTAACAACCTTAACAAACCCCTTATTCAACCCATACACCACCTTCAACACCTCCGGATCGGCAAACGACAGCGTATTCGGCCCCAACCTCACAACAGGGCCATACCGGCGGTGCAGCGCGATATGAGACAATTCCGGGCGGCGGTGGTAGACGTCCCAGAAGCGCCACCAGTCGGTCAGCGAGGCGAGAAAGGGGCCTGGGTACTTGTGCAGGCCGTTGTGGAAGCGGTTGCGGATGAGGCGGGCGAGGAGGAGGACCAGGAGGAGGGAGGGCCAATAGTGGCGGATGAAGGGGAGGATGGAGTCTGTTATCATGGTGTTTGTCTTCGTGTGTGTTGTTTGTGGTGTGATACGGGTTGGGTTACTGCGAGAACAGGAACGACAACAACAACAACACCGTCGGGTCTCCTTGTTGAAAAGGTCCTGACGGCCCACTTACACGGGGATGTTGAACGAGTTGAAGAATGAAAAAGAGGAGACCGACCAAGTCGGAAGAGCCGCGATAAGTAACACCAGCTAAGGTTACAAGGAGGGTGCGATCCGTACATCTACCAACCATGCGAGGCTCTTCTATGTACGGCTTACAGCTTACAAAACGTGCTCTTGGGTTCCCCGAAGGTGGATTCCCAACTAGTGCCGAGCGGCACGCGGCACACACCCAGCACGCGGGATCGATCAACGTCGGGGTAGGTCGTCGACAAGCAGCCAACCCGGCAGGGCACGGCAGGCACACCGGGCAGGGCAATCTATTGCGGCCGGGTGGGAGTCCCTGGCTGGGCTTGAAGAGACGAGAATGATCATGTACGAGCCATCCCAAGCGGACATCCCGCGGCACGGGAAGATATTAAGAGACGGCTGTGTACATCTTCCTTGCACGCACGCATCCCGGCGTTGAGGCTTGTAAGTGATGCTGTTAGCGTAAACCCGACGGACAAACACTCAGCTGACGGGTTGTGTGTATGTTCCCAAACGAGGAGCGAATCGAGGTGCCTCGTAAGAGGGTTATCCCTCGAACCGGCCCTCTTCCCGAGACACACACCCGAGCCATCCCCGATGATGTGCAGAGGGACCGCGGATGGTTGGAAGAACTGTATCTCCAGACTTGGTGTTCCTTCCCGACGCAACCCGGAAGCCCAGTAACACGGCCCATTGACGATCCCATGCTCATCAGCACCCCCACACCGACCCAGGTCCTAGGTTCCCTAACAGACGCCGGAAATATGAGATGGATGCGAGATATTCCAGGGAACTGTATTGCCGGACTGTCGGGCGGGCTTGGCTCACTCAGACGTCCATGAGTCGTGGGTTCAACAACAGCGGGGCTCGGCTGGAACGTTCATCCCATCCCACTGTACCCACCCGGCAAACCGTTTGGTAGTGAGGGGGAGGGGCGCTGTTGGGGTGTTGTATCGGCAGATGTTAGGCCCAATCGCCGGCGTCCCGGGCCCTCCTAGTTCCCTGTCAGTTCCCCAGCTGCAGGACGCAGACTCGGGATCCCGCGAGCCAATTTCTCGGATTCCTGACTTGGGTTATTAACGTGTCGCGCGAGTTATCAGATGTCGGTCGCATGGCCCTGATGTCGCGCTGCGTGGTAGTATTGTGGCTGCGATATTGCTCACGAGGGAAAGTCATGGTGTTGGCGTGTTCAAATCCCGTTCGCTATCATGTGCTTTGGATTAGTGATAAAGGTGAGGTTACCGTTCGTTGTTCAGTGTCGCAACGGCCTCACTTATCCCCGTGTCGGTTGCAGCTGGGTCGCCCATCAGCCTTCTACCCGTACAGGTCCTAAAGCCGTCGGCCGGATCAAGATTGGTAACGGCGACGGTCGATCGAGGTAACAGCAGCACGGGTGAGAACAACCAGGAGGCAGTAAACCTAGTGTAGGTAAAATCATCTCTTCCTCAGCTCATCGCATCAAATACGGATACTCGTTTAACAACAATCTTTAGAATCCAGTTGTGGTGTCAGCTTGGTGGAAGAATGGAAGGAAAAAAAAACTAAAAAAAAAAAAAAAAAATCATATGCCGAAAGGACACAAACGCCAAATGCCCGTCGGTCCCTCCCTGCCGAGCATCGTCCAAGGCTATCGTGTGCACCTCACCCGTTTGGTGCAGTTGGGGGAAGGGAAGGAACGCCTCGGCAGATGATTTTGGCGGGAAGCAACTGCTGGACTTTTGGTGTGGGCCGCAAGAATGAGATCAACCGACCACCAACAAGCGGCAAACCCTAACCCTGACCTGGGGACATACATTACATAGGACATGCAATGACCTACCGCACTTCATCATGGCGGTATTTCGTTGGTTTATGTCGAGTCAGTCATTCCATGGTTGTATTCAAGTGTGCTATGGTCATCTGTGTCTTCAAACCTCACCTTGAGTGACTTGAGACTGTAATATACCCGCTCCGTTGCCTGCTAAGCGATTCCAGATGGCGAGTGGACGGTTCTTCAGGAAACAAGTTGTTCCCTGGGAGTTGGGGTAAACTCTTGAATCTGGCTTTGATTAGACGGCGCAAATCAAAGGTGAACATCACACTGCCAGGCCGACGCCAAGCCCCGGAGATGGTGCGTATGTAGAGTGTATAATAAGTCTTTCATGTACAGACTACGGTATCCCCCTCTCGTGTTCCCCAAGCTTAGTATTAAAAACTCCGCTGCTATGAGCCAGCCCCCCATATACTTATTTACACCACCAGCATGGATGTACTGTACTGTCCAAATCCAACGCAAACAAAACACCATAATGCAAGGCAATGATGATGATGATGATGACGATGACAACATCTATATCCAAAACCAAAACCAAAACACCCTGACCCAGGAAGCGAGCAATCTCATCCCAGTAATCCATCCAATACAAGCCCTTCCTTCTTCCCACCCACTCTCATGGAGCCTTCTCTTATTCAATGTATCGCAGTAACCCCCCTCCCCCTACAAATCCTCATCATCCTCCTCCCCCTCCGAATCCGATTCCGCCCCCGGCATCAACGCCCGATACCGCCTACTCGCCAAATCCTCCTCCAACCCTCCCTCACTCTCCGGATCAACATACCCTTCCCCACCCACCAAAGACAATGCAACGGGCAAGAAAACCAACGCATGGCTCGCCGCAAACACCACCAGCGCCACCCACACCCTAAAATAATAAATCTCAAAGATCTTACTCCTCGTAAAAGCCAACACCGCCACCCCCAGCACTTTCGTAATCGTAATCCCCGAAAACACACTCCCGCCCACATTCGCCAGCGCCGTCCACGCACGCGCATCCCGCCCCCGGAACCGACTCCGCGCACGCTCGAGGAAAGTCCGCGCGGGGAAAGTGAACGCGCGAGCGACGTGTGCGCAGAACTCGACGGCGATGCCGACGCAGATGATGAGGTTGACCAGGGAGACGGCGTTGAGGGAGACGCCTAGCACGGCCATGGCGCCGACGATGTCGGTGACGGCCATGCCGACGGTTAAGGTGACGACGGCGGCGGTGAGGATAGACCCCAAAAGGATGGAGGAGACGAGGAAGACGATGGCGAGGGCAGAGCCGAGGAGGGCGGTGGTGAGGCCGACGATGGTGGCGTATTGGTCGAAGAAGATGTAGAAGACGGAGTAGGGGAAGATGGATAAGCCCGTGGTGGCGCTGACGTCGTGGGCGATGCGGCGGGCCGAGGCGTAGGCGCGGATGAAGTCGTCTTGGCTGCGGAGCGGGGTGTGCATGGTGCGGAAGTGGCTAGCGCGGATGGTGGTGTGGTATTGGTCGATGACGACGGCGGATCCGTAGGAGGCTTGCCCTGCGAGCGGGCAGTCTTCGTTGGTGGGCGCGGTGAGGAAGCGGGAGAGGTAGTGGAGGAACTCGTCGCCTTCGGGCATGCCGGCGAGAGTGATGTTCCAGGCCGGGTCACGGCGCGAGAAGCAAGGGCGGCGGCGGTCGACGCAGCAAGCTTCGTTGTCGGGGTTGAGCCACTGGAAGAAGTCGTCCATCCAGCCGGCGGTTGGGGACGCGATGTAGGAGACCTCTTCGCGCTTGCGTTCCTGCTCGAGGATGTTGGTCAGGGATAGCTGCTCGCACGTCGTGAAACGAGAGCAGATCTTTTGTTGCTGTTCGCGCTCTGTGCCGTTGAACTCGCGCGTGACAAAGTACACCGGCGGGCCCGCGTCGAAGTAGTCGTAGAGATCGTTAAAGTACGGGATCAGGTATGAATCATCCGGGATCGCAACCCGTTGGTCTAGCCCCAGCTCAACCTCGGGCAGCAACGCGACCGCGGCCGTAAATATGCCCAGGAAGACGGCAACAACCACCGCCTTGGTCTTCTTCCCCAGCAGCCTCGGCGCATACGTCTTGCGAATAAACTGTTGCAGTAAGCTCTCCGACGGCGCCTCGTAGAACCGGGCGGCCCCGTTCGTCGCCCCCACGCCACCATTTCCGTTGAGATGAATCCGCGCCGACTTGACCTGGACACAGGGGAAACAGTCCGCCCGCGAGTCCTCGGCCCGGATCTGGTTCAGCGTCAAGACCGATACGAACATAGTGACCTGTAGGATGGCATTGATGAGCACCGCACCCGCGGCGTAGATGGCAAAGTTGCGCACGGCGGGCATGCCGACAAACGCACCGAGCGCAAAGCAAGCCGTTTCGGTGATGGCGGAAAACAAAATCGATGGGCCCATGCGGCCAAGCGCGCGGGAGATGCGCACCTCGACCACGTCGTCGGGGTAGCTGGTGTTGACGCGCTCGAACTCGTGGACGATCAGGAAGATGTTATCCACGCCCACGGCAAGCACGATAAAGGGGATAACGTCGACAATGATGAGCGTGGCTTTGAGGCCCAGCTTCGAGAAGAGACCGATGGACGCCGTGATGGACATCAAAACAATCGCGATGCCCACCACGCCGAGCGTGAACTTGGATTCCACCAGCGAGACGGCCGGGTTGCGTATTAGGTCCTTGAACGACAGCGTCGTCGACCCTAGCGCAATGGACGCGTACAGGAACATGATGATGTAGCTGATGACAATGATCTTGGCGTCCGTGTTGGTCGACTTGTTGAGCTCCTCCTCCAAGCTAATCTCGGTCGAAAACGAGAGCCTCAGATTCCGCGCGGCAGCTTCACCCTGAAGAGCTAGCAGGCGGTCCTTCATAGCTTCCTCCCAATCCATCGCCCGGCTTGCCTCGGACGAGCCCTCGGGGTAGTTGTTCAGGACCCAGGTAACCGTCATGGCCGTGGCCTCCGCCGGATCGCCTGACCCGGCGTAGCCTCCCAGAATCATATTCGGCTCTAGTGGCTGGCCATATGCCGGGCGACAGCCCACAGGCGAGTCCGCACACTCCCGCAGCTGGTCCTTCCAGCCCTTGGGGTCGATCTGCTTCGGGTCGTCCTGGAAGTACGCCGCGACAGACTGCACCACGCACGCATCACCCGTCGGCTTGAGACACAGGTCCTGCAGCGTACTGCCGTACTTGTCGCCCCGCAGCTTCTGGATACCCGCCTCCACGTCCATCCACCAGCGCAGCGTGTCGTAGCTCAGCACGGGCCCGGCGGCCGAACTGTTGAGGTCGTTGACGAGGAAGATCTTCTCGGTGCGGTAGAACGGTCCAAAGTTATCGTCGAAGAATGCCTTCTCCTGCGCGGCCTCGGACGTCGGACTCACCCACAGCCGCGCGGGGTCCTTCTCGATCTCAAAGTTGACCCACCCGATACTGAGCAGCACCACGAGAAGCGTGCTCGTACCGATTGTCAACGCCGGGAACCGCGCCGCAATATGGCCCAGTCGTGCAAACGCGGCATCGCACCACGTGTTGACGATATATGTCCGCTGCGGCCGGTCAAACATGGCCCCGTTCTGTGTCAAGTCCCCTTCGTCCTCATCATCACTCGGCGCCGCGTCCGTGAGAAGCCTCAGCCGCTCGCTCCTACGCCGGGCATGTCTGCTCCACGCGACGTGGCCCACCACCGCAGCCAGAGATATAAACAGCAGCACACCATACGTCAAGATCGACGCAAACGACAAACACGGCAACACACCCACACGACATGACCCAGCCTTTACCACAGCGGGCAGCTCCGGACACACCTGCGGGCAGTCGATGCACGCGCACCGAAAGCTGGGGTCCTCGTCGTTGCACTTCTTGGGCTTCAACGGCAGTGGGCCCATCTCCTTCTCCCCCTCATAACTCCCCGGGAAGTTCATCTGGAACGGCGACCCACCAAACCGTTCCTGGCCCAGAAACTTGAGCATCGACGTATAATCCTTCGCCCCGCCCCCAATCAAGTCCATAGCCCGCGAGTTCGTAGGCCCAAACTTGACATCCTTGCAACTGTCATACAACCCGGTCCCATACTCCTCCGAAATCAACTGATCCAACTCCCTCACGAGTGTCTTCCCATTCTTCTCCATCGTCTTGGTCACATTAATAAACAGCGACTGGTCCGGCGAGCACGTAAACGTGCAGAACATATTATAGAAATTCTCCTTGCATGCCGGACACGTCGAGATGATCTGGCTGGCTGTCTGCAAATTCGACTTGAGCGCGTCCACCTGCTCGCCGTCGCAGCAGACGGGACCCTCCGCCCATTTCGCCCCGCAGAGATCGGTCAGCTGCGCGCGCAGCTTTGCGTCGGGTTCGGAGGCGAGGCCGTTGTCGACGCAGGGCAGCTGGGCGCCGAAGAAGCTCTTGGAACCGCAGTGGCCGCGGATTGCGCACCGCCCGGTTTCGTGGAGGGGGGTGTAGATCGTGCTGGTGTCTGCGGTGGTCGCGGCGACGGGGGAGATTGACCCCAATGTTGCGGATAGCAGCAACAGCCCGCCGGATGCGGCGAGTCGTCGGAGTTTGGTCATGGTCGGTTGGTTTTTGCCGCGCAGCGGCTCGACCGAAAGGGGGAATCCGATTTCGTTTTCGATTGCTCGAAATAATCCTCGTGCGAGCGTCGATGAAGAAATCGATTTCCGCTTCGATGTTAACGATGAGGGGAAAAAACGATGGGATGCCCGATGGTGGTTGAGAGGTTTCGACACAACGAGGCGGAAGAAGCGGCGAAGACGGCGGGCAACCAGATGAACCAGCGCGGCACGGGCAGCGAACCCGACAGCCCTGCCTGGAGCAACAACTCATGCCGTCATGCGTCATGCGGGCGACTGCCCATTGGAACCTTCAAGCTCCCCCGGGCGCACAGATCAGCGCTGATTGGTGGAGCTGATCTGGGGCTGCTCGGGCTGTTCCTGGGGGCGCCCGTTTGGGGCCGTTTGGGCTGGGGTTGCACTGGAGCTGGGGCCTGTCAGGAACAAACAGCGCATCTGGGGCTTTTCGCGGTTGATGTCTTGCTTGCCTTTGCCCGTTTGGGAAGTTCTTGATAATGTTGTTGAGTTGGCCCAAAGACCTGGCCTGCAACCTACCGGATATCGTTGAAGGCACCTGGTTTAGAGATTTGACCTCAAATGTGCGATTTGGATTCGTTTTTTCAATTATTTATTCATTTCTTATTCCACTTCAAATCCAGTCCGTAACATTACGCTACTAACTGAGGCTCATGAAAACACAAGTTGTGCAAGACAGCGAAGAACCAAACAAATCAGGTTCACAACAAATCCCGGCTACATATCCGCTGCGTAAGTCTGTCAAGATCGTAATAGAAAAGAAGGCCAAAGACTACCTCACCAATACAACGCCAAACAAATAACTCCTAAACCCCACGCTCACCCATCCAACAACAAGCAGCAACACACAATCACACCTTTAAGCCCGGAGTCCTCAAACCAAAACTCCTCAAACCCTCCCCGTCACAAGAAAACTCCCCGTCAACACCTCCACCCTCCACCCATCATTCTTCAAAAACGCCCCCACCACCTGCCTCATCCTCGACACCCCGCCAGCGCTGTGCTTCCCCACGCCCGTAACGACAGTAAACCCCTGGCGCCTTGCGATCGTCTTCCGTTCCTCCCCGAGCCCTTCCCACCACGACCACACCCTCTTCTTCGCAATCCGCACCCCATCCATGACAAACACCCCGTGCAGGTCCACACTGGTAGACGTGCTCTGCTGCGCGACGTGCTGCTCCGCGGCTTGCGAGACGTGTGCCGTGAAGGCTGCTCGCTCGTCCCGCGCCCGGTCGGTGTAGACTACGGCACCTTGGCGGCCGAGGGGCCCGAGACGGCGGAGGGTGGCTGCTGAGCGGAGGTGGGAGGCGCCGAAGTCGGTGGGTATGGGGGAGGTGAAGGCGGCCGCTGCGGGGGAGGATCGGAACGTCGGGGTGGATGTTTGTAGTAGGAGACCGCGTCCTGCGTTGTTATTAGGGCGGGCGAAATCTTTTGCGCTCTCCAGTTCGCCGTCGTCAGTGGTAGATGAGACGGTCTTGTAGTGGACCGCGACCACCTCCTTCTTCGCTGCCTTGGCACCCTTCTTCTTCTTCCCCCTCCCGGCCTTGCCTCGGGGTGCCGTGCCGTCCTGATCCGGGTTGAAGAATCCATCCACACCCTTAGGCAGAGAACCCTCCTCCTCCAGCATCTGGCGCGTGAGCAGCCCTTCCAACGCGCGATCCAAGTCCCCATCGTTCTCCTTAATCACGAACTTGAGCGTGTGGTCACCCCAGCGATCCTGGAATACGAGCTTGAGTTCCTGGATTTTCTCCTCGTCGCTCAGGTTCGTGCGATCTGTGAGCTTCTGGGGCTCGGAGAGGTCAGAGAACTCCGAGATGGTGGTCGCGTACTCCGCCGACCCGTCACCATCGTGCCGACTAGCGTTACGGCTTTCGAGGAATGCGCCATCGCTGTCTGTTGCGCTGCTTAGCCCTGAGGGGTCAAACCCCGTGAGCGCTTCTGCCTTGGCTGGCTCGGCTAGCTGGCTGAGGATCTCTCGGATTTCCTCATACTCGTGCACAATGTCACGCTCATTTGCTATCAGTAGGATGAGTGGTTCGTCCAAGACTATGCCGAATTCCACCTAGGCGATAAGTTAGTGAGGGCGCCTATGTAACAAAGGAAGCGAGGCTGGATAAGGGAGAGGGAAAATGGCAAAAAGGAGTGGGGGGTGGGAAAAACAAAGGTAACATGACTCGGTGTTCAAAACGAAGTCCCCGTCACACGCAACATACAAGAAGCTTTTGTCGTAGTTCTTTCGCAACATCCTCCGGCGCAGCGGAAGCGGAAGGTGGTGAGTCGCTGTGCTTCAACCCCATCGCTTGTTTCGTTCACCCCTCTTGGAAGACGTTTCTGCACGTTGAATGTAGTAGTAAGGCTGGCAAGGCTGGCCAAGATTGTCGAGTCGGCACATAGAAAGGTCGAGGTTCGGAAGCCCAAGTAGAATAATGGACATGGTGGTCTTTATAGGTGGGCGAGATGAGTCGTAAGGCTCTGATCGTTGGGGGAGAAGTGACTCGTTTTGTCCGTTTGCACGAACCAACACTGGGGTCATCTGCAAGATTTAGCAGACCATTCATGTTTGGACGAGTGATGGGGTGGTGTGGGGGCATACACAAGTATGCGAGAATCCGGGCAGGCGATGCATATAGCCGAGTATATGATGGTTACGCGAAACCCAGGACTGCTTGTTAAGTACGAAATGTGGTCGGTGTTGCCGCTCAGAGCTTCCATGGTTCCCGACATCGGAGGACTAAGAGCTCATGAACATTTCTCAATGGAGATGTAATGAAGTTGCGTGAACGGGTCACCAAGGTTTGTAACTTGATATGCCCGTGGTGCGGACACCTAACTATGCAGCTACACAATCAGAATCACATAAGCGGGGCTTGAAGCCAGAAGGTTCTTCAAAACACTAACGTAAAATTTACCTCCCAACAACGGGAGATGCAGCTTTTCGGCACGGGCAGATAACTGTTTTTAGAACATTAGCCAACTCGAAACATCTTGGGGGCCAACTAACTCTTTGTTATGTATTCTACGCCTTCTTGTTGAATGTAACTGGGGGGCCTTAACGTTGGGAACATATCCGTATCATTACACGCAAAGTTTGAAACCTAACAAGCTTTCGTGCCACTGCCTTGCTTTACTTTTCGGCTCCAAGAATCAAGCATGTTCCACAACATCTGCACATCCGGGTTCAATGAAGCCAAACTCGGATTCCTCATAAACAAGTGTTTTATGCCACTCTCGCAGTTCTTCAGCGCCCAAACCCCACTAACAGGGGTTTCCAGGACTAAAAAACTACCCCCTGTCTTGCGATCGTTTCGGGTGATGCTTCTTTCCGCTTCACGTCCGGTTCCTGCTCCGGGTCCCGCGGCCCGCCGCAGGCAAAGCAGGGTCCGTCGCAAGATCCCCAGATTCCCGGGTTCCAGGCTTTTTTTAATCCGAACCTACTTTTTTCTCCGAACCCTTTTTTGTTACCAGGCGCATAATTACTCAAAGAGAACCTGTCGTCCCTTCTTCCTGCAACATCAAAGTAAAAAGAGACGAGGGCCTGCAGGAGACGGGAACGCGCGTCGACATGCAGCCCCGAAAGTTTTTGAACGGGCCGGAGCCGTTGAAGGGGTAAGACCGAGCAGGAGCGCCATCACCACCCACCTAGGTACCGACCGATCCGGGGGTCCGTGATGCTCGGAATACTTACGCCGTTACAGCCCCAACGTACCTTACAAGAATGAAGACAAAAAGAATCCGCCTCTGAGAGGCCTTGTCCTCGTGGTTGCAGCATATCTGTAAGAATCCCGGGCCTGCCGTTTTGACTGCGCTGGATATGCTTGCTGACATGAAAAACGTAGCATGGAATACTTCCGGTTCATCCGGGAACTGATCTGGCGCAACACTGGGTTCAACTCACTCAGGGACATCATACCGTACATCGAGGAGTATGAGCCCTGGTACGAGCCGCAGATCGTCCCGGCGGCCGAGAAAGCCGCAACGGAAGCTCCAGATGCGGAAGCAGAAGCGGAAGTCGAGGAACCACCGGCTTCCATGACCCGTTTCCCCAAGGCCAAATACTACTCTGTAGCCGACTACCGCAAGCTCTACCTCTCCGGCGCCCTCACCCCAACCGAAGTGGCCGAGACACTACTCCCCCTCATCCGCCGGGACGTGCCCAACCCAACGCAGCACTCCAAAGCGTTCTTCGACACCCGCGTCGACAAGGTGCTCGCCGCTGCGCGCGCCTCTACCGAGCGCTACAAGGCCGGACAATCTCTCGGACCCCTCGACGGCGTGCCAACAGCTGTCAAAGACGAATACGATCTCGAAGGCTACCGCACCACCCTCGGCTCGCGCAACACCTATTGCACCCCAGATGACGGCCACGAAACGACCTGGTGCGCTGCGCGCCTCGAGGCCACGGGCGCCGTCAACTTGGGTAAACTCTCGATGCACGAGTTCGGTCTCGACACCACGGGCAACAACCCAATCCACGGTACACCACGCAACCCGCATAATAGCGGGTACTACACCGGCGGGTCATCGTCGGGTACGGCGTATGCCGTCAGCGCGGGGTTGATCCCGATCGGACTCGGCAGTGACGGGGGCGGTAGCGTGCGGATTCCGGCAAGTTTGTGTGGTGTGTTTGGCATCAAGCCGACACATGGCCGGCTGTCGTTTCGCCCGGGACCGAACCATTGTATTACGTGCGCGTGTCTGGGCCCCTTGGCGGGTGATATGGCTTCCCTGGCGGCAGTGTTTTCGGTCGTTGCGGCGCCACACCCATCGTCGCCTTTTCCGCCGTTGCCTACTCCCCTCACGCTGCGTATGCCCTCCGCCGACAGCAAGCCAGCAACGCCCCTCGGCATCCCGCATGACTGGATTACGCGCTCTACGCCTGCGATCCAGACCCTGTTCCATACTTTCATACGCCAACTCTTGTCCTTCCCGAACACCAATTACACCCTCGTCCCCGTCAGCATCCCCTTCCTGCGCGAAGGCCAGATTGCCCACGCCATGACCGTGCTCACCGACGCTGCGGCCTTGTTGCCCTCCTCTCGCGGTCTGACGGCTGCGAACCGTGTGCTCCTCTGCCTCGGGCGGACGACGCCCGCGTCGGATTATCTGCTCGCACAGAAACTCAGGAGACTGTTGATGCAGCACCTGGCATGGCTGTGGAAGGAGCACCCGGGAATGGTTCTGCTGACCCCGACGACGGCTTGTGAAGGGCTACCCATTGCTAGCAGCGGGGACAACTCTGGGGAGATGCGGTGGGGAGTAAACGATGGAGATCGCACGATGCAGAGCATGGAATATGTCTGGTTGGCTAACTTTTGCGGGTTACCGTCTCTGAGTGTGCCGATGGGGTTTGTGCAGGCGAAGGGCAAAAGGAAGGCCAAGAGCGAAGAAGGCGATATTCCAGTTGGGCTGATGGCGACCGGGGAGTGGTGCTCGGAAGAGGCGCTGCTGCAGCTGGGCTTGGTGATGGAAGAGGTCGGGGGCGAGCGGAGGAGGAGGCCGAACTCATGGGTTGATGTCATGGGGGATGCGAAAAAGGGAGGACAGCGGGGGAATTGATACCGTGCGATTGTTTGACAAAGTGTGGTCGTGCAAGCGGCGCTCCGGTATTTCGGTCGTAGAGGTGCAACGTTAGACGGGCTCAACGACTCGACTGAGCGGAGGTTTCTCCATGTCATCATCCACTGTTTCACGGTCCCTTGCAGCGCTGGTCTGACCCGTCGAACCCCCCTTCCTGAATCCAAGCTCCATTGCACATTGTAACCGACATCATCAACATCCCTGAAATCGAGGAGTCGCCAAGCGGGAACCAAGGCTGCCGTGTCCAGCGTCGCAACGACAGTGGCGGCGAGAGAGCGCCTGGTTGGGGGTTTGGTGCTTTCATTGGTTGCCTAAGGTGGGCGCATCATGCGGAGGAGCATGACCAGCGCGTATGATGCAACCAGCTTCTTCCTTCGAGGTGGGCACGTCACAGACTTCGCGGGCCGAGAAGACGCGAAATTGAAGAAGGAAATCAAGGGCTTCGGGGGGCCTTGAGTGTTGGTGATGAAGGGAACCGTTGATTGTAGTTTGGAAGAGGAACGAGGATGCAGTTGGGTGAACAACAGACGGATCAATAACTAGTTGCCCACTTCAATGAATGGAAGCGGGGTCGAGATGACCCGGTTAGCGGCGAGAAGCAGCAGCTCAGGGTTCTTGACAACCCCGCGGGGCATTGAATGATGGGAAACAAATCCGGCGATCAAGCCGCCCACGCCTCGCCGGAGCCCGGTTTGCTAGGCCTTGAAAGAAACAGGCCCGAAAATGACGGAGATCAATAAACAAGAGTGGCGGGATGTCTTAATGCGTATCTTTGGGGTATCCCCGGAATCCAGCCATGGCTTTTTTCCTTGCTGCTGGCTGGTTTGGACAACCTGCCGTCAAAATTCCACGGATCGGGCTTTGATGTCCATGCAGGTAGGTGGTCAAGTAGTGTATACTTCCGTCATTGCCCAGATAGGCCACGTCCACTTGCTAGGTGGGCTTTTATCGTACGAGTTGCGCGCGTGTCCCTTCCCTACTTTCCGGTCTTCCCGCCCAAACTGCAAGGGGCATGGAATGAATCTCAGGGTTTAAAGTGTGCATTTCACGATTTGGCAGTCGCGACTTGGAATGTGTGGACCTTTAGCCGCCAAATCTAGCACTACGTGACCCCTACACACGTGACGGAACCCACTACGGAAGTGTGGGTGGTCCCCCGATGGTGGAAGGGGGGCTCCGCTAATGCACCAAGGGGGAACCACCCAGGGGATGCGCCTGATCTCGACCGCCCGAACTCCCGTCCGACAGGGCAACCCCCCAGCGGGACTGATTTTGCTGTTCTCTGAACAAGACAAAGCCGCCATCCTGGCAACCCACGCCGGCCAGTGCCAGAATCTGAATCTGAGCCCAAAAGACCCGACCTACGCCTCAGTCAGCACGACCATCCGCCGTCGCTGCAATCCCGGGAGCACCGCAGCATTGTAGCACCCGTGCTAGACCCCAGAGTATCTCACTACTAGCGACTCCCGAATCATCATCATCCTACGCACACCTGTCCCCGACCGCGAGCGAGCTTCCCAGGGCTTCACGAACCGGGCGACGCCGCTGAGACATCGCAACCGATACGCCCCGTGACTCCCAGTTTCTGTGCTAGTATTCCTCCATGGACGGCTAGAAAGAACATCACAATCCTGCCCGACTTCATACGCCTTTCTTTTATCGAACCCGAAGTACCGAATTACCGCACATGAGAACGAGACCCTCCCCCTCGATCAGCTAGTCGTGACTCGTCTTGTCCTTGTCTCACCCGGCCGCTGGGCCCCCGCGACTCCAAGGCGCATCTAGCCCTTTCTTATTCGCTGCCGACAGCGCGAGTCAAACATCCCGTGTGCTGAACACCACATAACATACGCCCCCGTCTTCATAACTTCCCGAGTCCGCCCTTTCCGCCGATGATAGACACAACTCGATATCTTTCTGCCCACCTTTTATCTCCCTCAACAGCAGCACAACCCCTGGGCGTACACTTCCCGGCGTTAGCCTCCCCGAGGCCCCCGACTCGCGAGTCTCGATGATGGTGCGTTCTCAACCCCTTTGCGATGTCTTGTGTTATCTATTCCAATTGTGCGCACTCCAGAAAGATGTGTTTTGTGCTCAGACAGAGCTGCACGGCCGTCCCAACATGGAGTCCCGTGTCTCGATGTATTTTGCATGGATCAAAAATATGGGGCTTGGTGGACCAACGCCTGGCTCTTGCTCTGACAGTTGAAACTGACCGTTTTGTCCCGTCTCTTCCGTGCCTAGACCTCAACTCGACTCCGCGATGTGGGCGGTAGTTTTGCGAGCCGACGCGGTCACGCCAGCCAACTGTCAATATCCGACCCGAGCCACCACGTCACCGAGGCAATAGGGACCATGTATGGCGACGACGAGGACTCGGGCGCCGAGGACAACCGGCCGCTCAGTTTCATCGCCGCCAAGTACGGGGGCGAACAGCTGGAAAACAAGTCTTCATCCTTGAAACCGGAAGATGCGGCGGGCGACCGACTCCGACTTGTGCGCACGACGTCTGACCAGAGCACCTCACCCACCCATCTCTCTCCCGATTACCGCGGTATCAACGGCGGCATCAAGAAAGCCCAGACGTTTCCCGCGCGACTATCGACCGAGCAGCGAAATGGTGCTGGCGAACGACCCAAGTCTCCAATACCTCCGCTATCCCCCGGCCCGTCCTTGCGAGATGTACAGAACGCCGAGGCCTCCCAATTCCCCATGACCAGCATCGACAACCCCAACGATCTCGCCCAGGAACTTAGCAACCTACAGGCTCTACGGCGGATGTCCATGGATGTTGGAAACACCACGGACCCCGACCTTTTGCAGTTCTCGGGTGTGTCATTGATGGAGATGCCGTCCATTGCGCCCACCGGCGATGATGATGAAGGCGATCCGTCTCGGTTGCTCTGGGTTCCCGCGCGGGTCCATCCCGAACTGGAGCCCACGGCCTTCAAGAGCTTTCTCGAAAAGCGGGTACAAACAATTAAGCGGAGGTCCGGAGATTCACTGCTTTCAGTTGACGGCTTGCAGCGCAACAATTCAGGCAGTCTCCGGCGCAAGAAGTCCATGCTCTCTCGGCAGGTGAACTCGGCCAACGAGATCGGAGAAGGCCCCGTAGATGGGGCAGACGCACTTGCACGACAACGATCGCTCCACGAACACGCCCCCGAACTTAGCCTTTCTGAGCTGGTGAACGATCCAACAAAGGCGGTGCAAAAATTGACACAAGACAGCAGACAAGAAGGTGGCGGTGAGACTGACAGCCCAATTCTCCCCATGGCTCCGGGTATGGGTTTACGTCGGTCGACGAAGACTACCTACCGAAAAGGTGGGAGCCAACGGTATGGCGAACGGACGTTTTCGAAGCGCCTCGCTTCGAGGCAGACTGACAAGGAATCGACCGAGGAAGCGCCTCCAATTCCGGCCATCGACCCGACGATTGGGAAGCCACTGACCCGAGTTCAATCCGAGCCGATCACGGAGAACTATTCGCGGCCGACCCGGACCGTCCGGAGGCAACATGGTTTTACCAGGGAATCGCTAGGCTCTTCGTCGTCGCCGGGGGTCGAGCTGGAGGATACTGCAGAGGAACCGACACCCACTGCGCCAACATCTCCGCCGAAGTCCCAAGCGCTTCCTGTGCGTTCGTCTTCAACCTCTGCCGTTCGCTCAGCGCCCGCCCCCGTACCACAAATCATCGAAACCCCGCCTCCGGTGGATGAAGCCTCGGAGGCAAAGCAATCAGCTCCTTCGGCGCCGTTACCAACCGTTCCGGAGCAGCTTCCCTTGGACCCCCCCGCGCGTTCGAGCAAGCGCCCGCTCCCAGCCAAGAGTTCGACTTCGAGCCTACCCGTCCCCACCGTCAGGTCAAACAGTGTCAAGGAGCACTCGCCACCGGCCCAACAGTCTCTTGGCGAGATCAACCAGCCGCATGCCCTACCCGGCAGCGGCAGTACCACGACGAGCAGTTTGACCTTTATCCCCACCTTTGACACTATCGAAAAGAAAATCGAAAAGCGCGGCAAGGAGAAGGACGATGCGGAGAGCGTTGTGTCGCACAAGTCGAGTTCGAGCTGGAAGTGGTTCAAGAGCGACGACAAGGAGAAGAAGAAGCGGGAGAAAGAGAAGGAGAAGGAACGAGAACGCGAACGCGAACGGGAAGAACTGGCGAGAAGAGCAAAGGCTAGAGCGGGCGCGGAAAAGAGCCACGATCACGCGCGCATGGACGTGATTCAGACTTCCATCGACAACGTCCCCAAGGGCCGAGAGAGCCTCCGGTTAGATAGGGAGAGTATTGAGGGCTTGCCGCAGGAGGACCGCAAGAAGGACTCGAACCGCAAGTCTGGCGATGGTAAGAAGGAGAAGGAAGGTTTCTTTGGTGGACTCTTTGGCGGTTCCAAGAGGAAGAGCGAGAAGGACGCGAGCAACAAGAAGAAGGAGAACCGACCGCTTACCCCCGAACCGCCCCCGCGGCCGCTCCGCGCTGATATCGACTATCCCTGGACCCGGTTCCCGATCATTGAGGAGCGAGCGATTTATAGGATGGCGCACATCAAGCTCGCGAACCCGCGCCGGCCGCTGCATAGCCAAGTGCTGCTCAGCAACTTCATGTACTCGTACCTCGCCAAAGTACAGGCAATGCACCCGCAGCTACAGATCCCTGTCTCTCCGCAGCAGAAGAGACAGGAGGAGGAGCGCAAGCGGCGCGAGGCCGAAGAAGCTCAGCTGCAGATGGAGCAGCAGATGGCTCAGCAGGCTGCCCAGGATGGGAACTACGATTTTGAGTACCACCGAGTAAGTTATGGTCAGGCATGATCTGCATAAGAGATAGAAAGCTGACACATATCCAGTCTGGCAACCAGTACGGTGATCCTCAGCTCGAGGAAGATGGTTCCGCACATTATGTGGACGACGCTCAGATTTACGAGTACGAGCACGGCGATCAGCACCTGCAGAATGGCGGCGAAGAGTACGTGGACGAGCAAGGGCAAGGTCATATCCAAGGGCATACCCGCCAAGGTAGTGGCGGTAGTGGACAGCAGAACGCCTATTATTATGCGCAGACCAATAACAACAACCATGGCAACAATGGCAACAACCGGCACGACGATGATGACGAGAACGGCGGGATGTGGTAGAACCACTCGGACCGTACGAACGTCGCGGACCGGAAAGCGAAGCGTGTCAAAGAAGCTGGCAACGATTTCACGTCCACTTCTCCTGAATTCCCTTCGAGCCCGCCCATCAAACGCCCGCAGCGGAGGCGGTCCATTTACAACCGTATGCGGGTTTGGGTGGGTATTCTGGGGCCACAGTCACTACCGTCCCCCTCTTCCCGAGAGGCATCACCGCCACCGATGAAGCGGCATAAACCGAGCCATATCAAAGGACAGGAGACGAGGCAGCCAGAGAAACAGGAGAAGAAGGGGGCGAAGCAGATGGAGCAGAAGAGGGACGGGCAGCAGATTCAGCCCAAGAAGGCGGATGAGAGGCCGCGGCTACCGAAATTATCGCTTCCCCCTTCATCAACCTTTGAGTTTTCACTCTCCTTATTTTCGATCAACCAGATCGACAGCCATGTTGCTAAGAAGCGGCGGTCGTGCCCAATATGAGACTGATCGCCCAACACACAGCCAGCTAAAAGGCTTGCTGACCTCCCCGGCTTTTGCTGGCCGCCCCTTGTCTCCCCAGCATCAAGCTACATCACATCGCAACTCGACACATTATCGAAGGATGGCAAACGCGCGTGGGAGCAGGGCGTAGTGGCGCTTTGCGTTTTGAAACAGACAGGATTAGTACAGACAGCGAGCATGGTATTTTTTTTTCCTCTCTTCCCTTGTCCATTCTCTTTTTGCTCGCTGTGAAATACTGAAGGCCGTCCTTGCAGTCCAAGTTTGGAATTGAATGAGAGAGACACGAGTTATGCAAAGCGGAACTGATGGGAAGGTTTATTGGTTCATTTGGCAGTGTCCTGGTGGTTGCTTACGATTCTGTACGTTTTTCCCTTTTTGGGGAGACATGTCTTCTTTTTTTCGTTTTCTGTATTTGTATTGTTCAAAGCATAGCCTGGCATGGGATGGGTTAGGTCAGGTTGGGTCGGGTTACGTGGATGGATGGGTTTGAAATTGGGTGGACGGACGGTTAGGGGATGATGGATGGATGGATGAATGGGCTTGTTTTGTTTGTGGTGCTCTTTTTCTTTTTCCTCCCCTTCTTCATCGCCCTCTTCCCATTTCCAGTTGGTGGACTTGGGCTGGGGTTCTTGTCTCGAGATGGTGTGGCTTTTCACGGCCGATGGGGATTGGATTTTGGCTGGGCGGATGAGTCGGGGTGTTGATGGCGATGATGGGTGGGTTTGTTTGTGTTTAGGTTATGTTATTAACCTAGGTATATGGTGTGTGGACAATTCGAAAGCGGGTATTTATACCTTTGGTACCTTTGGTCTTAGGACCCGTTGTAGCTCGTCAAGATAATCCGGCCCGCGAGATAGCTCGCTGCTAGATCCCGTGTTTGATCACTACTTGTGTGATGTTTGCTTCTGGTAGGCACTTGCATCTAGATTTATGGCGAGTTATTTCTCCCTAGCTTCTTGGGAATCAACACCGCACAACAGGAAGTGATTTTCCTTCAATGGTATCAGCCCCGCGTTATGCACACCACTTTCTTTGTCCTCCTTGCCCTAAAATCCACGGCCCTCTCTGGAAAGCCAAATCGGCCCATTTGACTCCGTGCATCTCCAAATCAACAAAGCGTATGAGCTCGTGCCACAGATAACGTACGTTCTCGTTAGTTCTGCTTCTGCTCGGCCAGTGACTCCCCCGCCTACGCTGTGGGGTCGACGCCCGCCGCTAAGCCTAAAATAGCCAAGCCAACAAGACCTCCCCCCTTGCCGGCACGCCCAGATGCTTGCCGCTGCACGTTGCGTTGTTGCAAGCACTTCTCTCAGCTTCAGCCATTCACAGAATCGCAAAGCCAAACGCTGGGCGACTTTTCGAAAAACCTTAACCTTGACCGACGTAATTTACCACATTCTTCCTCCGAACCAACCTCACGAGCATCACCGCTTCCACGACTTGTTTTCACCGCTGTCGAACCGGCGCGTTTTCTTCCCGTTTTTTGATACCCGTCTCGGTTGCGCCAGCTTCGGTTCGGTTTGCGGACCTCGAATTACGGTCGCGCCTCGATTTCTAGTCGACTAGCCCTTCCATCGAACGAACGAACGAGCAAGTAGCTCCTGCCTCCCACTTCCAAAGCCGGCTTTCCAACCCGGCTCCCTTATTCGTAGCGACTTTCGATACCGAATCACATCGTATACAGACCTGCGGGATGGCATCTGTAAGTTTCTATTATCTTTTTTTATCCTTGTAGTCTTCAGCCTGGCCTTGCATCAAATTATCGTGGCTTTATGCCCGCCCTGCCCGCCGTTGTCACGATGGACCAATTTGCCAAAGACAGTGCTGAGGTTAGTATTCCTCCGATGAACATACTGACAAGACCTGCGCAGCCTCGTCCCAACCCTTACAACCAGGGGTACCTAGCTAATGGCGCGGTCCCGCACCAGACCGTCCCCGTCCCGGGCGCGACCCCTCTGCTTCCGAACCAAGGCCGTGTTATCCAGAGCGGCCCTATCCGAGTTCTCTGCATTGCCGACGTGCGAGGTACGGAATTACCACCCTGAGGCTTTCTTTCAGCTGCCTGCATACTATTCACAGCCCAACCAACCCCCCATACCCCGCGCTTTGTTTGTGGTGTTGACAAACCTGGTGTTGTAGGCAACCTCCGCTCCCTAAACGACCTGGCCAAGTCTGCACGTGCTGACTACATCATACACACCGGCGACTTTGGTTTTTATGATGAGACGTCTCTGGAACGAATTGCCGACAAGTGAGTGGAAATTAGCGGAGCTCAAGTGCCCGTCCACCCGACTCGTTTTTTACTGACCTTTTCCCGCGCCACACAGGACCTTGAAGCATGTTGCCCAGTACTCGCCCCTGATAACCGAGGTGACGAAGAAGGCGATTGCACAAGGCGTTTCTGCTCCGGTTAAGACCCGATTCCACCCAAGCGAGCTCCCCCTCTCCGAGCTCCCCCTGCTCATCAGCGGCGAGATCAAGCTCGATGTCCCGGTTTACACTGTGTGGGGTGCCTGCGAGGATGTGCGCGTGCTGGAGAAGTTCCGGTCCAAGGAGTACAAGGTGCCGAACCTCTTCATCATTGATGAGGCGCAGTCGATGCTACTCGAGGTCGGCGGCGTGAAGCTCCGTCTGCTTGGTCTAGGTGGTGCCGTTGTGATGCACAAGCTTTTCGACAATGGCGAAGGGCGCACTACTATTGCCGGTGGCCAGGGAACGATGTGGACGACCCTGTTGCAGATGGGCGAGCTTGTGGACACAGCGAACCGCGTGTACGACCCGACCGAGACCCGCATTTTCATCACCCACGCGTCGCCCGCCCGTGAGGGTATCTTGAACCAGCTGTCCGTCACTCTCAAGGCTGACTTCTCCGTATCGGCCGGTCTCCACTTCCGCTACGGAAGCTCCTACAACGAGTTCAGCGTCAACCCGACCCTGGATCACTACCGCGGCAAGCTGGCCGCGTCCAAGGCTTCGTTCAACGACGTGTGGGAGACGGTCAAGGGCGAGGTGGAGCCGGCCATCAGCCAGGTGGAGGCCCAGCAGACCTTGCTTAAGAACGCTCTGGCTGTTGTCGAGAAGATGCCCACGACTGCGGCGGGCGGCAACCCGTTCGGGGGCGCTGCTGCGGGCCAGTCTGCCCAGGCTCTGGGCCAGGTGGACGAGAGTGCTTTCAAGAACATGTGGAACTTTAACCTTGCGGACGCCGCCTTTGGCTGGCTGGTCCTGGAGATCCAGGACGGGCGTATCGGAACTGAGATGCGGGCTCAAGGGTTCAACTTCTCTCACCGTGGAGCCAAGCAACAGCCTGGTGTGCAGCCCGCGCCGCCCGTTGCCGCAGGCACTAGCCCGGTCGCGCCCTCGGGCCCGTCGGTACCACCGGCCGCCGCGCCCGCTGCCCAACCGAGAGCCGCTGTACCTGCGCAGCCCTCCAGGTCCAACGCCCCGACGCCTGCTCCGGCGCAAGCCAAGCCGGCCACACCCCAGCCTCCCCAGGCTGCTTCCCCCGCGCCCAAGGAGGACAAGCCCGCGGCGGCTGCTACTGCTGCCAGCGCTGCCGCTGCTGCTAACGGCACGGCTAACGCCCCCGACTCCTCTGCGCCCAAGAACCCGGCGGACAACATCATTGGCCTCTTCATTATGAATGCACAGAGCGACGATCAAGTCCGTGACCTTTTTGGCGAGGAAGACAAGGCCAAGATCATCAAGATCGACCGATGGGGTGCCAACAACAAGGTGGCCCAGTTCAAGACGACCGAGGAACGTGACGCCGCCCTGGAGCGCCTACCCGACGACGTGAAGAACCGCGCCCCCGGCCAAGAGGACCGCTCCAAGCCGCTGGTCAAGATCTTTGCGCCCCCCCCTTCGCGCCACATCTCGCGTGGCGGTGCCGGCAACTGGGGCAGCAGCCGCGGTGGACGGGACGGTGGGGCCCAGCAGAGCGGCTACCGCAGCGCCGGCGGCGGAGGTGCTAGTGACAGCGAAGGCGCCGGGCGTCGCGGTGGACGTGGAGGCCGTGGAGGCCGTGGTGGTGACCGAGGAGGCCGTGGCGGCCGTGGCCCGCGAGGCGGTGGTGGAAAAGGTGACGGAGCCAGCCCTGCTCCTGCTGCTGAGTAGTTGAGGTCTTGGTCATGATGGGCCTGGCTTGGCCTGGCCTGAAACCAGCGCATTGGAGTTGAGTCAGGAAACTCTGGACCGGGACGGGAAACAAGTACTTGGTAACAGACACACCAACAATTTGATTCAGCGTTCCACCTCCGACCACCCCTCACTCATAGTGGACATCGTCCTCATATCTACGTAACCAAACCTGCCACCATACCACCTTGTCCGACTTCCAAGGACAGCCAGCAGTTGAGTCATTCACTTGCGACAGCTCAACTCGCCCGACGAACGGGGCGCCAAATCCTAACCCATTTATTTAATATCCCGGATCATATCGAGCAACGACCATTTGTCCTGGTACATATTCCGGTACCTCGACGGGTTGTGAGCTTTGGGGAATGAACGATCCGGCACGCACATACCATACCATTCCATTCATGCCAGTCCTCCCTTATGTTAGGGATGGATGAATGGAGAAATGGATGGTATTCGGGTTTGCTTTTAGCTGACCTAACCCCACCCACTATGTTTCTCGGGTTTCGTTTCGTTCTTGCGGTGATCTTCCTTTCCTTTTCTTTGACCTTTTTTTTCTGCTTGTTTCGTTGTTTTATCGGAGGGCGAAAACCTGGATGGATGGATGGATGGATTTGGGCTCGCTTTTCTCCCCTTTCTGATGCTTCTTTTTTCCCGTTCTCGGTTCTTGTTGTTTCTCGTTCTGCTTCCGTTTTGTGTCTCTCGGTTGGCTTGGCTTTGCCGGGCTCTACTTGGCTTGCCCAACTTGGGTGGGTTAGAGGGGTTTGTTTGGCTGGCATGGTGGTGGCGACTGCTTTGATGAGAGCGACGGAAGGGCCAAGCCCAATACCCAGCGTGGTTGGGCAGGGAGACTGAATGGGTGAATGGTTGGGCAGGTGGGTGGCTGGATCGAGGAGTCAATGGACATGGTGGCTGGTTTGGTTGGCTCGGTATGGGTAGGCCGGAAAAGAAGGTTGTTAAAATTGACTGTTTTTGTTTGCTACGGGCGGTTCTAATTGTGCGTGTGAGTGCGTGTGTTCTCTCGTCTCGTCCACCCTAATTCAGGTGGGTGATAGGCTCTGTTGAGAGGAAGGTAGGTGGTGAGTTCTAGTATCAAAGTTTGGCGTGATTGGAGCTGTAGGTATGGCTTGTGTTGGTTGTTCCCGTTGGATGGATAAACTGACATATATGCTGCCTACTATGATTTCTAGGTCTGGCCCATTGTATTTATTTCACTGGGAATCTTGGTTGTTTTGCGTCTTCAGCAGCAGAGCTTGTGCTTTTTCCCCTCTCTCATAACGGAACGCCTCCTTTCTTGTCTTTTTCTAACAAATAGGGGTTACATGTGGTTCTGCTCCAAGTGTGATTTTGTGTTGCGTGAACTGTGACCTTTTTTGGGCTGAGCAACATTCCCGATTTTCTTTTGCCGAGAGAGTCTCTTGAGAGGGAGGGCGGCAGGGCGGTATGGTATGATAGTGGGAGAAGACATGCAAACTGCGGGGGACCAAGCTGCTTGATATCCTGATTCATTGTCTACAGGGGACATGGGTTCCTGGCTTACCAAGACCTACTTCACCCGCTTAGGTTTTATTTGATTAGCACTGGTTACGCTGGTAGTAGACATCTTCACGACTCATTCACAGAGCTACAAAGTTACAAGGCCGAGGAATTAGTCGGGTAAAAATGCGTGATATGATATGATATGGTACAGGTATCATACATGTACAAAGGCTCCTGCTCTTACACATTCCCGTCTAGTCAAGATCATCACCACGGAGATCCGCCCGTCATCGAATCCTACACCCCATTCCATGACGAACACCAACCATTACACTCCCTCACGCTCTCGGCTTCATCCCCTTATGAATCGCCGCCACCCCCCCGGTCAAATCCTCCCACCCATCGCCCGCCACCACAAACCCTGCATCCACAATCATATCCCGAAACTCCGCCTGACTCGGAAACCGCTCAATGCTCTCCACCAAATACTGATAACTATCTCGATCCGCCGCCACCAGCTGACCAATGAGCGGAATCGCGCGGAACGACCACTCCTTATACAACGCGTTGAACACCGGGTGCGCATCGGCCTTGCTAAACTCCAGACAGGCGAACACACCCCCCGGCTTCAGCACGCGGTACGCTTCGCGCAGCGCCGCGGGGATGTTACTGAAGTTGCGGATGCCAAAGGCCACGGTGTAGAGGTCGACGGAAGCCGAAGGGATCGATGCCGTCGAGGTGGCCGGGTCGAAGAAGGCCTGCTCTGTGTTACCGTGGGCGTCGTGGGTGGTGGGTTCGATTGGGGAGGGGTAAGGGTGAAGGGGGCGGGTTTGGGAGAGGTTCTCGGCGTTGGCTTCGACGAAGGAGAGGGATGCTTGTTGGGAGGCGGGGAGGGTGGTGGAGCGTTGTTTGCCGACGGTGAGCATGGCGCGGTTGATGTCGGAGATGGTTACGCGTACGGCAGGGTTGGCGTTGACGACATGGGCGGTGTGGAGCATGCGGAAGGCGATGTCGCCTGTGCCGCCGGCGATGTCGAGGATGTGTTGCGGTCCGCGGGGGTCGGGGCCGGGGGTGAGGGGGGAGAAGCCCGGGTTGAGAGAGGCGACGAAGTGGTCTCTGTTACGTACGGGGGAAAGGTTAGTACAATGGGGAACTGGAACATAGGTCCTCGAAACGGTACTTGGTACGTACTTCCACACACGATGCCAGCCAAAAGACATGAGATCGTTCATGCGGTCGTATGATTCGGCCACACTGGTAAAGACACCAGCCACGCGCTCCCTCTTCTCGCCTTCTGTTACCGTTTCATAGCCGAAATGTGTTGGGCGAGTAGGGTCGGGAATTGCATAGTCGGGGGCCGAAGAGGACGACGTTGAGGATGAGGAAGGTGACGATGATGCTGAAGTAGACGGATTCGGATTCGGAGCAAGAGATGGGAGTGATGCCGAGAAAGGTCGTGTGATAAATCGTGGTGGTTGTTGGGGGGAATGTGTAAATGCGCTCCTGGTAGAGGGGAGCGCCCTCTTGAGAGCTATTCGGGCTGCCATTGTGAGCTGGTTCGTTGGCAACCGCAATAGCTCTGGTTGTAGACCGGAATCTAAAAGAAAGTTCGCGGATCAGCTCATGCAACTCGAAAGACATTCAACGCCCAGATTGGAAAAAATCGGGTCGGATCGGGACAGGTGTGGCTGCTGCTGTGGCTGAACAGGCCTTGCAGCGCCCTTGCTCCCCTGTTTCAGCCCTGTTTGCGGGGTGAAACTTGGACGCCAAGACCTGCATGGTGGGGGTTTGCATTGCTCGAGGTAGATCCTATTCATGTCCCGTTTTTGACCTCTTCCAAGAACCCGAGACACCTTGTCGAATTCGGGAGAGAGAATAAGGGCCAGCGCTACACGTACCTAGTCTACTGGGACTCTTCGTCCCTGTTATTGCGGCTCTGCAATCTAGCTGCTGTGGCGGCGCGGACGTATTTGATACCAAGAACGCCGACAATCACCGTAATGCTCAAAACGCAGAGCACGGCGATCAGAACGCGGTTATCGGTGGCCATGGTGTGTAAGTGGTAGTCGATACTTGGTAAGGCGAGTTGGTTGAGGGTTTCGTTGAGAGGCAAGTAAGTGGAAGAAGTGTGATGTTGTTTGTTAATTGGGTTTGAAGAGTATGTTGTGAGTTTAGATAGGATGTGGTTGGAGGAAGGACGGGAGGAATCGTTTGTGATTGTAAATTTATGGGATGAGCTTGTTACCGGTTTGGGTTGCCATGGGAAGCCAAACTGACGCTCCTGCCGGGAACAACTTGGATGTTCAGTCAACATCCAAAGTTATCCTCCAGGAGCCCACTTCTGTACTGTCATCGAAAACCAATCCATTGCTCGCTCGCTCGCTACTTGTCTAGGCTATCCTTCCCCCCCTCAAATTCACCCAGTTCATACTCCTCAGGGTATCTGTCCAACTGACTCTTCAGTTCCCTCATCTGCTGCCTCAGATCCGGCGTCAATTCCTCATACACATCCTCAAACATCGTCCGAATCGGCGGCTTCTTCTCGCGCTCAGCCTCAGAAAACGCCTTGAGCACATCCCGCCGGATACTTTCCCGCGCCTCCTTCTCCATGTTCTCATCCCAGCACCCCTTAGCCTCCATCCACTTGCGCAGCCGTGCGATCGGGTTATCACGCCTCTTCCAGTCCTCCACCTCCACGCGCGCGCGGTACGCAAACGAGTCATCCGACGTGCTATGGTGACTCACGCGGTACGTCATAGCCTCGATCAGGACCGGCCGGCCGCCATCCTGCAGGGCAATCTCGCGCGCCTTCTTCATCGCCTCGCGCACCGCCCAAAAGTCGTTGCCATCCACGCGGATCGTCTCGATGCCGTACCCGAGACCGCGGCTGGCAATACCGTCGCCGCGGTACTGCTCGAGGGTCGGCGTCGAGATGGCGTAGCCGTTGTTGCGGCAGACGAAGATCACCGGGCATGACCGGGTTGCGGCGATGTTGAGCGCCGCGTGGAAGTCGCCTTCGCTTGCTGCGCCTTCGCCGAAGTAGGCGGCTACCACGCGTGGTGGGATGCTGGGGTCTTGCATCCGTTGGATCTTGAGCGCGTATGCTGCGCCGGACGCCTGCGGGAGCTGTGTCGCAAGGGGGGAGGAAATGGAGTGCTGTTGTCGCGTTAGCAGGAGCGTCCAGACAATGTATGACGGAGGTGTGTTCCCCATCCTCGATACGTACGATATTCAGTTCCTTGCTACCATAATGCACAGGCATGTTCCTCCCCTTCCCAGGATCCTTATGGTTCGCAAACAACTGCCCCATAAAGTCCGACAGCGTAAACCCACGCTGCTTAAACACTCCCTGCTCACGGTACTGACAAAACACCACATCCTCCTTCTCCAGCGCGGAAGCCGTAGCCACCGACACCGCTTCCTCGCCCGCCGACACCATGTAAAAGCTCAGCCGGCCCTGTCGCTGCGCGTCAAACATGATCAGGTCCATGATTGACACCGTCAGCATGTCGCGGTACAGCTTGACGACCTCCTCGTCGCTGAGGTCGGGCTCGAAGTTGGGGTCGACGACGACGCCATGCTGATCGACCACGCGGTAGGTGGGTAGGGCTGGGTACTCTTGCGGCTGCTCGAAACGCATGGTGTTGCTGAAGGCGGACTTGAGGGCGCCGGGGAACATCACGTGGGCCGAGTCGGGCCGTTGGGAGATGGAGCTGGCATAGCGGCGGGATTGGGTTTGTTGTTGTTGTGGCTGTGGTTGATGTTGTCGTGATTGTTGCTGGTTTACGGAGCTGGACGGTGAAGAGAGCATCAACGGTGTGAGCTGGGGGAGCGGAGACCGCGGTTGACTCCCTCGAGGGCGCAGGAAGGCTCCGCGGGCCCCGGGAAGACGGACGCTCTTCATTATGGAGTTGAAGATGGTGCAATTACGAGCTGAGAGTCACAAAAACACCGGGAGTGAAGGGAAAAGCCAGTATTTCAGTCCGCCGCCGTTCAATTGGGAAAGGGAAGAAACTGTCTTGTCTCTCGAAACGGGAATTGAGAAGAGGTCAGCTGGGAGATGTCCGGGGTAAACGACGTCACTTGTGCCGACGGAAGCCGTGATAATAGCCTGCATTCTTGGCGTTCAGGGGTCTCTCCGGGTTCCCCACTAAAACCGGCGCTCTGGAACTGGAAGCCCGGCCCTGGCCGAGGGTGCAGCCGACGGTTCAACGGTGAGTTGCATACCCGAGTTGATAGTAACAAGAGAAAAGATGCTCTTCCAGGCTGTCCTTTGAGGACTTGGGTCTATCGTGTTGGGAGCGACCCAAACCTGCTTTATTTGCTGGCTCTCCGCAATGTTGAGCGGCCCCACTTGTCTCTTCTAGTCTCTTGATTATAACGAAACCGAGAAAAGTGTATGCCGGTCTCACGCGACACTTTGATACCAGGTATTTTTGCATCCGGTGTCGCGGGCAGTGGCCTTGCGCCGGTTAATTTATTCTTGTCATTTATGTTTCGACTCTTTGGTTATTGTTTTTATTCCTTTATTTTTGTGGTCTCTGTCCCATGATATCGGTGGGTAAACAAAAATCCCCCGGACAATTATTAATTCGCGCGTTTAGTCAACACAGTAACAACCTAGTGTGAACACAGGACTCAACACCGAAATCCCGCACTTTTACATGTCACATTAATTTCCACCACAAAGTAGGATACGATTCCCCGAGCGCCCCGGTATGTACTCGGGGGAAAGTTGGTGTTTCGTCGACGCAGCTTTTGAGCTTAATCATCTTACAAGATGAGTGCTTTGTCGGAATTATGGTTGTTTTAGCAAGGAGAAATCTAGAAACATTTCGGACTTTGACGGTGTTTGGCCTTTATCGGGAGGTTTCGGTGATCTGAGCACCTGCCTGTCCCCGCCCGTTAAAGCGATGATCATATTCGGGTGTTAATAGTAAGAGTACAGATCCGTTGTTGTGAAGTCACAACACTCTATTACTTTTCCTCTTTGTTCTTCACGAACTTGTTTTTATAAAAAAAGGTAATGGAAGAGTGTTGTCGACACGGCCGCAAAATCGCCAAGATAAATAATCTAACGATTCAAGAGTGCTAGGAACCGTTGAAAATCGAGGAATGTGGCCCTGTTGGGAAACAAGAACTTGTTATGGACAAGCGCTCACAGGGTCGACTTGGAAGAATATGGAATCTTCGACCTCTGCAATTGTGGACCCGGTCAGCGTTTCAGGAAGATGCAACAATACGGCATGGCTTCCTTCTCGTGGATATGGATCTGGCCGTTTTCATAGCTCTCGAGTGTCTTCTTCAAATATAGTTACTAAAACGGAGTGTCGTGAAGTTCAGGTTTAAGCCTGCTCGGCGCTCCGTCTAAAGGGTCTGTAACTATTTCGGTCTTCTGCATTCAAACTGTTTGCTTGATGTTGTACATACATGCAGTACGAATATTCGTACATGCAGAGTGGTAGTGGTGAAGACCCCACGGGTCCGTGCCACCCATGCCCACGTTCTTGGTCTTGGCTGTCTTCGGCACAGGGATCCCGGCTTGAGAACCGCCAACCAGACGCCCTGACATCAAGCAGCGGCTTGTCCAACGCAGCGCTTCGCTCACCACTGGAACTGCATCTCCACCAGCCAACCACCTCTGCCTGAATTCGGGTGGTCGCTATCCCCTCCATCCAGGCTCGAAGCCCGTCCGTCCTCCGCAGCCACGGCCCGACGCCCAACAACGCCCGCGACCCGGACAAACCCTCCAGCCCATGAGTAAGAGCATATATTCCCCCTCGCTGCCCTCCGCTCGAACCGCCGCCTACCTGCCTTCCGATGGCGTAATCCATGGCAGAACGACGTACTGCAAACCAGCGGTCCAGAGACTCCAGATCGGCTCTCGATAACGACCTAGCGCACCTCCTTCCACTATCTTCTCCCACCGCGACTACCTCGTCCACTGCTCCTGCCCTTTTACACGCATCGCCCTCATCTCCTGCAAGGTACAGACACTCCCGCCCCTGCTTCCTCGGTTTCCGTGAATATATGGTCCCTTTTCCTTTCCGTCCGGTGTTGCACTTGCATTTCCCACTCTCCACAGCCCTCCTCCTCCCTGTCCCAGCCGAGCGATCGATCAAGTCGAGCATCCATCCTACCTTACCGACCGACCCGATTCCATAATTACCGACCACCTAAATCGTGCTGCACACACCCACACATTCCTTACTCGGGGGTTCGCGCAAGGCCACTGGGAAGGAATAAAAAATAAGACGCCCAAGACAAAGCGAGAGAGCGAAAGTGGCACCTGGGTTTCACGGCTGCCTTTTTCCCTTTTGGCCGTCTGGCCGATTGTCTTGCTGTCGTCGGACCATTCTGGCCTGTTGCGCGTGCCCAGGACCTCGAGTTGGCTTCAAAAAACTACCCCACCGACCCGAACACTGGAATTGTTCACTGTTCCGCTCCCGACCACGCCTGGACTGCGATCTCCCTTGCGACTTCCCACAAAATCCCCGATGCCCTCATCCTTCTACAATATCCCCCAAACCCATTTCTCTATTTCGCCTGCTGTCGGCTCGCATGACAAGCAGGATTTGAAACACATATTTACTCATGTCGTCCAGGGTCACCCGCTCGTCTGCCCGTCAAGCCGCGAGTCAAGCACAAGCAACAGCGACTTTGAATCCGCCCGCGACCGGTGCTGCATCGTCGACGACATCCCCCTCCGCACCCGCGAGTTCGGTACACCCGCCGCCGAATCCGCCGACGCCGACGCCTGCCCGAAGCACCCGCAAACGGAAGAATAATACCACCAGCAGCCCCCCCACAGGCGCCACTGAACCACCCGCATCTGCCCGTCGGTCCAAGCGACAGCGGGTTGCACAGGCGTCCCCACAGCCCGCACAGTCCGCCCCAAACACAGCAGCACCTCCATCTCCTGTGTCTCGCCCGAGGAAGGGCAAGGCTCCGGCAACTATGTCGAGTCCAGGGTATGTTAGGTCGAACCGGACACCTAAGTTGATTTGGTTGAAGAAGCTGCAAATGCTGATGTGGTAATGGCAAACAGCAATCCGGAAGGGTCTGCCCCCAATCCCTTAGAGAACCCGTCTTCAGCTTCGTCTAGTAGGCGATCGAGTCGGAACAAGAAGAGCATGTCGATTGGCGACGGTACGTCATGGCCACCCTAAACCCCTCCTTCCATTGCCCACTTGGAGATTCTACTTACTCACGTGGCCGTCCCCCAGACGAACCACTCTTTGCCGCACACGGTTTGAGTCGACGATCGAAGCGAGTTTCTACCGATGCACAGGATGAAGACATCGTTATGAGCGGCACAGAGGAACACGCAAAGGCGTCCACAACGTCTCCGCCGCCGCCGCCTCCTCCTCCCGAAGATAGATTCCCGGAAGAGAGCGACGAGAATGATGACGAGGAGGACGAAGAGGCGTTGCGGCGATATGACGACGACGACGATGCGGATCCGTTTAGTGGTTTTGGAGCCGCAGCCGGCGTACCTGGCCTTAGCAACACGCTTAGGACGCTCACTAGCATGGTTTCCGGTACATCTTCGAGGCTTCGAGACATCTTGAACAACCTTCGGCAGAAGGACGACCCCACCATGCAGCTCATTGCGCTACAAGAGCTCTCTGAGCTGTTGCTCATCCATAACGAGGATACGCTGTCGGGCCACTTCTCTCCGGATGCCTTTGTGAAGGAGCTGGTGTCCTTGATGCAGCCGAACGAGCTCACCGGGGAGGAGAATCCAGAGATCATGCTCTTGGCCTGCCGCTGCCTGGCCAATCTCATGGAAGCCCTGCCCGCGAGCACATCGAACGTTGTCTACGGACATGCCGTTCCCATTCTATGCCAGAAGCTGCTTGAGATCTCATTTATTGACCTAGCAGAGCAGGCTCTTAGCACGCTGGAGAAGATCTCGATCGAATATCCAAGCAGTATTGTCCGCGAGGGTGGCCTCACCGCCTGCCTCTCCTACCTAGAGTTCTTTGCCACAAGCACACAGCGAGTTGCCGTCACTACGGCGGCCAACTGCTGCCAGAACCTCGACCAGGAATCCTTCCCCGTTGTTCGAGACGTCATGCCCATTCTTCTTAACGTCCTCGGAAGTAGTGACCAGAAGGTCGTGGAAAAGGGATCTCTGTGCGTCACCCGCATCGTGGAGAGTTTTAGGTTCCACCCATCGAAGCTAGAGGAGCTTGTCAGTGTCGACCTCCTTAGGGCGATTCTGCGTCTCCTTTTGCCCGGAAGCACCAATCTAGTCACGGCCCATATCCACACCCAGTTTCTCAGGGTCCTGGCATTTACTGCGCGTGCAAGCCCCCGACTTTCTGCGGAGCTTTTCAAGATGAACGTGGTGGAGACGCTGTACCAGATTCTGACCGGCGTGTCCCCTCCGGATGGATCTCATGACATCGCTTCGAAGCTCGACAGCGTTCTTATTATGCAAGCTCTCATTCACCGTCCGCGGGACCAGATCATCGAGACCCTCAACGTCATTTGCGAACTGCTCCCCAGCCTCCCCAAGTCGGCTGACCCTGTTTCTGGCGAGATCCCCGAGATCAACTTGGCCAGCGAGCCTGTTACACCATCCTCAGGCGGTTCTCGGAAGAAGACCACCAATGAGAAACGGGTTGAGCTGTTGGATGAATGCAAGGACGAAGTCCGGCGCTTCTCTATGATCCTCTTTCCTACGCTCACCGACGCATATTCGAGCACCGTCAACCTGAGTGTCCGACAGAAGGTCCTGATTGCCCAATTGAAAATGCTCTCCAACCTCAACGAGGAAATTCTTGTCGATGCCCTCAAGCCGGTTTCCTACGCATCGTTCTTGGCCGCTATCATCTCCCAACAGGACCATTCGTCCCTGGTATTGCTTGCCATCGGCGCTGCCTCGCTGCTTATGAAGCGGCTCGGCTCTGTATACCGTTATCAGCTTTACCGTGAGGGCGTGATTGGTGAGATCACCAAGTTAGCGAGCCAAGAAATCGAGCCGGAGCCGAAGCCTGAAGTCAGCCCATCCCCGGAACCGGCAGCAGAGCCCGAGACGGAGGCTGAGCCGGAATCCAACAGGTCCTCGGAGGAACCCGTCGAAGGGGAGCTGGAAGACGGCGAATCGGACGCTGGAGACCAGGAGAACGAACTCGTAAAAGTGGAGGAAAATGACGAAGCCCGCTCCCATCATTCTTCTGACGAGGAAGATGAAGAGAACGAGGACGAGGAAGAGGAAGACGATGAGAACGACCATGACCATGAGAACGAGGATGACGAAAATGACCAGGAAGATGACCACAACGGCGACGACATCTCGGCTTCCCCAGTTACCGTTAGTTCCGAAGGGTCGACTATGTCCATCTCCGGGCCCCCGGGCCGTCTCGGCTCGCACGTCCCTTCCGCGAAGACGAGAATTGTCGAGCGCGCCAAGCTCTTTCTTGAGATCCATGAGAACGAGGCGGAAGCCAAGGAGATGAAGGAAAAGGCCGCCGATATCCTGAGCAAGTTGTCGGCACTGGCTTTGGAGATTGAACAGCTCTACCTTCGCGGCAGCTTCTCATCGCAGCGTGCGCTACAGAGCGGCGTCGAACTGTTTGTGCGACTGGCCTCGTACTTCGACTCTGACCTTTTAGAGAGCGTGACTAGTGCGGAACTGCTTGCGTCTGGTGTGGTGCGTGTCCTCGAAGAGGTCATGAGCAACCCCGATGAACATCTAGCAGCAGCCGCGCAGGCCGCCTTCCTCCAGGTATTTATGGGATACGCGGTCAAGTCGAAGCCCAAGACGGCCACTTCCGACTCTCCGGCCACGCCGCTGAGCGTTCTCATCCATAAGCTCCAGGACCTGCTTAGCAGGTCTGAGCATTTCGAGGTCCTTACCGTTCACCAGCAGTCATTCGACAGCAACCGGAGCAGTGCGGCTTCCATGCTTGCGAAGCAGATCCGGCTTAAGCTAGTTGCGGACGAGGACTCGGAGATCCCTCGACACTACCGGAATATTATGGTATCGATTCATGCTATCACCACCTTCAAGTCTTTGGATGATTACCTAAGGCCACGCATCACGGTACCCCGTGGATCGAAGAGAGAAGCGGTCTCCCGAGCCCTTGCTGCCATGGTCAGCTCTGGTCTCCCCATGCCCGCGGCCGCAGCTCGGATGATGGAACGTTCCACCATGCAACAGCTCGCGGGTGGTCTATCCCCCACTCCTCCGCCCCCTCCCCCGGCGGCCGGATCGGCCTCCCAGGCGTCGGGGTCTCGATCGTCACGGAAGCCCAAATCAAAGCCCGAACCGGTGCCCAATGAGGCCCCCTCTACACCGGATCAGTCCTCGAAGGATAAGTCTTCGCTGCGCCGCTCCTCGCGCCGACACGGACACGCTTCGGAAGGTCTACCGACGCAGCCCCCGCCTGCGGACAATGAGGATGGTCTGGAGAATGCCCTGGAGTGCGCCGACGAGAGGCAGCTGTCGGACGAGGAAGAGATGGGCGAAGAGAGCCCCCTCGATATGGTCGGCGATGTTGACGAGGGCATGGAAGACGCTCCGACACCTGATCCGTCTGCAGTGAACCTAGAGGTTGTCGCTGGAGGCAAAGTCACTGCGCGCAAGGAAGATGGGACTAGGGTCCCGACACCATCACACAGCCACAGCCGACCTGCGGCGTCGCTGCCCAGCCGTATGAGTGCCTTGACCGCGGCGCTGCAGGGGAGCCCGACACCTTCCCCGTCGTCTCGCCCGATGTCGTATGCCGCGGCGATCCAGGCCACTCCCCAGGACTGGCATATCGAGTTCAGCATCAACGGCAAGGTCGTCCCCAACGAGACCACCATTTACCGGGCCGTGCACAGCTCCGTCAAGCCGACCGACGACCATTATGGGCGGGGCGTCTGGTCTACCGTCCACTCGATCAAGTTCCGGCGTGTCCCGGGCCCTCCGCCGGCCGAGCAGGCTGTGTTTGGCAGCTCCACCGAGTCGGGCGCCGAGTCTGAAGACGGAAACACTAGCACCCCCGGGTCGCTCGCCAAGTCTCCCGTTACGGCGTCGATTCTGCGGTTGCTCAAGAAGGTGCATGATCTCAACGCCAACATTGACGATGTGTTGGTCGAGAACAAGGAGGCGCTCAAGGTCAACGTCGAGCCCTTGTCGCAGTTCGTCAATACCAAGCTCACGGCGAAGCTGAACCGGCAGCTGGAGGAGCCGCTGATCGTGGCGAGCAACTGCTTGCCGAGCTGGAGCGAGGACCTGGCGAGACTGTACCCCTTCTTGTTCCCGTTCGAGACTCGCCATCTCTTTTTACAATCGACATCGTTTGGGTACGCCCGGTCTATGAGTCGCTGGCAAAACGCTCAATCTCAAGAGGAAGCGCGTAGGGAGCGCCGCGACGAACGACCGTTCCTAGGCCGTCTGCAGCGTCAGAAGGTCCGGATCTCGCGTTCCAAGATTCTGGAGTCAGCCGTGAAGGTGATGGAGCTGTATGGCGCTTCACAGAGCATCTTGGAGGTGGAATACTTTGACGAGGTCGGCACGGGGTTGGGTCCGACGCTCGAGTTCTACTCGACCGTGTCCAAGGAGTTCTGCAAGAAGAAGTTGAAGCTCTGGCGGGACAATGATCCCAGCGCGGACGACGAGTTTGTGTATGGGCCCAACGGGCTGTTCCCACGCCCGGTCAGTGAGGAGTTTGCGGCGACCGAGGAAGGTGAGAAGATCCTGCAGCTGTTCAAGATGCTTGGCAAATTTGTTGCGCGGTCCATGATCGACTCTCGCATCATCGACGTCAACTTCAACCCCATCTTCTTCCGCATCGGCGACGAGTCCACGGCCGTCCGGCCGTCTCTTGGGGCGGTCAAGTCGGTAGACCCCGTGATTGCGAGGTCCCTTATGATTGTCAAAAAGTTCGCCCTAGCCAAGAAGGCGATTGACGAAGATCCGACCCGGAATGCGGCGCAGAAGGTCCGCGACACCGAAAACATTCTGGTCGACAAGATCCGCATTGACGATCTGTACCTCGACTTTACGCTGCCGGGCTACCCCGAGATCGAGCTTATTCCCGACGGGTCACAGACCCAGGTCACCATCCAGAACGTCGACCTCTACCTGGAGAAGGTGATTGACATGACCCTGGGATCAGGTGTACGCCGCCAGGTGGATGCTTTCCGCACGGGCTTCTCGCAGGTCTTCCCGTACTCGGCGTTGAGCGCGTTCACGCCGGAGGAGCTGTGCACGTTGTTTGGGCGGGTGGATGAGGATTGGTCCCTTGAAAGTGAGTTTTGGTCGAGATGGATACCTAGTCATCATGGCGGCTGGCGGATCTGTGCTGACATTGGCTTTTCTTTTTCTAGCGCTTATGGACTCGGTCAAGGCGGACCACGGATACAACATGGATAGCAAGACCGTTAGGAATCTCTTGCAGGCCATGAGCGAGCTTACCCCAGCCCAGCGCCGTGATTTCTTGCAGTTCACCACCGGTAGCCCGAAGCTTCCGATTGGTGGTATGTTTCCCCCTCCCCTCTTAGTTGATCGGTGGTATTGTAGGGAAACGAGATCATTAACGTGGATTTACTGTGTACAGGCTTCAAGAAACTCACGCCCATGTTCACGGTGGTCTGCAAACCGAGCGAGGCACCGTACACTTCGGACGATTATCTACCCAGCGTCATGACATGTGTCAACTACCTGAAGTTGCCGGACTACTCGAACGTGGACACCCTGCGCAAGCGACTATTCACGGCGATTAAAGAGGGACAGGGAGCTTTCCATCTATCTTAAACAAACAAGCCAGCCCTACAAGATTTTGGGGCAGGATTGGGAGGAAGGATTTGGGGACATGGGAATATGAGGGAAAGGGGGAAAGACTTGAATTGAGAAAGATTGGGAGTGATTACGGGAGATGGGCAATTATTGCAATGGAGGGAGGGCGGAGAGTCAAGATTATGGACGGTGCGGGTGTGTGTTGAGAAATCATTGTACTTATTGTAGCTTACCTACCTACCCACGTCTTGTGTGTTTTTACTTCGGTTTTGTTCTTTTTTTTTCTGCTACTTCCTTTTTTTTCACTTTGCTCGTTTTCGCTTGGGACTTGGTCATCGTATATCAGTCATCATGGTCTTGGTCATGGTCTTGGGTTTGGGCTTGGGCTTGGGGGTTTAAGAGGGAAGGGGGAAAGGAGACGAATCGGTTAGTTTGCTGGGTTTCTGCTCTTTTGCTTTGCTCGCCCTGCTTTTATAAGTAGTTTTTTTCCTATCCCTTTTTTTGCCCTGTTTTCCCCCCTTCAACATTGGGATTTGGAGTTTGGCGAGGTCATCTTTTTCCCCGGGTGGAGCTAGCGATGGGTGGTGGTGGTGGTGGTTGTTGTTTGAGAGGGCGTGGGAGGAGTAGGAAGCGAAGAAAATTGGACGAAGGGGGTTGGAGGATGGGATATGAGGGATGGAATGGGGGAGGGGGGGAAGGGAGTGAAAAAGCGGAAATTGAACTCAGAATTGGGAGGGTGAGGCGTGGATGGGTGGATGGATGGGCAGATAAAGGGGGACGAGGATGAAATGGACAAAATTGATAGATAAAGATTGAGGTCTTGGACGAAGGGTGAAAATGAAAATGGTGGTGGTGTGTTTCTTGGAGCGGGTGGTGGTTATCTTAAGGGGGATTGTTTCCCGCAGCGAAATAACGTTAGGGTTTACAGCGGGAGGGAGAATGGGGAGGAGGCGATGGATTTGGTTGGGAGGATATTAATGGGAAGGGAAAAGGGGTTCAAACGATGGCGCCTGAGGAGGATGCTTGATTTCCTTTCTCTTCTCTTCACTTATCACCCCTGGTCTCTATCCTGGGCTTCTCTTCTTTTCATCATTGCCCATTTTCTTACAGTAATGCAACGGGTTATGCTACCTTATCATGCGTTGCTTACTTACCCTACTCTACTCTACTCTCTAGACTGGCAGAATGGACATTGCATTGGTATTTGGTCGGTACAAGAGTGGGGTTTGGCTAAGTAGTGGCGGAGGTAATGACGGTGGTGAGTGGTTGTGGTGGGCTTAGGTCTTGGGAAAATGGGATTGTCGTGGGAATTGAGGGGCAAATCATAGTGGATAAGGCGGTTGAAGGGGGCAAATTGCAGTCTGTTTGTTGACTTTGGGAATTGGTTTGTTTACTTTGCAGCGGCCCAGGTGGCAAAGCAAAAGCAGGCAAAATAGCTCTTTTTTCGATCCATGAATTCATCAGAATTAAATCATATCGCAGCCTGCAATTCCCCCCGCTTTTGATTTTTAAAAGTCATGAGGGAAGTGATAAGTGATGGTGTTCCGATGCTGGTATGATGTCATGTGCTCAGGCCTTGGGAGTTGGGATTTAAATGACAGGCAGGGGGGGTCGCGCCAAGCTTTCTCTCTTCGACGCGTTTACCGACGCGTCTTCTTTCTCTCCCTTGCACCATCGCCCCTCCATGCCACATTGGAATGAATGACCCTGGACATTGTCAAACAATTCCTAGGCAACACAACACAACCTGGACATCTATGTTTTACTTTGTATTTCTCGAACGACCTGCCGCTTGATTGTGGGGTTGAGACACTGCGAGTTTTCGACGTCCGACCGATTGATTGCGGTGACTTGGGACTAAACGGATTCGACGAAGAGGGGCAAACGACACGGTTCGTGTTTCACGACGGGACAGAATACTCGAGCCAGTCGCACCCTTTTCGTCGGTTGCGTTACTACTCCCTGGAATATTTCCGTGCTTGGTGTGGAACCGGCCGACGACACTGTTACACGAACAACGACGAGACCGAATACGCGCCCCCAAGAAGGGACGAAAAGAAAAAAGACCACCGACATGGCACCCCGAAGAACCACCCGCCGGTCCGCTGGCGCTGCTGCAGACACTGCGACACCCTCAGCAACAGCAACAAAACCGAAACCGAAAACCACTACTCCCGCGACTACCACCACCACCACCAAGTACGAATCGAAACCGGTCCCGAAACAGGTCACCTTCCCCGCGCGCCGGAAAATTGTCAAGACATATGGACATCACAAGACCCGGCGGTCTCTGCCGGCGCGGTTGGAGTTGGAGGGGGAGGAGGAAGGTGACGATACGCCGGTTTCGGAAGGGAATAAGAGGCGGAGTTTGAGGCAGCAGACGTTGACGCAGATTGATTATGTGCGGTCTTCTTCTGGGAGTTCGGGGGGAGAGGCGGGGTTGTTGAGGGTAGAGGATGAAAATGGGGACGGGGATGGGTCGGAGGTGGATGAGAAAGTTGAGGAGAGGATAGGGACACGGAAGGGGACAAGAGCGAGGAAACAAGCGCGAATAGGACAGGTGGAAGTTGTGGGGGGGGAGGAAGAGGTCAAGGTTGAGGGTACGAATTCGGGCGATAAGAGGAGGACGGCGCCTAGGAAAACGAAACGGAGGAAGACGGCGGGGGATGCGCCGATTCCTGGGTTGGAAAGGAAAGGGTCGAGTTTTCATACTCAGACTTTGACCCAGTTTGTTGGGAAATCTGGACTGCGCTTGGGCGAAACTGGTGATGACGACGAGCTGCGGGTGGACGACGACGGGGACGAGGTTAAGGACTTGCCTCTGCCTGTGAGCAACACGCCGGTTAAACGTCCCGCAGCCTCAAAGAAGGGAAAGGGCAGGGTTGTCTCCGCGCCAGACCCGCACACGCCCAGCAACAAACGCATCAAGGTCAAGCTCGAGGAGGTACCGTCCTCTCAGACGACACCGTTCACACCGTTACTGGGCCACAGTCCGCTCAAGCTGGAGCGGTCTCCGCTGACGCAGAAGTCAACAAATTTGGACGCGCCGCTGCCGACGATGGAGACCGTTTCCAAGATCCCACGGACGCTGGTCATCCAGGACAGTTACAGCGTAGGGAGCAACAGCAGCGTGGGATTCCCTTCCTCTTCCGCGGGGGACATACTACAAGAAACACGAGACACGCCCAAGAAGGAGGAAGAGCGGACATCCACCACCCAGGACCGGGCACCGCTGGCGGAAATACCAATCGGGAGCATCGAGCTTGGTGTAGAGTCCACACCGGCTGGGGAGACGCCGACGGCACGGAAGAAGCGGATGTTCGTTGAGATTCCTGACTCGGATGAGGAGCTGGAGAGTGTTGGGTCGACGCCGTTTAAGACACGGTCGACGCAGCAAACTCCGCGATCGAAACGTCAGATGGTAGAAGACGGCAACGAACACAGCGACTTTAAGATTGCCGCTGATCCGGCGTCGACACCGAGGGTTCGGGGCGCTGTGGCGTCGAAAACGCCGGTTAGCACGGGCCGATCTGATAAGGAGAATGAGACGCCGGTTGTTGCGGTGCTGGAGGATGAGGATGGGGATGAGAATGCGGATGAGGGGATGGGAGAGAGAGAGGGAACGCCGACTCCGACGCAGGGGAGGAAATCGCAGGCGGCCAGTCGGGGGAGCCAAGTTACACCGAGGACTGCGTCGCAGTTTTGGACGGCGTGGCGTCGGGCGCCGGGTGGGGATGTTGGCGGGTTTGGCGCGATGACGGGGAGTAGTGCACGCGAGGCGTTGACGGAGTTGCCTGTGGCTGTCGATGAGGAGCCGGCTAGTTCGCGAGATAAACGAGGTGGTACGCCGACTGTTGGGTCGCAGTTTCATGGGAGTATGGGGGAATCGGAGGGGAGAGCGCGCAGGGCTACGCCTGAGATTGAGGATACGGATGAAACTGCCAGCGAGGCGGAGGAGGAAAGCCTTGGTGTTCCGCAGAAGGATATGGATGAGACGGCGAGTGAAGCATCGGAAGACGAACAACGGCCACCGTCGATTCTCCGCAAGCCCGGCTCACAGAGGACGCCGCGAGGCACGAGCGCGAAGAACAGCAGGTCTAGCCCTCCTATCGGCACGCGTGACGAAAACGGACCAGCCGCGACCTCACCGGCCGTTAGGAAAGTTCAGATCGCCGTTCCAGATTCATCCGCGGAGGAGGTCTACAAAGAAACGCCGCGGAAGCCAAGGTCGCACAAGTCATCGCCCATCTACCAGCGACAAACCCAAACACGGCACACCCAAGCCCGGTCGCAATACTACAGCCAGTTCGAGAGCCAGCGCGTTCCCATGGACGTCATCCGGTCCCTCGGCCCCCAAACGGACCGGTCCGACATCATCATCTCGCTCCACCCCAAAATCGTCGAAAACATCACCAACGGCGCGCAAGACCACGAGTTCCGCAACTACAAGTTCCCCGTGCAGGTCGTCCGCTGCTGGATCTACACCGACCTGCCCGTGGGCGAGGTCAAGTACATGGCCACGCTGGGCCCCGCGCAGGAGCCTGGCCAGCTGGACAGACACACGGGCTTTGGCAACGCCGAGTTTAACGATGGGACCTCGGGGTACCGCTACGCGCACAAGCTGCGGCAGGTGTATCGGCTGAATAACCCGGTGCCGCTGGCGGATATGGCGGAGCATGGGATGGGGGATGGCGCGCCGCAGCGGTATCGGTATTTGCCGTTGGCCGTGGTCGGGCAGTTGTTGGCCAACTTGCGGTGTCCGTTGTTTGCGGACGAGGAGGGGGATGAAGATGGTGATGATGATGACGAGTGCGGTAACGAGGGTGGAATGACGATTTCGCAGGAGCTGGAGGATCAACTGCGCACTGATATCCTCCACTCGACGCAGAAACTCCAACGGCACCGTCCCGTTAACGAAGACGAACAGCACGAAGAACAAGACGAAGAAGAAGAAGAAGAAGAAGATATCATCCCCGCCAGCCAAAGCCCAATCAAGAACCGCTCTACACGCAACACCTCTCACACAACCACCACAACCACCACCCGGTATTACCAACCTCCCCGCACCTCTACAAGGGGCAGCAGCAGATCCCAAGTCCGCCCGTCCCAAGCAACAACCGCCTCAGACCCCTCGCAACCGTCCGAGCCCGCGGATATACCACTACCACCCCCGCGTCATCGAGCCCGCTCGCCCATTCGAATTCTTACCTCCTCGTCCTCTGCGGCGGCTTCGGTGGTCGGTTCCGACCCGGCGTCTGTTCCACGCCCGCCGCTGCCGGACGAGGAGTCCAGCGGGCTTTCTTCGGTGCCGTTGCCTGGGTTGGGGTATGGGTATCGGTATGGTAGCACTGGCACGGGTAGGGATGGAAGCGGAAACGGGAATGGAACCGGGGAGGGTGAAAGGGGAAGGGATGGAGAAGGCAGTACCGGAGAGAGTGAAGACCCGCCCATGTCGTTGTCGAGGGCGAGATTGTTGCTGTCGTCTTCGCAGGTGGGTGTGTTGCCGCCGGATAGCTTGTTGTTGGAGGATGTACGGATGGCGCCGCCGCCTGTGGAGGTTTGGGATTCGGATGAGGGGGACGTCTAGCCTGGTTTAAACGAGATGAGATTGTGGTTGGGGAGTTTGTTGGGTGGGTGTTTTGGTCTGGTGTGGGATTTGGTTTGGTGTGGGATTTGGTGGCGTTTTGTAATTGGGACGGTGGTTCTTTAATGGACTATTTGTATGGATGAGTGGATGGTTTCAAGGCTCTGTTTGGGAATGGTTGTTATGTAGGATGTATGGGACATTGATAGGAGTTGTGGTTTGGGTGGGCGATTGAGGTCAATCCACTCTTTCTGTTGTCACGTTTCAAGGTTGGAACTGCCATCTAGGGCACGAATGAGATGAAACTGAGTGCGGTGTGTACGCGGTGGGAACAAATGTTGTCTAATTTCTTCCCGAGCATTAACTGGTCCTCTGATTTTTTCGAATCATTGAACCATCTAAAGTCTACTTCCTTATCCCATCATGGCCCGTACGGAGTACTGTATCCGTACTGTACATGTCTTGGCAGCGGCATGACCCGCAATGTGAGACTGCCCGCACGGGCCTCCGAACCGAAGCCTCGGACGATCGCAGGGGGCTTCCTCCAACTCCACATCGAACCTGCCCAGGACCCTATCGTATTAAGGTTCTGGCATTTCGACCCTCGACCACCCGACAGACAAGACAGCCGACACTACAAATACGCCGCCTTCTCGCCTGGTTTGGATTGAGCTGTGCATTTGCAGGATTTTCTGAATTGGAAGACAGCTACGAGGGGAAAATTCCGACCCGTCTTTTAGTCACCCGCGCATTTCGAAACGATCGATACACACCTGCCTGCCTTAGGAAACGTGCGAGCGATTGAAGATGTTACGGCACCCCCGCCATCAGTCGCTGCCCGACGTTTTATGAAGTGGAAAAATTGGTCCCGCCCCGAGACACGTCGATAAAAGCCGTACGCCGCTTGAGATTGCAGCTGCATTGTCGCCGCCATGAGCGGTCGCGAGGTCAGCCCGGCCGAGAGGTTCGAGGACGAGAAGCGGAGGATTATCGACAGCTGTTTCACCAAGCGGGATGAGGATGGTGCTTGTGAGTGGGCACTTTAACTCGGGATTATAATACTACTTCGTCGGTGCTGACTGAATGGCCATAGACCTCGAGACGTACATAACCCACATCAAAATCACAGAATACCAGAACTCGCCGACCGCCCCGCCACCCCCCTCTGCCCGAACCCCCCAGTACGAAAAGCCCCGGGTGATCATCGTCGCGGTGCGCCAGTCCGGCCGCGTGCGCATCCACAAGTCGAAGCAGAACACCAACGGCACCTTCTCCATCGGCAAGTCGTGGTTCCTCGACGACCTGACCGCGATCGAGTCTTTCACCAGCCCCACGGCCGACGCTAACAGCGCGCAATGGGCCGGGAACGTGGGGTTTGTGGTGACTCTGGGGAAGCCGTACTACTGGCAGGCGCAGTCGGATAAAGAGAAGAAGTTTTTCATCGCGAGCATCCTCAAGATCTACAACAAGTACACCGGAGGGCGCTCGCCGACGCTGACGGGGTTTGAGCAGACGGAGCTGGAGCAGGTTCTGGGAGGGGCTCAGGTGCAGCAGCGACGACAGGATAGACCACCACCGCCGAGAGCGGGCGGGCCGTTACTCGAGCCGACGGCCAAGTCCTCCAACGCCTCGCTGGCCTCTGGGTACAACACCCCGCTGAACGCCCAGGGTACACCGTCGCTGCAAGGAACCCCTCCGTCACTAGCACCCGGGTTTCAAGAACGCAAACCGTCGCGTAGCCCGCTGGTACCAGCGAACGGGGCCGCAACGACGGGAGGAGCGTCTTCCCCCGCGCAGAGCATCGACTCAGGCCGGCCGTCGCAGGACCACCAGTCGTTGCGTCGACTGGCGTCGGGGAACAAGAGCCAGGACTCAGTGGCCGCGTCGTCGATTGCTGCGAGGAGCGAGGATGCGATTAGTTTACGACCGAGCACGCGCAATGGCGGCGGCCCGGTGAATGGGTCGGCATCGTATGGGAACCTCGAGGCATCGCCCGGTCCGGCTTCGTCAGCGCTGTCGGCTGCGTCGTCGGTCACGCCAGCCGACGAGAAGAACCCGCCGCCCGAGCGGAAACGGCCCCCGATGGATCCCATGCGTCCGTTGCAGGTGGACAAGAATTTGATTCCCGCGCCGCTGATGAGTCCTGGCATGCGCCGGGAACCGATGGTGCCGCCGCGGAATGTGGAGAGGATGGCGTCATCAAGGAAAGGGTCGTTTAGTAGTAGTCGCGGAGGTGCACCTCCGTCGAGGGATGGGCCACCGCCTTCGAGAGATGGACCTCCCCCCTCTAGGGACGGACTGCCGCCGTCGAGAGACGGGTTAGTCGCCTCGGCGACGCCGAAGAACCCCGCCCGGTCGGCTAGTCCCGCAGCGGCGTCAATACCACCTTCGCTTCCCCCGACTTCGGCTATTCCCCCGATTCCCGTACCAACTCCACCAACCGATAACACCCCGCCCCGACCCCCCTCAGAACCACAAGAGGAGACAACAAAACCCGGGCTGTCAGCGATGATGAAGAAGAAATCCAAGGGAGAAATCGCAGGTGCCTTTTGGAAGGCAGCCAACGCGGCCAGTGCGTTCAAGCCCCGACCGGGCGGTGCAGCCGAACGTCTGCGGCAGAAACAGAACGAGGTGGCGAGCGAAGGGCCGGATGGGATCACCAGCGTTATCCCGGCGCCGCCCAAGCCGGTGCAGAAACCCCCGACTGCGCCTGAGCCTGTGACGCCTGTGGAACCGCCGCCTAGAGCGGCGGATAGGGGGATTCCGGAGGTGAAGATCACTGAGTCTGGGCCTACGTCCGCTGCGGGTGCGGGTGGACTGAACGGGAGTAAACCGTCAATTCAAGATCTGAAAAAGCAGAATAAAAAGGACGAGCTAGACGCCGACGGTGACGGCCCCGACGGTGGTGCCCCCCGCCGCTCCATCATAACCGGCAACGACATGAAGTACCTCGCGACCCTCGGTATCGACGCCTCGTCCCTACTCGACAGCCAAACCAACGAATTCGCCAAGTGGCTGGACTATTTCGGGTGGGTGCCCGGCGAAGCGATGCGTGGACGGCACTTTGATGAGATGAGGGTTGATCTGGACCGGGAACTGAGTAAAGCGCAGGCGGGCGGGTGGTTGGCGCGGTTTCAGGAGGAGGATGAGAGGGTGGAGGCGATTAAGAGGGGGATTGATGTCGCGGTGGAGGAGTGTGAGGAGTTGGATAATTTGTTGACTTTGTATAGTGTGGAGTTGTCTGTATGTTCTCTCTCTCTCTCTCTCCCTCTCTCGTTTTCTTTTTTGGTTTGTTGTCTGCATCTTACGCACAGTGACTAACCAAAACACAGACCCTCGCGGACGACATCGCCTACATCGAAGCCCAAGGCCAAGGCCTACAAGTACAAGCCGCCAACCAGAAACTGCTGCGCAAGGAACTCGAGTCACTGCTGGAAACGTGTGCCATCAGTGAGGCTGACCTCGGCGCGCTCAAGTCGGCGCCGCTGGAGACGGCCACGGGCGTCGAGGAGATTGAAATGTCGCTTGTCACGCTGTTTAAGGCGATGACTAAGATGGATCCGACGCTGGGGGGCAGTGGGAATGGGAATGGTCTTGGGACTGGGGAAGGTGAAGGTACCGGTAACGGGACTGCGCGCAAGAGCGAGGACCACCTCGGCCTGGACAGCGACTACGGACAGATGCGCATCGTGCAGGAAAAGAAAGAGATGTATCTCGCCGAGAGCGCGCAGTTCATGCGGCGGCTGGTCATCTTCATGGAGCGGCAGTTCTCCGAGGCCTTCCGGGCCACCAAGGCCGCGCTTGACGGTGCGCTGTCTAAAAAGGCCGACGCCCGCAACCACGAGCCTGGTCGCGACCTGCTGTGGATGTATAGTCCGCTGGTGCTGTACGCCCGCGATGTTGACTTGGACAACTGGAATCGGATCTTGCAGATCTACCAGGACAAGTGTCATCCGATTTATAAGACTGAGTTCAAGGACGCCACGGAGGCATGGAAGCGCGGGGTACGGAAGCCGGCGACCGTGGCGGAGGAGGGGGCCGAGTTGTTGTTTACTGCGCAGGCGGAGAAGAAGGAGGAGGGGCTGGCGACGACGGCGCGCAAGTTGACCGTCAAGCGCAGCCAGACGCTGGCTCGCAGTCTGCGGTCGCCTTTGGGTGATTCCAGCAGTAGCAATGCTACAGAGAGTAACAACAAAGCCCACGACGGCCGGCCGCTGCCGTACGAGGTGTTTGCCGGCGTGCTGGACGACCTGTTGCCGCTGGTGGAAATGGAACAGAACTTTGTCGTCGACTTCTTCCACGCCACCACCCTCGAACAGTCCGACTTCCCGGACCTCGTCGTGGCCTCGCGTCCGCATGATCGCCGCGGCGGTGACCTCAAACGACACCGCCTGATGGAACCCGACCGCGAGCTAGCCAGGCGCGTGACCAAAGCCATGGAGTCCATTTTCCTGTTTCTCGAAGCCAACCTGCAGCGGCTGATGGAATGGGCGTTGGCCATGGATCCGCTGCAGGGCGTGGGGGTGCTAGCGACCCTCGAACGCAAAATGGCCGAGATGAGCCAGTCGAACCAGGATTTCCTGAATAACGTGCTCGCCAAACTCCACGGCCACCTGGAGACGCGGTTCCGCAAGTTTGTCGACGACCAGGTGCGCGCCATTGAGGAAACCAAAGTCAAGATCAAAAAACGCAAGGGCGTCATCCACTTCATCCGCATCTTCCCCAACTTCAGCGCTGCTGTCGAAAACATGCTTGCCTCCATCGACCCGTCTCTCCCCGTCCGCCGCATGGTCGACCGCGAATACGACCGTTTATTGAAGAGTATGTTCGACTCCCTCCGCGTCATCGCCCGGGAAAACCCCGCCCTCGGCGGCCTCACCGCACCCACCACCACTTCCACCACCACCAGCACCAGCACCTTCAGCACCCTCACCAGCCACATTCCCATGGGCGCCAACAGCAGCTCCACCGACCCGGAAGACAAAGAAGCCCTCAACTTCCACATCCTCCTCATCGAAAACATGAACCACTTCCTCGAAGAAACACCTAACCCCCACCGTCTCGAGGTCCTCGATGACTGGCGGGAGACGGCCCAAAGGCAGTTGGCCGAACATACCAGTTTGTATCTGCATGCTGTTATGCGGAGGCCGCTGGGGAAACTACTTGAACACCTCGAGAATATCGAGGCGCAGTTGTCACAGGGCACTGCTGGGGGGAAACCGGGGAGCGCGAGTGCGATTGCGGCGCAACCGAGTAATTCGAAGGCGGTGTTTAATAAAGTGCTAGGCGGGTATGACGGACGGGAAGTGAGGAAGGGGATTGAGGCGTTACGAAAAAGGGTGGAGAAGCATTTTGGTGATGAAGAGGAAGATGCTGCTGGTCGGAAGGTCCCTGGGCTGCCTGGGTCTGGGTCAGGCGTCGGGTCAATTGACCGCGCGTCGTTGTTGAGTCTCGCGGGCAGTGGTAGTGGTGGTTCTACGCCTGCTGGCATCACCGCTTCCTCCGGTATTACCCCGACTACAAGTATCACACTCCCCGGCAGCAACGCCGATGGTAGCGGCAGTGGCGCTGGAGGTAGTGGGAGTGGTGGGGGCGGGGGTAATAGCAGTTTGGTGAACAGGATTACGAGAGAGTGTGAAAAGTTTTATGCTGATGTGGAGATGCGCGTGGGGAGGGTCACGACGGATGTGTATGGGGGGGATGTTTTGTTTGAGTGGCCGAGGGCGGAGGTGAGGGCGGCTTTTGCGGGGAGGTGAGTGAGTTTAAGGAAGAAGGGGAGAGTATATATATGTGTGTGTTGCGTTGTTTATACATTGGGTGTTTTGCGTTGCGCTGTGTTTATGCCCTGTTGTTCTGCGTGGCGTGGTGCTAGCCGGTTGTTGACTTTGCTGTGTTGTGTTAAGCCGAGTGTAGCTGTAGCGTAGCGAGATTCTGAGATATTCTGCAGAGGGTTAAGCAATTCGATGAAGGCTACTTTACTCACTTGAGTACTCTACTCACTTGAGAAGGCAACTATGGAACGATTGGAGGCAGTACAACAAGCCAGCTACAGATATATGACTGGCCAGACTTCCATGATTGCTCCTAGCTGCTCTTCTGTAATGTACGTGTTGGCGAGTACATCAAGTCTAGATAGCTGTCGTTGAGGATCTAATAATGATCTCTTGGCAGCAAACATCCCAAGAATCCAGCCGCCCTGCCAATGACCACGTTCGTGTGATTACGTCAGCAGTTACAGGGGCCGACAAGATGGCAGTGCAGCCTGGAAGCACAGGTACCTACCTACCATGTACGAAGTATCCGTACATACGGTAGGACATGCATGTACAAACATGTAAGGCTGAGAAACGAGGGGAAACGAGGGGTTCCGGAGAAACGACCCAACAACCTCAACTTCAAACCTTGCTCTCCCCACGCGGTTCTAGATTCAGCTGCTTTCGACTCTTGATCTCACGGGCGTCCACCCATCCCAAGTGACGGTCCCATCGACGATGAACGACGAGCAATTACAGATCATCAAGGACAATCCTATTGGGGACGGACTCGAACGATTCCGCATGTCATTTAGTTCCATCTGCCACGACGCCCACCTCCCCCCTACCATTTTTGGAGATGTGCTGGAACGGGTTGGCCACCAAAGTGAGAAACAAAGCGCGCCTTTGTCATCACCTAGCCATTTGACCATCTTGTGATAACATGGGTCACTGACCATCCCGCAGACCTCGGGTCCATTTTCGGCGCCTTTCTCAAGGCTGCCCAAAAACTTCCCGCTGCCGACCTGCTCCCCGCCAGCATAGGTCCTGGCACCCTTCGAGACGATCTTCTGCGCCTTGAACTCTCAGTCCGCGCCGGTCTCTTCTACTTGGGCTTCGACGTCGACCTTATAAAACCTCTCCTCAAGTCGGCTCTCATCGAGCCCATGGATGACGCGCTGATATGGAGTCAAGTCTACTCCTTCCTCGCTGACTTTACGTCGCCGCTCCGGCCGGCCCCATCAAGTCTGCAGCAAGCTTTATGAGTGCGTAATACAAGCTGCTTCCCGAATTTTCTCGGAGCATCACAAGTAATATGTGGACGGGGTTCTTAAAGGGGAGCTTGGCCCGAAATATGTCGGGCTCCGGAACCCCCACGCTACATTCTTGTATCGAGGGTCTCGAGGCCGCGTCCGAGGCAGTGTTCAAGAGGGGTACGGAAGGGGACAACCCGCTTATTCGTGTAGAGGAGGATGGGATGGGTGGCTGCAAGTTGCGGATAAGAATCGGGTCTTATCCTGGTTTGCAGACCTGAGCGAGAAGTTGGGGGTATTTGCAGAGGACTATACGTCTACCCTGACAAGTCAGCGGTGACCACCGGCACAGCGGCGGCCGTTGGCAAAGCCTAACTAGCTGATTGACAGTTCTGTCGGGAAACGGAAGCTGGACGTCGGGTATGTGAACAACCCTGAGGCTACGAAGGACTCGAGATGCCACTGGTCTCAGATTCTATCCCGGGGGAACGGAAGGGTAATCGATCCGCCGATATCCCTTCGGAGGCATGGCTCGATATTGGGAGATATGTAAGAGAAGTGCTTGCTGTTCTGGATATGTATCCACTACAACGGGCCGGGAAAAGGGATCGGGCCAACTGAATTTGATACCTGGAATTACGAGAGCGATAGCAAACTGGTTGGGTCTAAGAAGAGTGTGATCGATGAGGAGGTGGATTTCCTTGCCATTTCAAAGGACAATTTTACGCCATATTATCAGCAGCTGATCGTATGGGTCAACAGGCTTCGGAGAGAGGTACTCCCAAACGGTGGGGGGGTGGAAGACGCTACAGCCGGAGCTGTTTTCTTTGATGAAGGGGATTTTTCGTAAGGCCCGGGAGGACCTCAATGTGGTTGGGGATGATGAAGAGGTAGCAGTGTCGTAGGTTTATTCAAGTGAGCGAACACAGCAGCCTTCGTGTCGCCTTGTAGGGCAGGCGCCGGTTCCATCTTGTCTCGTGCTGTTGATCTAAGTTCGCTGGTCTATGGCTTGTACGCAGCAGCCATCATCCTCCATTTTATCCCCGAAATATATGTCGGTAGGAGAGTTGGCGTATATGAGATAAGCACCCGCCACATTACTAAGGCGGTGTTGTGGAATTTCCGGGGTGTTAGAAGACAGGAAATGGAAAATATCAACATCCAGGATACAGTCACTCTTCACCAAATTATATAACCTACACTGGTACCTGACCTGTGACAAAAATTTCTTCTGACATAAACCGAAGTGCCAATCAAGTAAACACCCCCCAAATCCGTCCCAACAACACCGAAAACCGTGCCTTCCCTCCCACGGTATCTATATTTGATCCCGCAGCGAAACAGTCACCAGCTCCTCCCAATACGCCAAACAGTGGTATTTGGCGCAGCGGCATTGGGAGGAGCATCGCCGGTGCCGTCGTAAATCGAAGTGGCCCTGGGTTCGATTCCCGGGGCCAGCGAAGAAAATCTTTCCACTGGGAAAGATTTTCGTAGCTACCAACCGCTATCCCTCCGGATGGGGATAGGGCTTGGTGGCGAGCTTTTTGTTTTTCTTTTCTTTGTTTAAAAAAAAGACTTTCTCTGGAACACAGAATAAGGGAATGAATTGTACGTGGCGAAGGGGGCGCAATGGACGTGAGTTTGCGGTCAAAGCAACTAGATCTGGGGAAAGCTTCTGGACTCAGTTTGGTTCAGCCGGCCTTGGTACGGCTCACCCCTCGCTCAGGATTTGTGACATACGGACTCGGACAGAAAAGAGTGTTGTATGAGACTGTAGAGATAATTCCTTGCCACGTATGTTGCGAGATGGATTATCAATTCTTAGGGTTGACGCCTTATGTACTTCCCATTACCGTCATATCATAACGAGCAAGCGACATAAGATGGAGTCTGGATGGGCGATGAAAAGAGATGAGAAAAAAAGACGGTATAACATCGAGGATTGAAGAACAAGAAAACGAGGCACGGGGACGGGATCCTTGAGTCTTCTATGTTTTCAATCTCTAATAATACCCTGCCAAAATGGACTCGACCTTTTCACATGATGTACTATGGCCAAATACAGACGCACAGAGCCTGCTAGATGTCCCTACTACTCTCATATTTTATGGTGTTTATGTGAAAACGACAGACTCTTCTGAAACTGTGCCGTTTGTACCTGCCGACAAATTCCAAAATAAGTGGTGTTCGCTTCCTCTTCGTTTCGCTTCTCTCCCATTCCTGCCCACATGACTTACATTGTCGAGTTTGAGTCCGTTTGCCGCCTTTGGACTTTCCCTTTCACTAGTCTCTCAAACCTCTAGCTTCCGTGGCATGATAATGACAGGAATTCCTTCCTCGGACAATCCGTCCTGAGTGTTAAGGAGCAAGTTGCGATGGCGGTGGTAGTTTCCCGCGAACGAGTAAACAATGAAGCCAGACAAGTCAGAAGGAGCCCCTGAGATGTGATTTTATGTATTTAACCCCGGCGGCCTCCCACTTCAAATCCCAAAAGCTTCCCTCCGTTCACTAATTCTGAGCATCACTCGACCTTAGCCCGCCCCAGCTCATCCTTACGAGCACGATATCTTACGCTTGCTTTTTTCTCTCCCCCAGACACTGGTTCAGACTCGCATCCCACCCGCTCGTCCCCCAGACAACGAGCAACACCATATACCAAACTCTAAGTGCGGGCCTCTTGCCCCCCCCAGTCAGTCGACATTGGACATGGCCTTGTTTCTTTCCCTCACAAGTAAGTGTTGTCGACGCGCCGAAATCTCGGCAATGACGCTGACAGGGCTTATTCAACAGGCCAAGACGCAAATGTGCCCATTGCACTCCAACCCGGAACGTCTGCCCGTCCTCAGTACGTCTCTCCTCTCTTCGAACCGCTGTCCCTAGCGATCAAGGTGCGATGGCCAGATGATTTGACACTCGACAGTCTTTCGCCATAGTCTCGGGGCTGGGAAGTTCTGCTTGTCCACTGTCGGTCGCAGCCACGAGTTGAACGTCGACCTCCTAGGGACCTTGGGGAACAACTTGACGGCGCTTCGCTGGCCGCTCCTCCTCTGTTCCGCCCTTAAAGGCGTTGCTCGCGTCATACTGGTTCGTTTTTCTTTCAAACTCTTTGCGGCTCTGGCTGACGCAGTATCATTGTAGAAAACAACGAAACCAGATACATTCCGCCTGCCCCGCCCGAGCCGCTTTTGTCTGTCGCCGTTTGGCGTCCGCCTTGACACTGGCGATGATACCGACAGGTTATCCTCCCTCTGACTAAACGACAGTGCTGGGAGCGGCTCCCTGGAAGCGGGCTATGAGGATGGATATGAACGCCTGAAGGCGGGTCATTTCGCCGTCGGGTCATTCTAGCCGGCGCATCTGCCGTAAGAAGCCCTGGTCCAAAGAAGAAACTCGTGGGGGAAACTTGGTCTAACGTTTGCTCTAGTTTCGCTGGCTGATGCTATGGATAGAGCTGGTTGTGTCCAAGGGTGTGATTGCTGGTTTCTTTCCTTTGTCGCTCACGGGATATTGTTGCTACCTTTAGCTACCAGATTGATGATGATGATTAAGGATGATTAAGGGCGGTGCTTTTTGTTTTGGGGGGGGCGGGGGGGGGGGGGGCGTAGCAATTGTCGTCGGCGAAGATTGCCTGACCTGGTTTCTGCATGTCTGATGGCCTTGTCTCAAGTTTGCGCTCCGACTGAGATCTCAACCCTGGGCTCTCTTCCAATGCGTAATTTGTTCCAGTGGGGCAAAAAGACAAACCACCAGCGGTACTTCTGCGACAGATTCTTGATGAAGCACTCTGCACGCCGGTCTAGCGACTAGTCGTGATGCCCGGTACATCTTGATAGATAATCACGTTAGGGCAAGGTTTCTGAGAGGGAGGCCTCGGAGAAGGCTGAGGCAAGCACCATTCGACAATCTCTAGCTTGAGTTCTCGGATGGAAACTCTGTCAATTTAGTTTCTGGGGATGTTGGACGAAGGGGCAACTGGTGAGATGTTTCCTGGGAGAGTCTCGGGTAATATCACGAGATTGAACTTATCACAGATCATGGACAAGGAAAGGTGTCCCAAAAGAGAAGAAGGTTGTGGTGATTTGTATTCTGTAACCAGTCCTACCCCTAAAGTTCACACGCCCTAATGCTCCAAACTCTCCTCAAACAACCTCGCCAACTGTTCCCGCTCCCTCTCTACCTCATCCGCTAACCCAGGCGCCAAACTCAACACCCTCGCCTGCGGTATCGTCCCCTCCACCAACTCCGCAATATGCTCCCTCCCAAACCCCAGCGCTTTCAGTCCCTTCGGCTGGTCCCCCAGGTCGGCGAGGAATTTGGTCAGTGCGTCGGCGAGGACTTCGCCTGCGCTTTCGCGTTTGACCGTGGAGATGTCTACGCCGAAGGCCTCGGCTGCTGCGAGGTGCCGGTCGGGGTTGGAGGGGGCTGTGAAGCGGAAGACGGCGGGGGCGGTTACGGCGACGGAGACGCCGTGCGGGATTAGAGGGTCCGGGAGTTGGTAGCCGGCGTGGTGGTAACCGGGGTTTTGGCCGGATATGGGGTAGGACATGCCTAGGTGGGGTTAATGACTTGTTGACTGATTTAAGGGGAATGGGAAAGGGGAAAGGGGGGAGAAGAGAGCGAAAAGAGAGACTCACCATGACACAAATGCACACCCGCATTCCCAAACCCAACCCCGGCCAACGTACTCGCGAGCAACATCTCACTCTGCGCCTCCACATCCTCCGGATCCCGCACTGACCGCGGCAGATACTTCACCGTCTGCCTCAAGGCATTCAACGAGAAAATATCACTGATTGGGTTCGCGCCCTGGTACGCCGGTCGCAAGATGGGGTTCGTCGGGCGAGGGGTACGCTCGTTAAAAGGGATGGCCGTCCACGATTCCAGCGAGTGGCAGAGCACGTCCAGGCCGGACGACGCCTTCACTGCGGAGGGCATGGTAGCTGTGTTTAAGGGGTCGCAGATGCCGAGGGTGGGTTTGAGGTTGCGGTGGGCGACGCCTGTTTTAGCGCGGCGGGAGGCTAGGTCGAAGATGGCTGTGCCGGTGGTTTCACTGCCGGTGCCGGCGGTGGTGGGCACCGCGATGAGGGGGTGGAGTTTGCGTTCGATGGGGAGGCCTTTGCCGAGGGGCGCGTTGACGAAGTCGAGGAAGTCGGCTTCCGGGTAGGTGGTGTAGAGGTTCATGAGCTTGGCGGTGTCGATTACGGATCCGCCGCCGACGGCGAGGAAGGCGTCGGGGGCATAGGGTTTGGCCCAGGCTATGGCTTCTTTGATGCTGTTTCTCTGTCAGTTTTCCATCTCCTCAGGGATAGGTAGTCCGGGGGAAGGAAACAGACGAATAATCCTTCGGCTCAACGCGCACACCACTAAACACCTTATACTCCACTCCCTCACGATCCAACGACTCCCGCACCTGCTGCATCGCCGCCAATTTATCCACCGTCGGATCCGTCACGACACACACCCGCTTGGCGCCCATGTTGCGCAGGTCCATGCCTACCTCGCGCGTGACGCCTGGGCCGAAGCGGATGGAGGACGCGGCCATTTCGAAGGCGTACTCCTTTTGGGGGGTTTGAGGGGTGGCATAGTTGCGGGAGCTATTCGTAGCCCGGTTGGCGAATCGGGAGATGGTGGATGCTGTTGATGGGTGGCTGTGGTGGTGGTGGTTGGGGTTGGAGTGGCAGGGACAAGAGGGCGGGTGGGTGAATTGTACGGTGCGGAGGAGGTTGACTGCGCGTGTGGCCCTCTATATCATGGTTAGTTGGAATATGAGCAGAAGACGAAGCCGGAGCGGGGCATACATTGGGCAGGGCGCGGATGGCTGCTGTCATGGTGTTCGTCTCGTCTTGTGATAGTTTCAAGGGCTGGATATGTTGTTTTCGGATGATACCAAACTTAAATTCAAGACTAAATCGTCACACTCAATCCAATAACCGGTCCTTGCAACCAACGGGCCTACGGAAGTAGGTCTCTAATTACCATAGTACCTAGGTATTGGCAGTGAGAGACCGAGGTTTACCCCACACCCGGCTAAGCAACTCCCGAGAGTCCCAACGGGTACCGCCGGTTGGGGTTAGGCCGTGATGCTCCTTCCCAGCTGATTCATGTTGGTCTGGACTTTGGGGGCGAGATCCACTGCGGAGCCTTCCCCGCACAATTTGGGGACGTCTCTCCTGGATTCTGCTGGATCACGAGACATACACGTGTAGTTAGAATCAAGGGTGACAGCGCACCTTGTTGACCAGAAAGTAGCTTCCAAGAGGAAAATGCCATGCAAGGCTCAATTGGGTGTCCAGAAAATATATATGCCACAGAAAGAAACAACAAGAAATACATCAACAACCGCAGCAGCAACATAAACCGCTGTCTTCTTTTTGCCCGAGAATAACCGATAATAACCACCTCAACTTCTCCAGGTGAGATCCTCAGTGAGAAACTAGTACACCTCCAACACATACCGCCCCTCCTCCTTCAACCTCTCAATCTCCTTCCTTGAGTCCACCTTCCGCCCCCCCTCCTTCGCCTCAAACGCAATCGCCTCCTCCAACACCGCCGTAACATCCGGCACCGGCCACGTCGGCCCACACAAATAAAACGATCCCCCATCTTTAATGTACGCCTGCACAATCTGCTCCCGCGTCTGCCGCATCCGGTCCTGGATATAAATCTTCTGCGGCTGATCCCGCGAGAACGCCGCGCCCAACAGCGTGATCACCCCGGCATCGAGATAGGCTTCCCATTCCTCGCCGTAGAGGTATTCTTCGCGTTGGTGGCGACTGCCAAGGTACAGCAGGATAGCGCCGATTTCTTTGCCTTGTGCCTTTTGCATTGCGCGGTACTGGATGAAGGCGCGGAAGGGGGCGAGACCCGTGCCGAGACCGGCCATGATCAAGGGCGCGGTGTCTTCGACGGGGAGTTTCATCACCGAGGGCTTGACGGAGACGGTGACGGCGGTGCCGGGGAGCAGGCCAGAGAGGTAGCGCGTGGCTTGGCCGTAGCGGGTGCGGCCTTGGCTGTCGACCCAGTCGACGACGACGATCATGAGGGCGACCGAGGTCGGGGTCACGGCTTGCGCGGAGGCGATACTGTATTCGCGGCGTTTGAGCGGGGAGACGATGCGGACCAGATCGGGGAAGGAGGGGCGGGCGGAGGGGAAGGTTTGGAGGATGTCGACGTAGGTGACGGTTTCGACTTCGGAGAGTTTCTTGAACTCGTCGGCGCCGTCTTTGCCGCCGAGGAAGGCGAGTTTCTTTTGCTCTGCTTCGTCGGCGGCGAACTCGGCTAGGGCCTCGAAAAACCGCTTGGGTGGTTTGCCGAGGATGTCGAGGTTCTGCACCAGGGACTGGTACACCGTGCGGGTCTCGGCCACGGCGGCGTCCTCGCGCGAGGGGACCTGCACGAGGTCGTCCGCGTTGAGGCCGTACGCCTGGATGAAGTCGAGTACCTGCTGCGGGTCGTTGTCGGCGTGGATGCCCAGGGCCTCGCCGATGTTGTAGGTGAGGCCGGAGTTGCCCAGGTCGAACTCAATGTGGAAGATGTTGCGGTCGTACGCGTCCGGTGTGAGCCGGCGGTTCTCCTTGACGTGCACCGTGGCTGTCTTGACCGTGAGGTCGGGGCGCAGCTCGATCTGCGTGCCGTACGCCTCCTTGAACACGAGGCCCTTGGCTGCTTCCTGCCAGCTGTCCAGCTTGAGCGCCGGCTCGGCCTCGTTCTTATCGAAGGGCACAAAGCTAATGGGCTTGAGCCCTGAGCGGGGGGCAACGGCGGGGGGCGCTTCCTCGACTTCGGCCCAGCTGGCTGGCACCTCGATTGTCTTGAGTGCCTGCGCGAGCGCATCGGCAAACTCGGCCAGTGTCACCTGGCTCTCGTTGACCTCACCAAGCTTGGCGAGCTCCGCAAGCGTGACCTCGGGCCGGGCGACCTGCAGGAATGCAAGCTGGGTGAGCAGCTCAGCATCCTTCTCTAGCGCAGGTGAGAACGATGAATCGAGAACGACCAAGCCCAGGCCCTTCTTCTGGATCTGCTTCCGCGCAGCTGCGGGGATACGCTTCTCGAGTTCCTCCTCCTTGAAGTTCGGAAGCCGCAGGATGACCTTGCCGCTGCCGGCCTTAGCACCATTAAGGATATCCACATCCTTAAGCAGCTTCTCCTCACCCACAAAGACCACATCCGCGGTCTCAACGGCAAATGGCGCCTCAACCGGCGACTCAGAGCTGCGGATATCCGTCCGCACCGCACCGCCCTGCACCAAGTTATCATACGTCTCGTGGATGTACACATTGTTAGGCGCCTCGCGCGCCAACAGCTTGCCCAGCGCCGCGGGCGCCGCCAACGCAGCCGAGTTATCAACATCCCAGAAGGTGTACTGGCGCGTCTGCTCCACAGCCTGCAGCGTCAGCGCAACCTCCGCCTGGGTCTCCTTGGACGTGAGCTGGTGCACGATGGACGCGATCGAGCTTGGCGTGTGGGTGGTCGCCGCGGCGTACTTGACGTCGATCACCACGAGCTGCTGCGAGCGGTCCGAGAAGGACACCGCCGTGAGCACGTCGGCGTACAGCACCGACTGCACTGAGGCGTCCTCGACCGCCGTGGCGTCGCGGACTTGGCCGAGCACGGCCACCTGGCGGGTCGATTCGGGGAGCACAGCGAGGAAGGCCTCCTCGATAAAAGGCCGGTAGACGCGTACGTTGATGGCGCCGACCTTCTTGCCCTCGGCGGCGAGGGTATTGGCGACTTGCTTAGCCAGCTGCGCCTCGGCGCTCCCAAACACCACCAGCACCAGTTCCGGCTCCTCATGGCCGTGGTACTCAAACGGCGCGTACGACGTGCCGAGTTCGCCGTTGAACGCATGCAGCAGGTCAATCACTTTCCCCGCCGTGTCCAACCGCTTGTTCAGCGCGTTAGCCGCCGCCGCGATCTTCTTGTACGTCTCGGCAATACTGGTCTCACTCAGCGCGTCCACCACCCGCAGCGTCTCCCGCGCGGTGCGGATGCCATCGTACACGTGCAGCGTGGGGAGGATTGACGCCAGGAGTGTAGCTAGCAGTGAGATGTGCTGGGCTTCGTAGGCCGAGGTGCTCGCTACGAGCGCCAGGCCCAGGTCCTCTGCGATCTGCAGCGCGCTTTCGTACTCGGCTACCAGGCCGTCGTGGGCGGAGTAATCCGCCGCGGCGACGTGGGCTACAAACGGGCTGGCTACGCCGTAGAGAAGGGACAGCTGGTCCAGGGCCGGGCGGAGGTGTCGCAGGGTCAGCGAGGGGGCCAGGACTGTCTGGGGGATGTGCCGCTTGGCAAGGTCGAAGTCCTTGGAGAAGATGTATCCCAAGGCCAAGGTACCCGCACCAGAACGGGTTTGGAGGGGGACCACGGTGGTGGTCTCGCCGTGGATGTTTTGCTCGCCGGCCTGGGACCAGTCCCGCACGGCGGTGTCGAGATCAAAGGTCTCCGGGGAGAAGGAGAAGATCTTGTCGGAGAGCTTGTACGCGGTCTGCTGGACGAGCAGCTGGCCGGTGGCGTAGGTCGGGCCGGAGATGGAGGAAAGCGGGATCGAGACTCCCTGTGTTGTTGCCTCCTGGGCCTTCTCGGGAATGGTGTTGGCCTCCGGGACCGGCACGGCGCCGCCCGTGGTAGCTTCGTGCTTCAATTGCATCGTGGCGTCGTTTGGGGTCTCGGTGTCGTCGTCTGTTTCAACAATGGCACCGTCGGCAAAGTGGTCCTTGAAGGCTTCCTCTAGGAGAGCGGAAGGACGGGCGTTCGCAAGGTACCGAGGCACGAGGCAGGAGAGTGGCCCGGGGACTGCCTCGAAGCGCTTGCGGACGGCAAAAACGGAGAGCAGGGACTGCGCCAGCGAGAATTGCTGGAATTGGGTGCCAGGGGAAAGAAGAGAGAGTGAGAGGAAGGGAGAGAAAGAGTGAGAGACAAGAGCTTAGGGAGAGAAAAGTGAAACAACACGAAGCCCGAGGGCGCAAGGTAAGAAAAGTAAGTGGTCCATCTTTTTTTTCACTTTCTACGAAGTACCTCGCCTTCCAACAGTTCCCACCCGCGTAACCCGGCGCGGTCTTCTCCGTAGCCGAGCCCGCCGACAGCCACTGTTTAGTCAGTGTCCGCAGTCAACGTGCGCGTCCATCCGCCCGCTGGCAAAAAAATCTGGACCCGAAACGGGCTGATGTGGGCGTTCCTGATACCTCATTCTCGCGGTGTCGTTAATTGACGCTGGATGGCGTGATCTGCGCTAGTCCGTATTGGGCGGTTTTGTGGGGGTTCGCTGGGTTTGACGTTGAAGTTTGCGTGGGTTTGTCAGCTGCACGTGTTCTTCCACGTGGGTTGTTCTCCGATTGCGCTGCATGGAGGATCGAGTTTTGCGACTTTGGGCGAGTTTTGGGTGTGGTTTGTTGCGGCTGTCGGTGGCAATCGGTGGCAATCGCAAAATGTCCCATGGGTTTGTTCGCCTCGACAAAGTACATTTCTTTGGCGAGGGAATTGGAGTGGTAATTGAAATCCCGCGTCCAAGACATCAGTCGGCCGAGAGGAAGGATGAATTTAGCCAGTTCTTTGGTCGCCCCAATTCTCTCGTCCAGCCCACGTGATACCGGCATTGGATTTGAGAATTCATCGAGCTTCACCATGTCTGTCGGTTCGGCGACTTCAGTTCCTGGGTGGCGAACACCTGCTTTCTTTAACTTCATCTTCAACTAGCAGCCATATGCAGTGAGACAGTGTAAAAGATGGGGGTTCAGTGGGGGTATCGTTTCCAAACCCGGTCCTCTTCAGTGGCAATTCTGTCCAATATCTGTCCTTCACCCAGGAACCGATCCGATGTCTTGCCAAGCCGGGGCCGGGTGACCCACTTGTCCGCCCCGGCCCCGTCTCGCCCGGGCTGGTTCCGGGCTGGTTCACCAAACCACGCGGAGTCGGTCGAGTTCAGTGTTGGCGTATTGAAGTAACGCTGTCATATTTTACCAAGTCGCCGGCATGTGACCTGTGTGATGATGAGCGTTGTAGACGTCTGGCATTCCGTTTATGGTCTTCAAATTTCGAGACGAGTCTGGCTGGTCGTTCGCAAGGGCAGCCCCGAGTAAGTTGAAGGTGTTAAACTATGGGAAAGTCATTCTCTCTGCCGGAATCAGGTTGGAATGAGTTTGTCGTTTAAGAATAGGGCCCTCAATGTTTTGTCATGCGGCTCTGCCTCCAGCTTCCTAGCGTCTCCATTCTTAACCACCAACGATTTTGATCTTGGCAGCCTTGAGGCGTGCTAGCGGACGAGACTTGTTTGCAAACCTATGACCAGACGATCTTTTCTCTGATGGTTTGCGTAACCATTATGCGTAACTCACCAAATGGATTCATCTCGCTCCTCGTAGAATCCTCTCATCCTTTCCTCATTCTCAATCCGTCACTTGCACTCTGACCCAATGGGCCAACACCCCGCTGCCAAGCCGGCGCCGACCGATCAACATGCCCCGCACTCGGCAGTCAACACCCCCCGTGACCGGCTCCGAATCACCGGGCGGAAACACATGGAAACCAGTCGAGCTAAGTCCGGATCCGAAAACCTACCCCGACGGCCCTAACTCGCCGCCGGTAACTGGATTCGGACTTGCCGAATTGGCAGGCTCGCAAGCAAATTTTGCGCGTTGCGTGCGGCGTGCGTGTGTCTACGGGAGCTGGTCCCGAAACGGGTTGCGGGTTTTGTGCGCCGTTTGGGGGAGGGGTGTGTTTCGCAGAGCCAATCGCTTCGATTCGCCACCCTTCCTTTTTGGGAACCACACGGCCAGTCGCAAAGGGTTATGGAATGGATGATGCGGTCATGCTTGGCGTAGAATGGAATGGTGTTTAGTCTTGACGAAACTGCAGTTATTGAAGCTGGATGAGGTTGTCTTGATTAGTTTTGCCGCCTTTTCGAGGTCATGACAAAGCATATTGGGGTGGAAAACGTTGACTCAGGATTTGGATTGATCTCGATGGGAACATGCAACGTCAACAACGATCCGGAAATAGGAACCTGGCAAGCCTGGCCCGCTCCCCAGACTCAGATCTGCAGCAAAAGTCCGAGACGGACCGAGAAGATCCAAACCCGGGAAGCCTCCTTGCAAGGGAACATTGAACCTTCCCGGCGAGAAGTTCTCGCTGAAAAGGAAAGCACGACTGGGAAAACCACTGCGGGTGGTGACTCCGCTGCGGCTGCACCCCGGGCGGATCCCAAACCATCACGGAATCCAGGCCGCCGATGCCATCCATCTTGGCATCAGCCAAAAAAGTGCGAGAATTGTGCGTAAAACGCCTGCTGAATAATTTTCTTGGTCTCAAGGGGGCAAACAACGGCACGGTGACGATTGCCTTCAACGACATTCCATGACGCGAATTGTCGTTGGCTTTAAATGAAACAGGTCAGCTGTCTCCCGTCTGCTTGTCGCCGTGTCTTGTTTGCTGGTTCCCAGCTCTGGCCAATTTAATTATCACCCGTCCTCCGAACCTGCACGGCATTTCGACGGTGCCCGTTGTCAACAACACCTTGCAGCATCACCGGCACCGACGACCTGCAATCAAACAATTCGACGGCTCGTGCATTTCGAGATTTTTTATTTTAGCTTTTTAGCGTTTTTTTGTTTTTCCTTTTCCCGCGAAACACCCCGGCTTCCGGTCAGCAAACCGCAAACAACAACGCACAAACCGCTTCAGGTCGGAGACTTCAGCCTATATCCCGGCGCAGACGACTTCGCAGCGGTCCGCATTTCCTAGAACGGAAGCCCTTTTAATCTATTCCGCCCACAGTGGCCCCGTCCGACTGACATCGCCAATCACTCGGGTGACACACTTGCAGCAGCGAAGATAACCGCAGGTCAGACGCACGCCCAGCAAGGCGCAAAGTGCGGTAGTGTAGCGACAGGGGAAAAAAAGAAACTGCGGAGAACGCACAGCGGGACGACCGCATCACATCGCTCGCTTCACAGCAGTCCGTCTACGCACACGCCCACACCCCTAGTTGTCATCCTTGGCAGCAGCCAGCCGACTGCGGGTCGGCACATCCCATTTTAGATCTTCGTCTTTTCGATTTCCGCTTGCTGGTGTAGCAAGGGGGGGAGGGGCGTTTCCGTAGGAAGTGGGATTGAACTGCGTTGGGCAGCTCTGGGGAAGACTGGGGTGCATATCTCATATATAGCATCTCCAGCCATGGTACGCACCTCCACTCGCCGTCGCCCTTGGGCAGCGGCAGCGGCAGTCATATCCAACACCACAACGGGACGTGGAGGAGAGTCTTCATCCGCAACAGGAACACGAGAAAACACGACCACAACATCCTTCCTGCTAGCCAACCTCCATTGTCCAACTTGCGTATCAACGATCAAGGACGCTCTCTTGCACGACTCCGGCAACGAGAATCTGATCAAGTGGGTTTCACCAAACGTGGTGACCTCGGTGGTGACGGTCGAGCACACACCCGCAGCGTCTGTCCGACGCATGCGCGACGCCCTCGAGGAGAGCGGATTCGAGATATGCGGTATCACGAACTCGGCGGGCGACGTTTCTGACTTAGATCTAGACCTGGAAGCAGCGGGAGGAAGTCAGCAGCAACAAGGGGAAAGCAGCAACAGCGACAGCAGCGGACACTGTAACAACAACACCAACGACACGGATATCAACGGCACCAACATGGACCGACCAACGTCGGCACTTAGCAGGTGGTTCAGGCCACTTGGCCGGCAGTCCTCGCACCAATCCCAAAAGAACCGGGCCCACTTGGCCAACTGTGAACAATGCCGCAACAACAATGCGGTGGGAATGATCGAAACAGACGAAAAGCGGGCGGCCGGGACTATGTCCCACCATGACACTTTGCCTTTGAGCAAGCCAACCAGCCCGCTCGTAAGCTCGGGCCCTGTCTCGCATGCTGGCATTCGCACTGGCACTGGCACGAGCACGGCAATGGACGCCAGCAAACAAGGCTCCTTCGTCGCGATCGAAAGTGACACGGACGTGCCTCAGCTATGGCGTGTGTCGTTGGCCGTCGGGGGCATGACGTGTTCCGCCTGCGCCAACATGATCACCGAGGGTTTGAAGAAGCACAGCTGGGTGGCTAACGTGGTGGTGAACCTGGTTGGGAATAGCGCGGTGGTGGACGTGAAGGAGAAGGAGAAGGCCGATGAGGTGGTCGAGGCCGTCGAGGATCTCGGGTATGAGGCCACGCTGGACTCGGTGACCGAGCTCAGCCAGGGCAAGCAGCAACGCAAAGGCAAAGCCGGTGGTGTTGTGACAACAACAGACCCAGCTACATCCGACCTCTGGAGAGCCACCGTAGCCATCGGCGGCATGACTTGTGCAGCGTGCTCCAACAACATCACACGCGAGTTGAAGAAGAAAGACTGGGTGCGGGATATCGCGGTCAACCTGCTCACCAACAGCGCGGCGATCGACGTGCAGGGCCGGGCCAACGCGGACAAGCTAGTCGATGAGATTGAGGATCTCGGCTACGACGCGGCACTAGACGCCGTCGTCAGCCTTGCGCAGGAAACAGACAACGGAGAAGAGGAAGAGCCCGAGCGCACCGTCGAAATCCGTATCGAGGGTCTGTACTGCGAGCACTGCCCGGAGCGGGTTACCAGCAGTCTCGCGGGGTTTCGTAGTGACAACAGCAACGGCCGACGACGACAACTGGAGGTGCTGACGCCGCCGACTCGCCAGCGGCCGATCCTCAAGCTTACATACACACCAAACGCGCCGGGCTTCACCATCCGCACGATCCTCGCAGCCATCGAGGCCAGCGACCCCGGGTTCACGGCATCGGTGTACCACCCGCCGACGCTCGAAGAACGCTCCAAGCAGATCCAGCGCCAGCACCGCCGGCAGATCTTGTTCCGCACCATCTTCACCGGCATCGTGTGCATCCCGTCGTTCGTGATAGGTATTGTCTACATGTCGCTGGTGCCCCACACGCCGGACGGAGCCAAGCACTTTTTGATGAAAAGCTGGGTGTCGGGCATCAGCCGGGCACAGATCGCGCTGTTCATCATGGCCACGCCCGTGTACTTCTTCGCGGCCGACCTGTTCCACCGACGCGCCATCAAGGAAATCCGCACGCTGTGGCGTCGTGGCAGTCGCGTGCCCCTGTTGCAGCGATTCTATCGGTTCGGCAGCATGAACACGCTCATGTCGCTGGGGACGACAATCGCGTTCATCAGCTCGGTCAGCCAGATGATTGCTGCGGCGGTGTATCAACCCGCCGAAGTTAACGACAGCAACTTTTATTTCGACTCGGTCGTGTTCCTGACTTTCTTCCTGCTGCTCGGCCGACTGATCGAGAGTTACAGCAAGAGCAAAACCGGCGACGCCGTCGAGATGCTCGGCAAGCTGCGGCCGACGACCGCGGTGCTGGTCGAAGGGTACGGGACCGAAAAAGAAGCGGATGTCGTCGTCAAGGCCGACCTGCTCGACTTCGGCGATGTCGTCCGCGTCACGCACGGCGCATCTCCGCCAGCCGACGGCGTCGTGGTCCGCGGGCAGAGCAATTTTGACGAGTCCAGCCTGACGGGCGAGTCCCGGCTGGTGGCCAAGGCGGTCGGCGACGGGGTATTCGCGGGCACAGTCAACAAGGACGCGTCGCTGCTGGTGCGTATCACAGGCGTGGCCGGGTCGTCCATGCTCGACCAGATTGTGCATGTCGTGCGCGAGGGGCAGACCAAGCGCGCGCCTATCGAGCAGGTCGCTGATTTGTTGACGTCGTATTTCGTCCCTGTCGTCACTTTTATCGCTGTGTTTACGTGGATCATCTGGCTCTCGCTTGGCCTTGGTGGGCATATTCCGGACCATTACCTGGATGTCACCTCGGGCGGGTGGGTCGCCTTCTCGCTGCAGTTTGCCATTTCCGTGTTTGTCGTCGCCTGCCCGTGTGGTTTGGCGTTGGCGGCTCCCACGGCGATTTTTGTTGGGAGTGGGCTGGCGGCGAAGCATGGGATCTTAGCCAAGGGCGGAGGCGAGGCGTTTGAGAAGGCCAGTCGGATTGATTGTGTTGTTTTTGACAAGACGGGCACGTTGACGGTGGGCGGGGAGCCGAAGATCACGGACTCGGAGGTGTATCCGGAGGAGGAAGGGGAGAAGGAGGCCGTGTTGGCGACATTGAAGGCTGTTGAGGAGAACAGCAGTCATCCGATTGCTAAGGCGATTGTGGCGTTTTGTGCGGAGCATACCTCGGCGCGGGTGGATATCGATGGGTTGCAAGAGGTTCCCGGGAAGGGCATGAAGGCAACCTATCGGGGCACCTCGGGACAGGAGGAGGGTAGTACTCGTGCGTTCGAACTCGCGGTGGGCAATGAAGCGTTCATGGCCGATTTCGCCGTCACCATCCCAAACACAACGACCGCCACGCTCCAACGCTGGAAGTCCGAAGCCAAGTCTGTCGCTCTGGTCGCTACCCGGGCTATCACCCCCACCACAGAGCCAGAGTCAGACAACACAAACAACTGGACCCTCGCGGCCGCGCTCTCCATCTCCGATCCCATCCGCCCCGAAGCCCCGCGCATCATCGCCGCCCTCCAAGGCCGCGGTACCCGCGTCTGGATGCTCTCAGGCGACAACCCGACCACCGCCGCAGCCGTAGCCGCCCAGCTCGGCATCCCCCCGGACCAAGTCATCGCCGGCGTCCTGCCCACCGGCAAAGCCGACAAGATCAAGTACCTCCAATCCACCCTCCGTGCCGGCTCCTCTTCGGACTCCAACCCCTCGGAGAAAACCCAACGCGCCATGGTAGCCATGATCGGCGACGGCATCAACGATTCCCCGGCCCTCGCCACAGCCGACGTCGGCGTAGCCATCGGGTCCGGCGCCGACGTAGCCATCAGCAGCGCCGACTTTGTCCTCGTCAAATCTGACCTGCGAGCCGTCGTCGACCTGCTGGATTTGTCGAGGGTCGTGTTCCGGAGGATTAAATTCAATTTTGGCTGGGCGGTGGTGTATAATTGTGTGGCGCTGCCGGTGGCGGCGGGGGCGTTTTATCCGATTATGAGCAAGGGCCAGCATGTTAGGTTGGATCCGGTTTGGGCGAGTTTGGCGATGGCGTTGAGTAGTATTAGTGTGGTGTTGAGTTCGTTGATGTTGAGGGTTGGGGTGAGGGGGGTCGGGTTCCGGGAGAGGAGGATTGAGTGAGTGATGGCAGCGGAGAAGGTATACATAACACAAGCGTGTAAGAAGCGGGTTTATTATTCTAGGTTGAGCGAGTTTGCGCGGGTTTTTGGGGTCTTGGTTGGGTGGTTTCTTTCTCTTTTGGGTTGGTTTGTACGACTGGACGAGCGAGTGAGAGCGGGTTTGCGGGAGGGTTAGGGTCAATGCTGGTCAGGCAAAGCGAGCACAGTGATGCGCTGGTTTATGAGATAGATACCCATAATTCATGTTTCACAAGTTTGTCATTTCTTCGTCCAGTGAATCTAACTGTTAGTTGAGAGACCACACGTGAGAGCAGCGTGGCTAGAATTGATTGGGCTGATCATTGATCTGTGAAAGAACTCGGCTTCAAACTCCAGATGCGGGTTATCAGTTGATGAGAGTCCAGTCACGTTGATCCAAAAATAAAGGCCCAGGGTCCGTGCTCGGGCCATCAACCTTAGCGGCAAGCTCCTGTGGAGCCCTCCCAGCTTCCCAGCTCCAAATCAAAGTCAACATGGAACAAACAAAAAGTCGACTCCCATTCCATCCAGGATTCCATCGACTCACCTCTGCAGAAACTCGATCTCGCGTCTGATTATCGCCGAACACTCATAGGACGCCTTCCTTGTGAGAAACAGTCAAAAGTACCGAACATCCGGTATTCCCCAAGAACCTGCGTAACAAACAGTGGGGTCGTCACCCCAGCGACCATTCAAGCCGCACGAGCACAGCCGCCGAGCGCACCAGCCGGAAATCGCATCGCCGAGTGCACACGCCGTCAGCGGAGTAAAAGGGAAAAAGAGGTAGTACCCGGGTGGCCCAGAGGCAAACCCCCCCAAAAAGCACACCAAAATGAATTCCACCGTCAAACGCAAGTTCAACGCCCTCATCCACGGCATCGACAACCGCCCAGCGCCACAGTACGGCAACCCCGATCGCGACAGTCAGCAAGCAGCAATAGAGTCTGGAAGCTCCCCCTACCGTCCGTGGACAGCCGTGACCATGCCGACGCCCGGTGGTCGCGATGATGGCAGCGGCAACTCCAGCTTCGCAGCCGATCTGCAGAAGAAACGCCGACTCGCGAACCCCACGACCACGACCCCCTCGAAATACGCGACCGCCGCGGCGAACAACAACAACCTCCAGGGCACGCCTGACATGCGCTCGTCCCCGGCCAGCATCCGCAGCGTCCCGCCGAGCGGCACAAACAACACCACTACTATCTCCAATGTCACAATGCGCAACTGGGGTACCCCCACGAGAAACAGCAGCCGATACGGCACGCCCGCTCACGACAACGACAACGACAGCAACCACACCGGCCGCCCACCCCCACCCAAATACTGTCCCAACGACCGTGATCAACTCCTCCGCCGCCTGGCCACCTTCCAGGAACTAACCGACTGGACGCCCAAGCCGGAGCGGGTCAGCGAGGTGGAGTGGGCGAAGCGCGGGTGGGCGTGTCAGGGAAAAGAGCGCGTGCGGTGTGCGCTGTGTGGGAGGGAGCTGGTGGTGAGGGTGAACAAGAAGGAGGTGGATGGGAAGGAGGTTGCGGTGTTGATTGCGGGTGAGGTCGCTGAGTCGGTGGTGGATACGTATGTTGAGATGATACGGGAGGCGCATGCTGAGGATTGTTTATGGCGGAAGAGGGGGTGTGATGGTGAATTATTTCCTCTATCTTCTCCTGTCTCGACTTCTCGAGGGGGTTGCTGACCAACTTTGTGTGTGTTCTAGACTCCCTTCTACGTCTGCCGCTGCCGAATCCGAAACTCGCGCTACAAGGCCTTCGCCAACGGTATGACGAGCTGTGCGAGCGCGCCGCGTTTCTTCCCTACGAGTTCAACCTACGTCTTCCCCCGGGTCTTGATCTCGATGCTGTAATTTCCTACCTCCCGCCCGACTTCTTGACCAACTCCCCCGCAAATCAGCCACAACAAGAAATCAACCGCCCCGCGTTAGCCCTCGCCCTCCTCGGCTGGCAATCCCTCCTGCACCCACAACTCGGCCACCCCATCCCCAACTCCGCCTCCTGCCACACCTGTCTGCGCCGCCTCGGCCTGTGGATGTTCAAGTCCCGCGAGATTGACCCGAACACTCGCACCGTGGTGGTCCCCGCACCCATGGACCACCTCGATCCGTTGAGGGAACACCGGTTTTTCTGTCCCTGGAAGAATCCCGCTGCACAGCGGAATCCGGGCAGCAGTAACAGTAACAGTACCAGCAACGGCTCCGGCCAGCAGCAGCAGCAGCAGGCGGCATGGGAGGTATTGGTGGTAGGATTAAAGAATGAGGCGTTTATCCGGGGCCGTCTCAGCGGAACCGGCACTGTCAAGAGAACCCCTACCGCGACCCCCAAAGAGAAACGTTTCGGGCTCGGTCTCGGTCACAGCCGTAGCAAGAGCAGCATGCCCGCGCCGAATCTCAACAACAAGGAAACCACCGCCACAGGCGCAGCAGACACAAGCACAAACGCACCACCCATCCCACAAACCCCCGAACGCCGGCCCATGACCGTCGACAGCGGACATCCACACAACATCACCAACAGCAGCAGTAAACTCGCGGCCCTCCAAACCGGTACTCCCTTATCCATCCGCTCCATCGGCGGTAGCAGTCTATTCGGGAACCGAGATGGCGAGCCCAAAGAGGGTGAGGAGAATGAAGAGGAAGTGAGGGCGAAAAAGGACAGGGATATGATGTCCCGGTTAAGGAGGGTTAAGAGTTTGTTTGGGGGCTCGAAGAGCGGGAGTGGGAGTGGGGGCAAGTTGAGGAAATTGGGGAGTAGTAGTCGGCCGGGGACGGCACATTCGGTGCGATCTACTAGGGAAGGGCTGGGTCAGGATAGAGGGGAGGGTGCCGGTGGAGGTGCAGGTGGAAATGGAGGTGCAGGTGGAAATGGAGGTGGAGGTGGTGAAGGGATGTAGCTAGGTATTTCGTAATTATATACCTTAATTGTCAACGGGGCTATGTTTTCCCCCTAAATTGTCCTCGGCAATTTCTATATTCGTGCATGATCATATCCAGAGCAGCCCCTGAGGTAGGTTGGGTGAGCTATGGATGGGCCGAGCCTGGATAGCATTTGTCCGCCGCATTGCATAAAAACCGGATAAACTAGAAATCGGGATAGGATAACTATTAAAAGTTATGTTGGGAAACTTCTCTGTTCTCATCTCTATTTCTATATTCCTCTACATTTCGATTTCCATCTCCATTTCCAGTTCGAATTCTAGTTC